ATTGCTAATTATGACAAGGATACCATTGCTAATTATGAAAAATGATGCCATTGCTAATAATGACAAAATGCCATTGCTAATTATGACAAATGATGCCATTGCTAAATATGACAATAATACCATTGCTAATTATGACAATGATGGCATTGCTGATTATGAAAGTGATGCCTTTCTAATTATGACAATGATGCCATTGCTAATTATGACCATGGTACCAACGCTAATTATGACAATGATGCCTTGCTTATTATGACAATGATACCATTGCTAATTATGACATTGAGGCCATTGCTAATTATGACAATGATCCCATTGCTAATTATGACAATGATGCCATTGCTAATAATAACAATGATGCCATTGCTCATTGTGACAATAATACCATTGCTAATTATAACAATGATTCCATTGCTAATTATGAAAATAACACCATAGGATCGAGCTCCTCTTGCAAGGTTCTGGGGAGTGACTCGATTTGGAGTGATGAAGCGACAAAAATAATATTTTTTTTAGGATTTCTGGTATATTATATATATTTGGTTTAAAAAACCTTTTTTAAATAATTATTGCAGATTTAAGAAAAGTGTGTATAATATTATTTTTTAAACCTTATAATTGAGTAAAAAGTCATTTTTTTATTTTATTTTTTTTATATTTACTGATTCGTTTCAGGTATGCTTCTTATGATCGGCTTACTACATAGTATTCGATATCAATGAAAAGCTTTAATCGCTTGACTACATCGTATTCGATATCAATTGAAAGCTTTAATCGCTGGACTACATCGTATTCGATAACAATGGAAAGCTTTCATTGCCAGACTACATCGTATTCGATATCAATGAAAAGCTTCAAACGCTTGACCACATCGTATTCGATATCAATGGAAAGCTTCAAACGCTTGACCACATCGTCTTCGATATCAATTGAAAGCTTCATTTTTCAGAAATTATATATATTTAGCTTCCTATCACGAAAGTTACCGATCACTTAAATCAGCGTTACATCGTAATAAAAATGGTGAGGTTCTATGTTTACCTCATTTTTAACGCATCATCCTTGAATTCCAATAAAGCACGCATTTGGACAGGTTAAATGTGTGAAAAATGTAAGTGTGATCGGTTTCCCTATAGAATTATTGAAATTCGATTAGACCGAGCAGTTTGTGTTCTGCAAATACGCATTTTTTCCATTTGATGTCACCCCTTGGTATGGTGTCACACGGTGCGGTCCGCAACCCCCCCCCCCCCCCCCTTTTTTTTTTTTTTTTTTTTTTTTTTTGCTACACCACTGCACAGGGCATAGAATCAGTCATATTTAAGAAGCGTTATTTCGTTGCCTGGTGGTGTGATTTAAATGAGTCAGTTGACGTCCCCGAACATACATCCCAGTTCAGGGGAAATAATCACGATTCATGAAAGAATCACCATGGCGGCGGGGGGGGAGTGTCTTAAATTCGTAACGTGTCTTACCCGCCACAGATCTCATAACTTTTGGGGGTGGGGTGAAAACAGATAATGAGATATATTTAAGTGACCGATTACGAGGAATGGAACCAGAGCAAATGACGACCACCACCACCACAACCATACCTTTTCGCCCAAAACCTACAGATATTTTTTTCAAAATATGACCAGTGCTTGATTTTTTTTTTTTTAAATTGCACCTAACATCTGTACTCATGTTGCAGCCACTGTCTTTTTTTATTCTGGTTTTCCTACTGGTACAAGGACATTATTGCAAAGTGCAGGTAAACCACGTCAAAGGTTTATTTTGGTACTAAGGTTGTAACTATTGCATAATAATTTTGTTTTATGCTGATGCTTCAAGAATTAATATTTAAAAGAAAATTAATATCGGAGCCATTGAAATTATTTTTTTTCTTTTCTGTACTGTTAGCATTAAAGATAAAATAGCCTCTGAACTGACAGCTCGCGCGTCATCAAACAAAAACAACAAACAAACAAGGAAATCAATGTGATGTTAAAAATATGGCTACCGTATTTCCAAGACTTGAAGTAATAGACTTGTTCTGTAGCTGTCCAATCATTGAGCATGTTTCATTATCAACGGTAAGTGAAATTTATTCCCCAAAGACGATAATTAAAAAATTCAACAGCATACTGTACACGCGTTTACGCAATATTTTCAAGGGGTTAGGTAGGATCGTCGTATAGCATGTTATAAATGTTGTAAATATCCACTTGAACTCTGCTACTGCAGTACGGTTGTTGTTGTTGTTTAGTTTGTTGTTTTTTTTTGTTGTTTTTTTTACATAGCATTCTAAATACCTGGCATATCACTTGTCTAGTTGCCCGAGTTCAGACATGAAAAATTGAAAATCTCAATTATAAACGTACACGTGTTACCTCAAACAAAATTTCAATGAAAACTGGGCTTTTTCTGAAAGCCCTTGAAAATCACATAGATTGTTGGTCTGTTGTGACTAAAAATAAATACAAACAAAAGCAGAAACTTTTAATGAATATATTAAGAACCCTTTGCACCACGTAATTTTAGTTTTGTGAGTGCGTTGTGAGAAACTTTTTTAAATGTACTATAAATGTACAGATTGTCGGTAGGCATTGATGTCATTGAACACAAAGTCGTCATCCCTAGTGTTCTCTGCTCTACTTCTGCCCCCTCGTCTTCTGACCGCTCCTACGTGGGGAGAGACATTGAATTATAGACCTACATTTGTTTTACGGGGTATGAGAAGACTTTTACACAAAACGTAATCCTAAGTCCGCCAACCAAATTTTAACATCAATTTGTTGTAACAAACATTGGTTTCTTTGGGGTTTTTTAAAATCCAGTACAAGGGTTCTTAAACGGGATGCCCGGGCGGTTGCGAGAGGCGGTGTCAAGGGATGCGCAGATGGCCGAGAAAATCAGGTTCTTTGCATTTATTAGCATTTTTTTTTTTTTTTGAAATAAAGATAGGGGTGCAGGAAATCTTTTGAAATCATAAGGGAGTGAGGCGCTCCATGATGATTAAGAGCCCTTGATCTGGTTCAAGTTTTCCCGAAGAAGTATTTCTAGCTGACATACAAACGTTTTATGGTGTCTCTTTAAAGTCTTTTCCTTACTTTGTGTTCCATAGTACCTGATTATATTATACTTTGTGTTCCATAGTACCTGATTATATTATACTTTGTGTTCCATAGTACCTGATTATATTATACTTTGTGTTCCATAGTACCTGATTATATTATACTTTGTGTTCTATAGTACCTGATTATATTATACTTTGTGTTCCATAGTACCTGATTATATTATACTTTGTGTTCCAGATTTCCTTCTCTTACAACTTAATTGCAGTTACACACCCCCAGGCTCCACCCCACCATCATCCCTGCTCTGTATTTACTGTCCTACTACAGAAGATGCAAGTGTTAATTTTTTTTAAGCAAACTAGAATCTTACATTATTTTCATTATGAGTAACATGTCCCAGGCACATAATATTTTTAGATGGAAGTGTATACTTGAAATCAGTGTTTCTTAACTTGGGTTGGATCGAACCCCAGGCGTTCGGTGAGTCAGTCTCAGGGGTTCAGCGGAGGTCCCAAAAAAAAATCAGAAAAAAAAACATATTTAATTTTTTCTAATAAGAAGGGTTCGGTGAATGCGCATTTGAAACTGGTGGGGTTCAGTACCTCCAACAAGGTTAAGAACCACTGCTTTAAATCAAAATGCGTTTGATCACAAAACACATGATTTTAACCAATGATTGATTTATTTTTATTTTTTTAAAATCAATTTCCAACATTGATAAATTTATTACTTTAAAAAATGGAAGCAGCACATCTGTGCATACCACCTGAATGTGTATTTCCCCCAATCCCAAAAATCAGAATATGTCAAGATTTTCTCACAGATAGTCTTCACAAGCCCTCTGAGAATCCGAGGCTAACCCATGACAACATTAATCAAAACCGAACTCATAAATCTTTTCTCACAATGACCGACAGGTTTTGCTCATGGAACTTTTATTTACAGTGGTTAAAATGTACTTCTTCAAATATAAATAACACCAAACATGGCCCAAAGCAGACACGGCCAATAGAAAAGAAAATGTATTATACACACACTTATTTATGTCACCCTTAAATGGTTTCATTGTCCATAAAAAGTCTCACTTTGACATAAGACTGAGGACCCGGCTAGTCTGATACATAGCTGACCACTGCCTCACGGGTTGTGTTAACAACAGGCGTCATTTCGAAAGTTCCAATCATGATGGACAAGATAAAAGAATCTGCTGTAGAAGATCAGCTGTTTTCAAAATACTCACATCTCAGCTTCATTCAAAAATAATATAGCGGGGAATTTTTTCCAATAAACCTTAAGTGTTATTTTGTTATTTTTGAAAATTCTAATCAATATTACATTTATTTTTTCCCTTTTGTTCATCAGACCAGTTTTACCAACTGAGGTGGGAGAAGGGATATCATTAAATAAACTATCAGCTTGATAGCTCGGGGTGAGGTAAGGGATATCATTAAAGAAACTCTAAGCTTGATAACTTGGGATAGGAGAAGGGATATCATTAAAGAAACTATCAGCTTGATTGTTTCACAAATTCATGTGGCAGTATGCCATCAGTGTCAGCATACATGGTCAACTATGCAGAAATTACAAATTTGTTACTTGGGTTTAAAAATGTCATAAATTAAATCATTTAGGAAAGGTTTTTTTTTTAAATAACTATGTGTGTAGGAAGAGAACAAGAAAAGTTCAATTTTCACAAATATTACTTCAGTAATTTCTTTTTTCATTCAATTCAACTGTTTCTGAAGAGTTAATTATTACCATAACCTTTTGAAGATACTTAATCCTCATAAAATGAACCCTGACATAGAGGCTGGATATTCATATCATTTAATGTCATAATCATTACATACATATTACTTCAGTAATTTCTTATTTCATTCAATTCAACTGTTTCTGAAGAGTTAATTATTACCATAACCTTTTGAAGATACTTAATCCTCATAAAATGAACCCTGACATAGAGGCTGGATATTCATATCATTTAATGTCATAATCATTACATACATATTACTTCAGTAATTTCTTATTTCATTCAATTCAACTGTTTCTGAAGAGTTAATTATTACCATAACCTTTTGAAGATACTTAATCCTCATAAAATGAACCCTGACATAGAGGCTGGATATTCATATCATTTAATGTCATAATCATTACATACATGTAGCAAGAACAGATAAGAAAGTCTCTATAGCAAACAGAGCTCATATTTGACTGACAAAATAAAAATCCCTACCATCATCAGGTTGACTAACCCCTAGAGAACTCTCACAGAAATATCTTGAGTGAGTAATGCATTCTGAATGCTGTAAATCATTGAAACAAAAAACATTTCAATAAAATACTTTTTTTTTTCTCTCTATGAAATGGCCTTGTCGAGAGACAATCCAGCAAAATTCTAGTGTCAGAGGTTTGTCTTAAGTCTAAGCAATTTTTTTTTTTTGGTTTATTGAAATGAAAAAGTTGATAGCAGATTCTGTATTTTATGTTTAGAAAAAATAGAGAAAGGGTTCAAAATGCTGCAAATGTGAACCAAGAATCAACTAAGGCACACACACAAAATTTGTCCTTTATTGTAGCTTTTCTTTTCTTTCCTTTCCTTTCTTTTTTTTTTTTTTTTTTTTTTTTTTTTTTTTTTTTTTTTTTTTTTTTTTTTTTTTTTTTTTTTTTTAAACACTCAAAAGACAATGGTAAAAAAATAGTGACAGCTTAAATTTTTAAAAAATGGAATTATGGTTTGTAGACTTAATGGAAGTGCAAGCAAAGTATAAGATCTACATAGGCTGCTTTACTTTGGTGATCAGAAGTCCTAAATTTAGTCTTAAATATATCCCATGACACAACAAAAAAATCAATATCTGATATATGGATACAAATTTGAATGACTGGTAATGTATCAAGTATTGGTGAAATAAAAAATTAAAAAATTGCAAATTAAAATGCCAAAATGCTTCAATATTTACAAAAAGATATGTTTCAAGGTATTCCATTACTGTTAAGAAACTAATGGCTTGCAAGTGATAATAACGGTAGACCTAAATAAAGAGTAAATTTCAATAAACACAACTTTTCTTTCATATAACTTTTCACTGGAAATGAGGTGACAAGAAATGAAAAAACTTGTCTTATATTTTTTTAAAAAGGAAACAAAAATTTCCATCCGAAATAAGTAATTTAAACTGTCCGATTATGACCGATTTAATTCTTAAAATTTCTTTTCGCCATCGATATGGTATTTTAAAGGCCTAAAGTGCTCTGCATGCAATTTCAATACACATGAAAAGGCAATATACCACTAGGAAAAAATCCATTTAAGCTAGTTAAATCTGGCTCATAAATAATATGGGTGAAGTACCCACAAATCTATAAATGGAACAGAAATGCAAAGAAAGAAAAAAATTTGAACTCACAATGATTTTTTTAGAAAGTGCTCATCTACAGATGCATGTTTGTAGAGAGGGGAAAATCTTTTAAAGGTGAAAGGTTTTAAATATTTGTTTCTTTACAATTTTTTTTTTTTGGGGGAGGGGGGGGTTTTTGCAAACATTTATGCTTAATCAAAAAGTAATCTGTAAATCTGACAACTGTTTAAACTGTGGTGACTGCTGACAATTGTTAGAGCGAATGTGGCATTTTAGTATGCAATTACAAGGAAAACTTTTTTTTTTTAAAAACACTTTTGGGTCAAATCACACTTCTGTCATACAATTTCACACTGAATAGAATTTTTTAATCTAAAAAAACATACAAAATGTGAGCAATTTTATGATGTGAAAGTTACAATCAAAGAAACATAATGCCAGGGCCTTTAGTGTCAAGTATTTATCATGAATGGTATAGGTCTGCACGCATAAGTTTTTTAAACATCTGTAGACTTTTATCAACCTTAAGAGCAATTATAAAAAAAACATGGCAATATTTTGCATTCAATGTGCTGAGCAACCAGGATGATATTGAAAATAGACTTTAAAAATAATAGAAGCCTACGATTTATTTTAAATAAACTCTCACCACAAAATAATGTAGAAACAAGAAAACTGGTACAGTCATAGTTCTAATAAGAAAACTGGTTCAGTCATAGTTCTTGGTCTACAGATATGTAAGAAAAGGTTTTTGACAATGTCTACATAAGTTTTTAAAATCTCATCTCTATCTTATCATACTTTGAAAGAGACACATTGTAATACTGGAGAAAATTTTAATTTTGAAAGAAAATCACTCTTATTTAAAACACACCTAACTATGGTGCAAAATTAATATTAATGTGCAGTAACAAAAAAAAATTATCAAAATTAATTCAAAACAATAAAATGACTTTTGTTGTTTTTTTTAAAAAAAAGGGAACATTTGCTCAGCAACAACAATTTTTCAAACCAGTTGATCACAGTCGCGGTTCTATATTTGTGTGAACATTCTATTAATACAATGATTCATTTAGCAAGAAAAAAGAACACTGAGCAGTCAAAAATGTACTTTAACATACGAGGTTTGACAGCCAGGTGGATGTAAAAACATCTTAAGGTATCTTTTAATTAGGTCAAATATTCAGGCGGATCTTCAAATCATAACATAAAATCAAAAATCAAGTTTTGTATTAGCTACACTTAACTTAGCTTAAACCCACTATTTTAAAAAAAAATGAATATTATAGAAAAAAATGTGTTTTAGTTAAAATAATTTCCGACAACCTGGAATAATATATTTTCCAACAATGATATGATTTGTAACAGCCCAAAAGCCTTTAGGAATGAAATGAGCAAAATTTTGGTTTAATTGTAAGAATTTTACAAAACTAACAAGTAAAATCAAGCATTGAATAGTCTGTGATTCTGAAATTCAAAATAGAACATGAAACCTCTTAACCTTTGGTATAAAAGCATAAATACTTTTTGGCTGCTTGCACAGAGGACTCCAACATGTCTGAATGATGTATAATTTTTTTTTTAAAGATATCTTTCAGTAACAGTATAAATCATATTTCAGTACTTTTTATTGAAATTACTACTTGGATTAAACTTAAAATTTAGTGCAATTTTAAAGTCATTTCAATATTCAAGATTTAAAAAAAACAATAACGACTTGTGGGGAAATATGGCTAAAATTTGAGTACATCTCATGAAAATTTGACACACTAAAAAAAACAAGCTTACTAATGACAGTTAAGAGACAGTGGTAAATTAATGCTTTTAACAATAAAACCAATTAGTTTTAAAAACTTATTCATTCTTGGGAAAAGGAAGGACACATTGTTATATATTTGATTCATTTGCTCAAGTTGATTAAAAGTATTTCCCGTTTGAAAGTTCATTCAGACAAACATGGTGCAATTTTAATTTTACACCAAATTCCATACCGAATAGTACACCACTTTAAATATGATAACTTTTAAAAAAGTAGTGTTTTATAATTCCTGTTTTATGAAATTATATATACCGGTACCAAATTTTAGAAAAAAAATTAAGAAAGTCTGAGCCTTAAACATAGAAAGTAAATGCAGTAGAAGCCCATCCTGGATTAAAAGGGTAAGCTTTGAGCAGGTTAGAACTGATTTTAACTGTTACATTTGACTCCTTATCCAAAATAAATAGATCACACAAAAAATATCAAACAGTTTTACACATATCAAACCACTAGTATGGTAAAAATATATTCTTTACATGTAAGATTAATATCTACACATCAGGTTCGGCACTTATACCAGAGTTTCTTAAAATTGTTCAGGTTAACACCCAATTCAATATAGAAATTCAAATAACAAAAAACACCCAAGGGACATAAAATATTGCTTTTCCAGATCTAAACAAAAACCAAAAAAAGAAAGAAAAAACATTTACCACATCTATTAAAAGTATTAAATAATATTTGAAAATGGATCTAAGTGAACCAATCCTTAAAGTTGTATTTTTATTTTCCAAGCATATTTTGTTCAAATTTAATTTTAAATTATTGACCAAACCTGCTGACCCATAGATATTTTTTTAATGGTCAGCATATGTTGCGCTCTTTGTATATGTTCAAATAAAAAACAATAAGCACCCCATTAGACAACTATTGCTCATCAGCAATTAAAGGCAGTATGTGCCCAATTCGACAACCAAAACTGACCTAGATGTAAAAATTAAATATGTAAGCATCTAGTTGTAATCAACTTTAAAAAATCCCCCAAAAGCAAACGTGGAAAAGCTCAAAATTTATAATACTTTTTAAGGAATTAAGTTTGTCATGATTAGATTTTTTATAGAGAGGAGCTTGAAATTTTTTAAGTATATATCATATTTAAATAAAAAATTACTTGCTTAAATTTTATAAGGATAAGGAGTTGTGTTTTACTGGTGGACATCTACTGCATCTGACATAACTTTAAACAAGGCTTGCAAATGGAACCAAACATGAGGTTTAATAATATCAGCCATGCAACAAATGTATGATCAGGCACATACAGTGGTGAAAAATTATATTTTAAAATTTGTCAAATTAAAATAAAAAGCTTGTACAAAAACTATAGTTTTTTGTTTTTTTTAAAGTAACAATTATAAATCAAGACCATGTCAGAATATTCATAAAATTTAACATAACAAAAAAAAGTTTATTTGGCAGGAAATAGATAGCTAAAGAATGCTAGTCCTTCCAGAAATGTCTATGAGACTTTCTTGGTCTTGACATTGACAATTCCATTTGCAGACCAATTTGCTGTTTTCCCTGGGTCTAAGCTGTGTTCTTTACTTTCTTGGATTTCCCCTTCAGTTTCACTTGCAGATTCCAAGCTGCTACGTGAATCCTTTTGCACCTGTGAAAGAATAATAACAAAGTGAAGTTGTATTATTTTTTTTAACAATATATAATTTAGACTTTTTCTGTTTTTTAACTTTTAAAAATTAACTCAGTGAAAACATTTTTTTTTTAAATTGTATATTAGCAGAAATTAGGGAGAAAAAATGACTTTTTATACCCTACCAATTTTTTATTTTTTATAGAAGATGTGGCAATCTGAACTTTTTTATTTGAACTTAAGCCTGTATATTCAGATAGTTCATCTTTAATAAAAAATGATAAGTATCAACATAATAATAAACCCTTTATTTGTGAGTGACTAGGCAGATTCTGAAGAAGAAAAAGTTAATTACTTTTAATTTTTTTTTAAATATAACTTTTTTCTTTTTAAAATAAGTTTATATTTTACACATCTAAGTAAATAAATTAGGAACATGAATACTAACCTGGCCTCTGAAAGCATCTTTAGCAATTAAGCAAATGTAATAGAACCAGATAATGTGTAATATCTGGAGAATTATCAACAGGAAATTGTAGATTGACCACATCGTACACCATCCAACAGTTGGGTCTTGCAACCCAATAAGAGCTTCAAACATTGTAGATCTTATAATCCTTAAGAAATTTAAAGCACACTCGTTTAAAAAAGAATTATTTTATTTAAGCTTCAGAAAAATAAAACTAACCCTTTCCCCAAATCTTGTCTTCTAAAAATGGTTATTATTTTAAAGGAACTCTTGATTAAAAACCAAACACCGAGGGTTAAAATATACTAAATGATTGTACAAGGGATTAAGACTACTGATTAACTAATACTGACAACAACAAAAAATTTGCCTTTAAAATTCTGTGAAAATTATTAGCGGAGAGTCCAGTTATAATTTATTTGGTAGGGTATATTTGGACTGAATATTTTTTTATATAATAATAATATATTAAATAATACTGGTGGTGTGAGCAGGTCTTATTAAAAGTGGGTGACTTCTAGAGTTCATATCAGTTAGCAGATTGATTTGTAATTTCCTTCAGTCTGATCTAACAGCAGCAGTCGGTAACAAAATGATCTGAAAATTTTAATGTTTTAAATTTACCTCAACGGAAATAAGATCATCCTAGTGAGAACCCAGACCACCATAAACACAAAGAACAATCTTTCACAGACTTTATCATAGCCTAAATACTTTGCAACTTTAGCAGCCTGAAATAGAAGGTGAAAAAAGTTAAAGTGGGAGAATACTTTTTAAAGGTGCCAGTTGTTTCTTATTCAATTAAATACCAGTGAAATTTCTTTAATTAAATTCTATAACATATAATTTATAATAACTGACAACTCTTTAAATATTTTGTCCATTTGTTCATAATTAATGTTTTCTTACTACCATTTATCTATCATAATTTGTTTAAATGGTGGGTCATGTGAATGTGTTTGAACCAGCGCCAAAGGAAACTGCTAAGAAATTGTTTAATACTGTTCACAGAATTTATATCATAATAAATAAAATTAAACAATCCTTTATAAAATGTAATATCGAGCAATAGGGGTGGGGCTGTAAATTTGACAAAACGTGCATACAAGTCTTCTCTTCTTCTATATTTTGAGGGCCCATGATCAATGTTATTGATAATTCTGGCTCAAAGTAACGCACTTTATAAGAATCCCAAATAGCCCCCCCCCCCCCTTCCTTTTTTTGCAGTTGCACATTTTTTTCATGTCCTTGAAATATAATTATACTCTAGTGACTCACCCACTTTACAGCCCAGTTTATTTCACCAACTTTATTTCAGAAAAACAATAGAAAATACTTAAGATTAAACGCACTTGCGATATTTAAAAAAAAAAAAATCTCATTTAGCGGAGTTATCTAGAATTTTATTTATTGAAATCAGTGTCCTTTATATTTTCCTTGAAATCAGTGTACTTTATATTTGCCTTGAAAAGGGGTGATTTTGGGAAGTAAGGGTTTGGGGTGGAGCTGAAAATTTGAAAGAATGTGCTGTCTGTCATCTGCANATATATATATATATATATATATATATATATATATATATATATATATATATATATATATATATATATATATATATATATATATATATGATTTAAAAAGAGCCTGACCTCCATCCAAGAATCTACAGCATCATGTACCAGGAGGACAAGCGTTCCAATTCTGACAAAGTTGTTAATCCATGACATGCCCATCAGCAATAGTGTCGCTACATGATGGATTACCATTTCTGTGAAATCCTGCAACAAAATTTTTTTTTTAATTTTAATCTGTTGTTGTATGGAGCAATATTCTATTAAAGTATGTTTTTTTTTAATTATTTACAAATTTTATCAAAACTACTACCCATTTTCTTAAGCTTTGTTCGGTTTCTCTGTCCTAAAAATAGATGAATATTATTTCATACATATTTTTCTAGTCAGAATCTCACCACTTTGCACTTTTATATCTATCAGTTAAGATAATAATTGTTCACATTATCAATTGGCCCACTTTAACAAATAAAGGCAAGAAATTCAATAACTGGTACAAACTTTGGTTTACTTCCTACTGTGAATAAGAAAAACAACTAACATACTTCCTGATACTCTCTATCCATATTATGAAAAGGAAACAAGGCAAATATATGCATTGTTAATTAATGCAATCAACACTTCATCTGTTGCTTCAATAAAATTGCAAGAAATTGTAAGAATCTTTTTTAAATTTTGACAGGAGAAAGCTTCTAACTTTTCAGTCACACATGTCAACCAATGTGTTTACCTTGCACAAATTACACAATCCAGTGCTCTAAACACATAATCTAATAGCATTTAACATGATTGCACAGCTTGGGAAAAATAGGAGCAAATTGCCTGCTATTAAAAGACACAAACCTTTTATTTGTAACTTTTTAATCCTTAAATTGTTCACTTCAATAGGCATGATGACATTGCCATCAAAGCAAATGTAAAAAATGTACAAATGGATTTGTAGAATAGCCGCTTCAAATGTAAAAAAATTTACAAATGTATTTTTAGAACAGCTACATAGTGTCATTTTGGAGCTAAACATTACAATGAAAAAATGCTGATAACCTAGTATTAGATAGCAGTTGTGACAATTGAGTTTTGAAAATGACCATAAAAAAAATCCTGCGGAGAAACAAAAATAACATAAGAACTAGAGATTTGTAGCTTCAGACATTTCGAATAACATAATAAATATGGAAGGCATGTTTTAAACAGTCAAGTCTGAAATGTTGAAAGAGTGAGATGAAAGCCTCAGCTTTCTCTCTTCTTCAATTCCCCATTGACCATACATTCCTCCTGTAGTTCTTTTTAATGTTGTAAACATTTTTGTTTCAAAATTGAAATTCTACATAAAAACTTACTTTCCTCTTGTTGTCTGTGCAGAGTGAAAAGAGCAAACTGATGTAGAAGGCACCTTCAATCATATAATACCAGTACACATCGCTGGTCACATTCTGCAACATCAAATTTAGATGTTTAAAATTATATATTCTATTTTGAAGTTGAGCATTAATAAACGTTTTTAAATTTTCTACACTGTTATAAATTTAAAAAAACATAATTTTTTCTTAATGTGAATGAATTATCAAACAATAAAGAACTTACATGATGTGGCCAACCAACCCAAGCTTGCAAAGTGTCATAAAACCATGTTTTCTGGGGAAATTTGTTACTTCATATAATTTTCATTTTTTACATCATTCATAGGTTCAATTATTTTCAGCTATGGCTTTTTAAATATTAATTTTATTTCTTTTTTTTCTTCAAGTATTTTGTAATAAAATGTTATGCACATAGGAAAAAAAACATTTCTTTCTTATTCTTAAAATAACTACAAATATGAAAAATAAATGAAAATATTTTAATTAAATATCTCATTTCAGCGATGAAAAACATTTTTTTTCTTCCAAACTTGCATAATCTATACTCACATCTAAATGTAAATACACGCCATACCAAAATATGAGAAAATAAAACAACATTCTCCATCTGTGGGTAAAAAAAAAGGGGCTTAGTAATTTATTAGTTATTAGAGATGAATTTGGCATTTAAAAATACAAGGTTTTGTTATACTATTAATTTCTAATGAAACAACCTTTATCAACAAAACTCATTTAAAAAGTAAACTTACGATGATTCGCAGAACTTTTTAAACACGGGTGTTCGATCTTGGTTTCGTCTTATCCTAAACCAACGTTCAACCTGCCGTACACTCATTTCTGTTTGTTTTGCAAGACTCTGAAAACAAATTTTAAAAAGTCTCTGTCTCTAAAAAGCTATGAAAATTTGGACAAATAATATGGCTATTTTTCTAAATAAATGTCCACTATTTTGCATGTTTTACAAAAGTGCTTAATGTTAAGTTTCAAATTTATTCATATCAGACAACATGTTTCTAAAACATGTATGGGATAAAGAATTTCTAGGCTCTACATTATCTAATTTTAATGTAATAATATTTTATAAACGTCATTATAAATAAAATTTAATTCATTGACTCGCCTTTATTAGAATATAACTGAACTAATTAGGTTAGACCCCATAATGCTAGTGTATTGTGATATGCAATGTATTACTGAGAAAATAAATAGGAATTGTGCACCTTAAAGTTCTATTTTTTTAAAATTGTTAGATGTATAAAGAAAGTTATAGAAAGTAAAGATCTAAGGCTTAATCAGAAACGAAAAATCCCATAATATATTAAATTAAATGTTGTAATATACAAATTTTTATACAATTTCTTTTGTCCAAAGCTAACAAGTTATGAAAACAGTTCCCACATAATTTTCTTTAAAAAACTATTTAATTGAAACGAGTGCTTATTAGGGCAAGCAGAAGCTTGGGGGCATATAAGCACTAGTGGCTTGCAGACTGGTTTAGCCTCTTAATCAGCTTTAAAAGACCTAACATTTTAAAAATGCAAGGAAATTTTGTTAACAAAAAATCATCAATATGAAATTTTTACAAAGTCTTCAAAACAATTCAAAAACAAAAGCAGACCCACTGGGCAACATTGCTTGTTTTACATTTAGTAAATAAAACCTCAGCCATCGCATTTTTTAATTTATTGTTATGAAACTTATAACAAATTTTCTACGGGAACTGCGAATCTGCTGTTTGAACACAAATCCAACCTTGAGTTTGATTGAACATAGAAAATATAAACAATTTTCTTAAATTCTCCAATTTATTTTCCACAAATTCAAAATAGTGCCACAGCTTTTTAAACAATATTTTTTTTTATACATCTATTTCAATCAATCAATGTGATAGATTCTATCTAATATGAAGTATATTTTATTTCCATTGTGCTGATGATTTAAACATATACTTTTGTTAAAAGAACCAATAAGTGGTATTATTTCTATTTATAAAAAAAATAAGAAGAAAAAGACTGCAGATGCCACAAACAAATTAAATATTTTTTTGATTTTTCAACAAATATAAATTATATTTGACAACAATATTTTGGCTTAAGACATAAATTTAATAAATTACAGGTTATTTATTAATCAGTAGATGTTCTCTGATCTATATTCTGTGATAAAGGTACACAATTGAGCTAATATGCTAGAGCAGTGTTTCCCAGTGTGGTACACATAACCCTGGGTGTACGGGAAAAGTTCGGTAGGGGTATGTGATGCACCGGGCTATGGCTGCACCAGGTGCAACAACCAGCTTAATTTTTTTCTATTACAAACATAGAAAATAATAAAAAAAACTTCATAACTATTTAGCCCATGAAATGTCATAACGGCCGATGATCGGCCATTAAGGAGAAGTTTTACATTATTTTAAAGGGGGATAACTCAAATAAGTTGTATTTACTTCTTGTTTTTTTTTGTTTATTTTATTTTGAATCAAGCTGATTTTTTTTTTGCTAAAACCAACTTTTTGGACTCGGAATTTAGCTCTGCTAAAAAAAATTCCCAATTTATTTAATTCTTTCTTCATGGAACTGATTTTGAAGATAGTTTTGTTGGCACTACTCTTGGTGGCAGTTACAATTATGATAGTGAGGTTGGCAGAAGTACAAATTAATTTCTAATAATAGTGTTAGTACCGGTAATAGGGAAAAGGTTACTAATTCAATAGGCCTTATATGAAGAAAAATTTAGGTCACCACAATTTTTTTTTTTTTATTTCTATAAACCCAAATAACTTTATATTTTCTAAACTGAAAGAATAATGTTTTATGTGTCTAAAAAACGTATTTAGTTGACAAAAAGGACCCCGCAGTCAATCTGGGTGATAGTTGAGTAAAGATAAACAGTGGTACTAAATGTACAGTTTAAATATCAAGGTCATATTTATTTTACATAGCTCACATAATTCCAACATTCATAACATATGATTCCTTGTTCCACTTACTCTCAGAATATATGTACTTATATGGGTCTCAGGGTTCATTTTCCTTTAGTTTTGGTTATTTTAGTTCTCATATCAAAGTTACTAAAAAGTGTTGACACCAGAACACGTTTGCATTTGACAGTTCTTTTGTTAGTATTGTGATGTGTGCTTTTGTATGTATGTGTAGCCTGTGGCGTCATCGGGCGCTGTTATTCCATGCATTCCCTGACTCCATGGCCCAGATAACAGTTTCACACAAAAAATCCAGTACACATTGAACTGCTACAGCGTGTGCATTTTTGGCTTTCGTGTGATTTTTATAATAGGAAAGGTTTGCTTTGTGCTTTAGTAAGCCTTATTGATTTTGATAATTCATACTAAATATAAGTTTTAGCCCTAGAATTCAAGATTATGGATCGCTGGTTGAAATCTGGGACTGTATCTGAATGTAGTAACAATCAAAAAACAGAAAATAATGAAATTAACAAGGGTGAACCACCTTCAATTCAGAAAGAACCTGTTAAGAAAAGAGCAGGGAAAACTTGCAAGTACAACAAAGAATATCTTAAATTTGGATTCTCATGGACTGGAGATGAAAAAGGGCCTATTCCATTTTGTGTCATTTGTTCTGAAAATTTAACAAATTTAAGCATGAAACCATAAAACTTTAAGCGCCATTTTGAGAAAAACCACAAACAGTACAAAGATAAATAAATCGATTTCTTTGAAAACAAGGATTTAAATCAGTCTTGTAAAGTAATGCAGGGTTTGACAGGTGAAAATACAAAAAAAAATCCTAGAAGCTTCATAATATGTGTCACTTTTTATTGCAAAATGCAGTGCAGCTGAGATGATTGGCGAAACTTTAATCAAGCCTGCAGCCAAGATAATGGCAGAAGTAATGATAGGAGAAGAGGAAAAACAAAGGTTTGACTGTTTTCCCCTCCCAAATAATACAGTTCATCAATGAATCATTGGTATTTCTAATTATGTAAAACAGGTGTTTTTGTCTGATATTTCTCAAAGTCGTTATCATGCATTACAAGTCGATAAATCCACTGATATTGCAAATTTTGCAAATCTTATGGCATTTGTTAGGTAAGAAAAAGATCAAGAAATTCATGATGACTTTTTATTTGCCAGCCTCTATCAGGTCATACAACAGGAGAAGATATCTTTAATGTTATGAATAAATTAATGCAAGAGAACAAAATTGACTGGAATAGATGTGTTGGAATAAGCACAGATGGAGCAAAAAGTATGGTCGGAATTAATAAAAGACTCATTGCAAGAATTAAGAATGTTGCCCCAAATGTCATATCCACACATTGTTGCATACACAGAGAGGCTTTGGTAATGAGTTAGATTCCCGCTGATCTACAGAAAGTTCTGGATGAAAGTGTGAAAATCATTAACTACATTAAAGGTCGTCTTTTAAATGCACAATTTTTTACCAAATGTGTGAAGAAATGGGACGTAGTCATACTCGGCTTCTTTTTCATGCTGATGTTCGTTGGCTATCTCAAGGGAAAAATCTAAACTGATTATTTGAACTTAGAAATGAACTTCAAGTTTTTCTTAATGAAAGATTGGAGCTGAGAACCTGTTAACTTGACTGGAAATGGATCTGTAAATTGGCATACGTAGCAGATATATATTCTCTGTTTTAAACAGTCTCAACTTATTGTTACAAGGCAAAGAAATTTAATTGTTTCCTATTCAAGATAAAGTGAATGCTACCATGGCAAAATTTAATTTGTGGCAAAAAAGAGTTGGTAATGGAGAAGTGGACTCCTTGCCCTCTTTTCATGAGTTTATAACAAGTTCAGCTAGTAAAATTGATGCTGATACTCTGAAATGTATAACACAGCATTTACAGAGAACTTACATGTGGGCCTGAAAACTATTTTCCTGATTTAAACAAAAATATTGAATAAATAAGATATCCAATTAAAATTAATATAAAATCCATGCCAGAATGTTTATGGCATGCAGAAGAAGAGCTATTGTTGGAATTAGCTTCATAGGGATTCTTGAACAATAAACATAAGGAGTGTACTTTAAAATAATTCTAGTTGAAAATGCAACATTTGTTCTCAGCTTTAACAGAGCACGTCCTGAAATACATCTTGCCTTTTCTAACTTCATATCTATGTGAAGTTGCTTTTTCAACATTTGTAAACATTAAGTCAAAAAAGAAACAGGCTTTTGTGTTTGGAACTGCATCTCAGATTAAAATTTACAACCAAGGAACCAAATTATGATGAACAGTAGTCTCAACATAAACAATTTCATCCTTATGAATGCATTTTATTTTTTGTTTATTATTTTCTTTATTTACTAAAAAGGGGAAAATAAATATTTTTTTATTGTTATTAAAGTATTTGCAATTTTTTTTTTTTTTTTTTTGTAACGTTTTTGCAATTTTTTTTTTTTTTTTTTTTGTAACGAGAGGTACTCAGTGTTTTGAAAAATATAGACAAGGGTACACAAATGTCAAAAGTTTGGGAAACACTGTACTAAGAGCATATCCAGGATGATGCTAAATGGTGTTACATGGTGAATTAGTCTAAAAAACTTAGTCAAAAAAAGTGGATACTAGCATTTACTTTAAAAGCACATTTACTTTAAAAAGCAAGATGTGTAGCAATTTTTTCCATAATTTTTTTTCAGTTTTATTATAATTATTGGTGTGTTGAAAAGTTATAAAGATCAAATGGGTGTTCGGCTAAACTTTTCAAAAAATTAATAACGGCATATGAACACCAATATGACAAATATAAAGTTGTTATTGATTCTCAACTGCTAAATAAATAAATTATTTTACATATCACTACAAAAAAAATAGACTGATGCATAAAATAAATTTTGTTTAAATTAAACACCATATTTATCTTATAAAGAAGCTGCAGAGGGATAAGATTAATAATTTTCTAATTTGTCCTATGCCATCTTTTGAAAACTCAGACCTTAAAGCTTTCGCCTTAGCTTCTCTAAATCTCTCTTTTTTCTTCTTCTTAAATTGCTCATTTGATGCTGCTAGCATTTGATAATTTTAAAAACCTAAAATTAACACTAAGGAAAGGTTAAGGATTGCTATTAGTAGTATTAGGGTTTCTCTTTGAGTTATCAAAAGACTTCCTGGGAAATTTTACCCTCCCGGAAATCCCATTTTAACACCTTTAATAAAATGTTCTTGTTTGTTTGTACTTCAGCAAATGACAGATTGTCATAAATCATTAACATTTCTAATTGTTTTATAATTCAAACGAGCCTGTTGTTTCAAATTGTTAGAAATATTTGCTTGTAAATATTTAGTGATTGATTCAAAACTAGAATTAGCCACCTGTAAGAATGCAAAACTCATTAAATGTTGAGGTTTTTTTCTACAGGCAGTTATATCCCACTTTTGCTTAACAAGCCTATTATTAGCTAGTTATCCATTACTAGTGATAAGCCGTGGAAAATGAAGCAAATAGTAGCAAGGGACCACCCTCTCAACTAACCTTATCATTGTTTTTATATTTATTAAATAGACAACACCAATAAAACAACTTTAAAAATCAACTCTTTCACAGTTTAATTTTAATTCAGTTTATAATATATTTTTAATTAAAGTACCGTTTTTTCCGGCATATAAGACGACTTGGCGTATAAAACGACCCCCTACTTTTCCTGTTAAAATATAGGGTTTGGGCTGTATACCAGCTTATAAGACGACACCCTGCGTATAAGACGACCCCTGACTTTTGAAAAGATTTTCATAGGTTAAAAATCGTCTTATACGCCGGAAAATACAGTAATTATTTTATCCCAGAATTTCTCATGAGGAAAACTTCATTTGTGTTTTATCAGGATAAGCAAATCCCTGGGAAATGAGAAAACCCTAATTGCCATTAAAATTTGAGAAATTTTATGTAAAAATTCTATAATGGTTTAGTAGGGGAGGGGCTCTTTATACAAAACTTTCTATAGTTAGTAATTAGTTGATCCTGGGCTCTAAAATAAGTCAATTGTCTAATTGAACCACAAAGATAATACCCATAACACATTTATTAGCATTCCTACACTTGTAGTGAAAAAAAGTTCAAGTTTAACATTAAAATTTTATTTTTATTTCATGCAACATTTCTTAAAATACTTTTGCACCCCAAAATGATTATTAACCTTTTAACTAAATCCATACTTTAGCAGTGTCTCCATGAACATCCAAAAATAATTATTTATAATATTTACTATAATGTTGTAATGTAAAATTCACAGTATAAGCCTTGAATGCTAGAAAACAGAAAAAAATACTATTACAAAAAATAGCCAATAAATCATTCTTATACTTATGTTTGTTTACCTCAATATTGTCATTTACATTTTTCACCCATGTTTAAAGAAACAGAAATTGCTTTAAATTATTTATTGAGGTTCATTATAAGTTTACAACTTAAAAACCTTTACATTCTAAAATGAAATATATATTTATCTTCAACAAATTAATATTATTATTTTTTGTTTTATATTTGGCATGGTGCAACTTACATTCCCAAATCTAAAATTTCATTAAAAAAAATAATTTTAAAATTTAAGAAAATATTAACTTTTTTCTGTTAGCTCATATGAGTTAACAGCTTTAAAGGCAGCTTCTTCATATATACCGAAAAAACAGGATGATTTGTTGCCCAGCAGATTCCTTTTAAACATTTGCAAATAAAAAATGTATGTAAAATTGTATGTGATTTTGAAATGTTTTTGGATGCAGATCATATTTTGGGTTGTTTATTTTAAATAATAAATAACTAAGAAGAAATGTATTTCGAGCGCTCAACAAAGAAGAATTTTTCAAGGTGTATGTATACAGCGTACTAAAGAAAACTGCATATATCCTTCAGATGATAAATATAATGATCAAGATGAAGGAATAAAAAGCATAGGATATATGAAGAAAAGGTATAGACTATGCTTACTGTTATCAGGCGATGACTAATTTTACCACGAGGATGCTGGAAGATATTGATGTTGGTTTTTCAATTATAGGACTTTAAAAAAGCCATCAGGAGTTAAAACAATCACAATTAAACTGTTTGAAACAACATTTGGACAAATGCCATTTAAACTCAATCTAAAACTTACCTATAGATAAATAATCCTAAATCAATTTGTTTCTTGTTTGCGTTCTCATCATGCATGTTAAGAAAAGAAAAGCAGGGATTTGTCTTGCATAAGCACCTTCTTTTAAATATTGGCTACATCTAAGAGACCCTATGGTCATGAGTGGCCCATTGATAACTCCAATTTTTTTTTAATTAACTCACCTGAATAATATCATTAGAAGGTGATTTTGTCTGCTTAAAGGCATTTTCTAGAACAGGGTTCTGTGATGCTTTTTTTACAACTGCCTTCAACCCAAAGGAGTGTCCTATTGGTCCAAAAATGCATCTGAAATAAAATAAAAAATCATGTTGTGCACATAAGGCTGCTTTGAAGACTGTGATACACCTCAGGCAAGTACTAAATTTTTTAATAAAATTAGCAAAGGTAATGAAAGCCATGAAACCTTGTGAAATGAGAGTTAATATTTGTTTCTTTAAAACATCAATATTGATAAATTTCTGTAACTTTGTTAATTTCTGTGTATATTTTCATAGAAAGAATGGTCTTCCAGGCCTGGCTGAAGTGTAGCTTGGAGCCTTTTCCCCATGTTTGTAACTAGGATATTAGAAATTAATACAAAAGAGAAGTGCAGCAGCCGTGTCTCCTAATATTATTTTAGATTGACAAATTATTCATGAATGAAAAAGATTCACAAAAGGCTAATTTAAATCATGTTCTTTAATTACCATCACATTAATAAATTCACCCCAAAATAATTATTTTTGCACATAACCCTTGGGTTGACACTTGGATGACATCAGCCTTTTAGTGAGATGCTCCACTGTGACATACTTATAGCCACGTGACTTGTCTATGGAAGTTACTTGACACTTTGCTTATGGCCGCTGATCATGGTGGTGATCAAAGGTTAACTTCTGAGTATGGTTCCGTATTCAAAAGGTTTGGATTTTAAGCTCTGTGCTTATTCGATGGAAGTTTCTATTGCCTCACAACACTTTGGACAGCTTTTTTTTAACCAATCAAAAAGCAGCATTTTAGCATGGCACTTGTCTTTTTCACTGGTGGTCAATTTGGCGTAATAGCAAGGATGATTCTTTTGAACCTTGTAAGTTGAATTTTATAAAAACATTTGGAACAATTCATTTTAATATATTTCATATAAACTTAACTCTTTCCGTGCCAATCGACAGTATACTGTCGATTTGACTGGTCGCGTTCGTGCCAACCCACAGTATACTGTCGATATCATTTATGTAGTTTATTTCGTTGCTTGTGGCTCTTAATCAGACTTTTTTGTTCTTAAACGAAGGATAACTCTTACTACTTCCTTTTTTTTAGGAAGGAGGGCATGTTTGCATGTGTTTTTTCTAATAATAGTTCAATTTGTGTTGAACCTTTTGTAAACAAAGCCGCCACGCCCACTCCAAGCATGTCAGCTGTTGCTAGACCATGTAGGTAGTCAATTTTGCAAAAAAAACAACTTTTATTGCTAATTTTTGATGCTAAAACAACAGACAATAACCATGAATCATTTGAATCTGATTCCAATGATGATTTTCAGCATTCTGATGGGTCGGTGAATGCCAAATGGAAATAGTAATAGAATGGTGATAGTAATAGTAATAGTGGTGACTATCAGCACTTTCATAAAAATTTCTAAACATTTTTAAAAATATAAAAATACCACGAATGTATAGAGCCTAGAGAATGGATTGAAAAAACACCCAGATCAACTTTCTTTCTGGCTCAAGTAGTTCAAAAGTTATGAATTTTTTTCAAAATCACTTTGTTACTCTGGCAACAGTGAGGATTCAGATTGGAATACTCCCAACGTTACAAAAATGGGTATAACTCTGTAACAAAAATGGAATATTTTCAAAATGTAAAATGCATTATGATCAAAAATGGATATACTTTTTGGGGATTGAAGCAGAATAGGATATCAGCTAAACAGACCGTATGGTAGTTTGATAAGTTCAGATTTGGTGTGCAATTTTAAAAATATAGAAAATTTGATCTCACAATTTTACCTAAAAAATTTAACTTTTGTTGTTATATTGTTTTATATTTTACTTATTATTATTCTCTGTCTAATTTCCTTTAATTTGATATGAAATACAGCTATCTTGCTAAAAGAAATGTATTCAAAATTAATTAATAGATAGGCGGCACCCTAAAAAATTTCCATTGGCCGAATACTGGTCTGGCACAAACGTGGAAAACCCCTTGGCATGGAAAGAGTTAATCAATCGTCAGATTTAGTTTATGATGCTAAGAATGCTTTCTGAAGAACAGAAAAGTTGTCATTGTGATGCCACTGCGCTTAGGGTAAGATACCTCTTGGCAAACCCCATACCACTATCTCCACCTTTACCCAGATTTTTATATAATATTTTTTATGGACAGGCTAGGTCAACTGGTTAGTATTAATAACTCAACATTAATACATACTGTAACATACATATAATACATAGTTAAATACCATTTTTGAAGAATTCCTCAACTGGCCAGCCCCACAACACACACTTAACATAGAGCCAGCGGAACAAGATCTAGAAAAGGATAGCCACCCACAATACATCCACAAAATAAGAGATATGCAGAGCAATTAAACAACTAAAGGAAGGCAAGGCGGCAAGTCCAGACAGAATACTGGCCGAAACCTTGACAGCAGATATTACAACTAGCACTGAAATGCTACACACACTATTCAAGAACATATGGGAGGAAGAACAGATACTGATTGATTGGAAAGAAGGAAACCTCATTAAGCTCCTGAAGAAAGGAGACCTTAGTTCTTTCTCTTACTATAGAAGAATAACCCTGCTATCCATCCCAAGCAAAGTATTCAACAGAATGCAGACCGGTGTCAGACAGGGATGTCTGCTCTCGCCCTTCGTATTCCTGCTGACCATTGATTGGATAATGAAAATGTCTACAAAGCAGAAGAGAAATGGTATCCATCCAGTGGACACTATGGAAACAGCTTGATGATCTGGATTTTGCGGATGATCTCGCTCTAATATCACACACACAGCAACAGATGCAAGAGAAAACCAATTATGTAGCACAGTACTCTGCTTGCGTTAGCCTGAACATCCATAGAGGAAAAAGCAAAGTCCTTAAAATAAATACATCAAGCAACACACCTATAGCACTAGAAGGAACAAACCTTGAAGAGGTTGATAGCTTTACATACCTCATCAGCATCATTGACATACAAGGAGGGACAGACGCCAACATAAGAGTGAGAATTGGCAAGGCTAGAGCTGCATTTAACCAGCTAAAAAAAGTCTGGAGCTGCAGCAACTTGACCCTACAGACCAAGGTCAGGATATTCAACACCACAGTGAAACCTGTCTTGCTAAATGGAGCAGAAACATAGCGAACAACAGCAGCTGGTTCAAATAAGCTACAGACGTTTATCAACTCATGTCTCCGAATGATTCTATGAATCCGCTGGCCCAACGTCCTCACCAACGAGGATCTCTGGCGGCGCACACAAGAACCAGTGGAAGAGTTAGTCTGCCAGAGCAGATGGAGATGGATTGGCCACACCCTCAGAAAGCCCACATCAAGTATCACGAGAAAAGCCCTCACTTGGAACGCCAGGGCAAGAGAAAAAGAGGTCAACCCAAAATAACTTGGAGAAGGGAACTAGAGGCAGACACCAAAAAGAGTGGGCACAACTGGGGACAGCTGGAGAGACTTGCCCAAGACCGGGATGCCTGGAGAGCCTTTGTTTGTGGCCTAAGCCCCAGACGGGACGACAGGCGATGATGCACCTCCCCTGGATATAGCATTACCGCAGAGATATTTGTCTAGAACAGTAGTGAAAGCGCCCCTTGTGGTGGGTAAGACCAAGAAAATAAAAACACATTTGCTGCCATTGCTAGTTGTTCCTGTCTTTAAAAATAAAATCAATTTTGATGCATTTTGATTAACAGCAGAAAGCATTATTTGCTGTTGAATTTTTTTTTTTGCGCATTACTTGTATATTTAAATATTGTTTCTTGTTTCTAGAAAATTAATTAAATAAACAAAACAACAATAACTAAATTAATTATTTTATATTTTTACAGTTTATAATGATATAATTTATGGGGGGGGGGGGGGTTTTTTTGGGGGGAAATGTTTTTGAAATTAAGAGGGGATGCAGTGCTTCCATAGATTCTAGGCTAGAATATTTATTAAGATCTCCCTGCAACCGTCAACCATTTTTCATTCTATCTCACTTCAAGTGGTAACCCTAATTCTATGACTCCTGTTGCTACATTTTTATATAAATTCTCTTAAATGTCAAGTCACTACACCACGATTCACCTCCATACTCCATGGCATCCTGTAACTTTATCAGAAGCCATTTCTTAGATCTAGCATATCAGATCATATCTGTATTGATTCTCTCAGTTTAAAAATAAAATAATTATAAATTTTATATAAAAGAATAATTTTAAAATGTTGGTAATTTAGTTTTTCCAAGATTCAAGAATGCTACGCTTTTAATGTGACGTCACAATGAATGCTTAAAAACCAACACATTTGAGCCCCCCACCCCCCTCCTAGACATATGTCATTGGGAAGCGTTATACGCAGTCAGCTGCGCATAACCCTGAAAGTTATTCCCAGCCGACTGCGTATAACTCTCAGGGTTATACGCAGTCGGCTGGGAATTTAGCCAAATAATGTTTATTACCGCTAGTTTGGCAATTTCAAAAAAAGTATTATGCGTAATTAGCCGCATGATGGGTTGTTTTGAACTATAACTTTTAATGTGTTTAACGTAAGTAAGACGTAAAATTTTTTATGAATTAATTTTAATTAATTTTGAATAATAGTAATAGTATTAGTGCTATTATTAGTATTATTGCTTGTATCTTATAAATTATAAGTCTAAGTCAAAGTTCTAAATTTCTTAGAGTCTAAAACTAAGAAGATGATTATGCCTTAAGGCAGCGGTCCTCAACTTGTGGGTCGCGACCCCTTTGGTGGTCGAATGACCATTTCCCACGGGTCGCCTAAGACCATCGGAAAACACACACGCTCAAAAGTTACCAAGCAGCAACGAAAATAATTGTGTGTTTGGGGGTCGCCACAACGTAAGGAACTATATTAAAGGGTTGCGGCATTGGAAAGGTTGAGAACCACTGCCTTAAGACATTTCCTTGGTTTAAGTCGAGTTCTGTATTCTGATTGATTAGGTTTTTACATGTTGCTATGACTATGTGGTTGGTTTCACTGACTAATTCAGGAAATACATTCTATTTATTTTTAAAAACTCATATAATTTATCTTTTATTTTTTTTGGGGGGGAGGGGGGGTGACCTTAATGTAACAGTTTTCAGCTTCCATGCAAAACTATAACTGTGTGAAAGTATTACTTACAGTGCCCCCTCTACAGAACCCCCTGCCCCTACAGCAATTTTTTTCTGCTACTCTCTACCCCTGATTATAATTCTAATCATGTTTTAACAATTTTTAGCCAAAACAAACGTGAATTAATTAATCTCGAGAACCAACATAAAAATGAACATGTATCATTCAGTCTTGACTGGCCGTTGGCTGGAATTGAACTCCAAACTAAAAACTTCAGGTTTGCTCAATTCAAACCATTCGACCACCTAGTCATCTTGATAACGAGGTACCTTTAACGAACGATACTGTAACAGAGGAAGTATATAGACCTCACGTGACTTGCCGACTGCGTATAACTCTCAGGGTTATACGCAGTCCGCTGCATATAACCACTTCGTATGTCATTTATGGATGGACCCTAGGCTCAAGTAAACTCATTCATCTACAAAATGGTATATAAAAGTATGTTTGGTTATCATAATTAAGATAACTAATACAAGCAAGTGAATTTATACTAAGACCCTGCATGTGATTCAACAGTACAGTCAGTACAGTGATTGTGAATGTGGGAAAATGAAAATGTAACCCACATTTAATTCAGCCACACAGGGTTTTTCAATAGGGTAGCCAATCAGTTAAAAGCCTTAAAAGGAGTAAAATTCAGTAATAGCAATAGGGACTGGCCGCCTTGTAAAAACTACTGCTAGTTTAGTCTTTTTACTACATATTGGATGATAATTTTTTATTTAAAATTTAGGCCTACTTTACAGCCTACTACATAAATACACTATTATTATAAATTATAGTGTATTCTATTTACCTTTCGAAAAATATCCGTAATATGTAAACGAAGACAGAAAGATACACAGGTACTATTAGATCCCCAGTCTGAGGATGATATATGCCATTATCTGTATTTTTAAGATCATCCCAAGTTCGGTTTCCAGGTAACCAAAAGGACCGTGTCCAAACAACATCGGACACAGCCTGCCATAACTCCGCCATGATTGCTGCTATCTAGCCAGATTTCCTCAGCAACAAGCAGGTGAAGCAACATACTTCTTATTAAAAATGAATGTCAGTTAGTAATTTGTCTGGAAATATTTTTTTGTATTGAAGTATTTAGTACTTAGAAAGAAATATGAAGGAAAAATTATATTTATAAAAATATGTTTACTTTTTTTTAAGACTTCCTTTCGAAGGCGAGCTTAAAAAATTAGAAAAAAAGAACAAACAAACATAGAGTCTATTTATAAGTATCTTCCACATTTAATTGGATTCCTTTGACTTCATTGAGTGGCGAGTGGCCTACTACACTTCTGCACATACTTTGCGTAATCACAATGAATTAAGAAATGTTAAGAAATTTATTTTCTACTATTTAGTACGTTTAAACAATATTTTATGCTTAGACTTTCTTGGCGCAATAAAGTTTAAGAAATTTTAAGAAAGCTATTTTCCTTGTTTAGTGCGTTATTCTCGTCTTCGAAAGAAAGCCTTTTTTTTTTTTACTTTTTGTGTCTATTTATAGTATGAAATTTTTAATCTGTAACTTATCAAAAAAAAATATTTTTTTTTTTTTAAATACTTAGCTCTTCACCCCGACATAAAACTAAAAAGTATTAAACGACTGTTTGCCGTCAAAGTTTAATTTCCGAAATACTCAGTCCCAACGCCTTCGCCCATCACATCCCAAAATCCTACAGCCTACAGTTACAGCTAGAACCGATGATTATTGTAAGCGAAATGGTCGAATTATTTTGTTGTTTTTTCAATCACCTTTTTATCTCCCCATCTCTCACCACCTAACCCAGGGGTCTCAAACTCGCGACCCGCGGGCCATTTGCGACCCGCAACACAATATTTTGCGGGCCGCTACTTGATACTATTAATGCGGCCCGCGCGTTTTACCCGGATTCTTATATCTATAATGGGACCCTCCGTGACGGTTTCAGTCGAATCTCACCGACTAGTCTAATTCTAAATTATATTATGTTTGTATAAGTTTGGACGTTGATTATAATGGTAAAACCCGTTTTAAAATAGGACTAAAAGTTTTTATTTTATAGCATTTTATGAGACAAACATGGCCAAAGTACGGTTTTGAGAAAGCACGCTTCAAATATTGTATATACATATAATAATAATAAGAATAATAATAATAAAGTTCATTTCAATAACACGCTTCATCCCCAAAGGCTCGAAGCGCGGTACAAAGTCAACATATAAACATATATTAAAAGTCAGTTAGTGGGTAATGGACAACCATACGTGTGTAAATCGTGGCAACATGACATAGTATCAAAGAAACCCTACTACAATTGCCGATAGTGTGTACTAGTGAGGGAAATTCCAAAAAGGCCTTTTCTAGGATAAAAAAAAATCAAAATTCAATCTCCCTACAATAGCATCTTTCTACGCATCAATAATTCATAAATATTGCCTGCTCCTGCCTTCTGTTTGAACACATTTCAGTTTGAACTCGCCAGTGGGAATCACCAATTTTTTTATTTTATTCTTTTTCGTCTTATCAGAAGCTCATTATTTTCAAAGCATTTATTAGCTGAATATTTTTACTGCAGATCACCGGGAATTTAATTTTCTTACTAAGGATATAATGCAGTTATATGTGACGACCGAGTTCTTGAGAAACCTTAATGTTTTTATTTGTTATTATTAAAGGTTGAGCAGATTGTAACAGTTGTACTTTTTTAAATTCGTAATCGCTTTTTTGTGGAATAGTTGTTGCGGCCCAGTCTCACTCAGACTCTACCTCATGCAGCCCCCGGATAATTTGAGTTTGAGACCACTGACCTAACCCCTCTCCCTCGACCCAGCTTACCGGAGCTGTAACTCTGTGTTATCAACTGGGCTGGTCCACTGCTCTAAGTTTACAACAGAAACTCGTACCTCTCCCCGCTAGACAGCGACGAGGCCATTGACAGGCAGTTCCAGCTCATAACAGCAAGAACAGAGTACAGGAACTGCACATTTCTGCCAAAGACAATCAGGGACTGGAACAAGCTTCTGTTACCTCATTCCTTTCAACCATCAGTTCCAGATACCCTCGCTGACTAGCTCTTGCAACCAGTGACATATCCTCTGCAATACCAGACATAGAAAAATTGCGAATCCCCTCTACATAAATAGAATTATCAATACATTGATCGTATACCCTTAAGATATAGAAGAAGAAGGAGATGTTACCTTACAGGTCAGTACGGGAAAGACTAAATCGACCGAACGAAATGGTCACCTGTGTCAACACAAACAAAAGTACGCTGGATAAACAAGATGGTAATTCGAGTAGAAAGAAGTTCTTCAATAATAAAAATAGATCATAAATCAGGGAGCTAAAACAGAATTAAAAAAAAATAATTTCGTATTAATGGGGCAATAGTCAAGTTTAATAATTAACCTTCCCAAGTATGCAATATTGATAAGAAAAGACTATTGCCCCATTAATACAAGATTATTTTCTTTATACCTTAAGTTTAATATTTAACCTGCCCATGTATGAAATATCGATAACAAAAAAAAAAAAGATAAAGAAACATTAAATCTAAAGGGAGGGAAAAAAAAAAAAAAAAAAAAAAAATTAATATAAAAAAGAAGAAAAAAAAAAAAAAAAATTATGGTGATCCACTTTAATCATTATTAAATCCACTTCAGTTTTTTTTTTTTCCAAGCAGCTTCGTAGTTTAGACCCTAATAGTTTCACTGTAACATATTTTGGTTTCACTTCTTATTAATTATTTTAATAATGATATTAATGACTTACTAATATCATTAATAATTTAATAAGTATTCCTGAAGTTCCGCGATGTGTGAAAAACCAAAATCAAGTATAAGTCATCAAAATCATCATTGCTTATCAGGTCAAAGTCCATGTCAAGGTCACTATCGCCACTTTCAAATAATTGCTTTGCCTGTAATTTTTTTTTTATTTCAGAGGTTGATGTGGCAATCAATGATTCTCTTTTCTTTCTAGTGTTATTTTTAATGGGTCCTGCTTTAGAGTAGCCTAGAAAAATCTCAGGTGACCTAAACACTGATGGGTTGGGGTGTGAAGACTGGTGGAGTTGCAAGGGAGAAGATGATGTAGCTGGGCTATCTAAAAAAGGCGCAGCTGTAGACAGTATTTCAGCTGGATCTGGTCTGTCTGTTATAGCACAAGGCACGAAGTCTACATCTGTGTAAATGACTTTATTAAGAGGCCAAATTCCGCTGGCTTGGAAACCAGACAGTATATTTGATGGGTCGCTGCTTTGAGGAAGGCGCCACCACCACAACATTAATACATTCCTAACACAACGTGCCATGCAAGTAGTGGTGGACGGCGTCCAATCAGGGAAAGCCACCGTAGACTCAGGAGTTCCACGAGGCATAATGCTGGGCCCCCTTCTCTTTCTCTGTCACAGAAACGACCTACCCGATTCAGTAAATTCTCAAGTACGGCTGTTCGCTGACGACTGTCTTATCTACATAGAGATAAACAGCAATGATGACCATAACCACCTCCAAACAGATTTGAATTGCCTTATGAATTGGGCGGACAAATTGGGCATGAAATTTAATGAAACCAAATGCTACACGATGACAATCTCAAGAAAAAACCATCAACTCATATTTACTCACTAAACGAGACAATCCTCCAACAAGTATCCAATAGTCCATACCTTGGAATTCTCTTTTCAAATAACCTAAAATGGTCACCCCATATAAACAAAATTTTAAAAAAGAGCCAACTCCACCCTAGGTTTCATCCGAAGAAATCTGCGCCACTTCCCAACTTCCTGCAAACGAAATGCCTATCTCTTACTCGTCCGTCCACTACTGGAATATGGTGCAGTCATCTGGGACCCACACCTTAAGCAAGACATGGACACGATGGAGAGAAATCACCGTGACGCAATGCGTTTTATCGCTCGAGACTACAAATCCACCACTCCTGGCTTCGTCACTGGCCTCTTAAAAAGATTTGACATCCCACCCCTTAAAGACAGACGAGAGGGACTCCGCCTGATATTCTTGTATAAAGTGTTCATGGGACTGGTGCCGGCCATCCCAGCAGGCACGTACCTCATTCCCACAGAAGCCGGGTAGACTGATCAGAGCAAAACGCTAATTGAACACTGACTTCACCACTGACATTCCCATAAACAATTACACTCGAAACAATAGCAAATGCTTCAAAGTGCCTCAGTGCAACACAGTGCAGTATCAACAATCTTTCTTCCCACGCACAATAATAGTATGGAACCACATGAAAGATGCCTCTGTGAACTCGACATCGGTCGAAAGCTTCAAGGCTGCCCTGGCATCAGCTAGGAGCTGTTAGAATATCAACATCATATCCCCAACCGTTGCAAAGATGCCAGAACATGGATGCAGCAACGAAACATTACCAGAACCAGAAACAGAAGTTCAGCAATTTGGTAAATTGCGATTGGTTTGCCTACGTTCCTAAGCATCCAGGAATCAGCTAAAGCATTGAAGGCACTTCTTAATGGTCCAAAAACTGATCTGTCCAGTGGCTGTGTTTTATTTGATGTGTGTGGTGGCAATGTAAAAATATGAATAAAGTTCTCTTTAGCAAGAAACAATGCCTCATAGAATAGGTGGCTAAATTGTAAATTTGTCCACCACACAAATTATTAGCGGAAATGGCTGCTTTTAGATTTCTAAAAAAAAAAAATATCTCAATGTTGTGTGGGTTAAGGGCGGTGGCTCCGTTTGGTGCAGTGATAATTAAGGATGCCTCTGTCGAAAGCCATAAAGCCAATCTTTACCAGCAGCTTTCTTATTATGCCGTGATTCAGGTACTTTTATTTTGTTAACTATGGCCATCTCATAGGCTAATAATTTCACACTGGCTAATTTCAGCCCATGAAACATTTTTGAACATGCTTCCAGGTAATCTGCAAACATAGTTTCTTGGTCAGTTGTGAATACCATTGGCCCATGACATGTTTGTAATTTTGTTGTAATTGGTCCTAGAGACATATTTTTTAAATTTTGTTTTTCACAGTTGTGCGTGATATTCTGAATAGTGTAGCAGCTGCATGTATCGACTTTCCCCCTTTAAAGGCATCAACTGCATTTCTCATAACTTCCAATGGTATTTGACCCTTATCTGTTTTTCTTGTGTAGTTTCTAGTTCTAGGCATGAGCCTGCTAGAAAAAGAAAAACGTTTTGCTACAATAAATCATGACTGATAATTCTAAATTTTTATTTAAATTTAAAGTTAATTAACTATAGTCATGCTCAATATTTTAATACGTTTTAATTACTTCAAGGTTATGCAGCAATGAAGCATAAGAAAATTAAAAGTGGGGAGAAATGGACATATGTCCATTTCTCCCCATTACTTTGGCACGTTTCACCCCAATAGGGGGTTGATGCAGAATTATTTTTTTTAAAATGTAAGTTTGTGATGTAAATACACAAATTTAATATGAATTACTATAACTAACTAAATATTATACATTAAACCATATTTACCTGTATTCTTGATGAACCAGTTAAATTTCTAGACTTTAATGTTCAAAACAACATTATTTTATGCCAAATTTTACTCATAATTCATTTGATTCATCGCTGGCCATAAAACCTAGAACCTATTAGAAATCACAAAAAGGTAGTATTTTCTGCATTCGTTTAGTTCCGAGACAATTTGGTCCAATAGATTCGATTTTATAGAGGGTGGTCATTTCTCCCACCTGTCCATTCCTCCCGACTCTCCCCTATATAAGAACTAATTTTCTTGCTTGTGTTTACGCTATTCAAATGCTGAATAAGTATGTCTTTAAATTTAAATTAAACAACCCTTTTTTTAAGTACAAAGTTTTTCGCATAAATTATTTATAAAATTTAATATCCAGCAAGGGGCTGAGAATTGGAAAAAAACAAACCATGCATTCAAATAACGCCCTTTATAAAAAAAAAAATCCCAATCAGTCCCCCACCTCAAAGCCTCGCAACCGCACATTTTTTTTCACGCCCCTGAACAATATTGATATTCTAATGACCCACCCGCTTTAATTAATACCACAGATTTGTTTCACCAACTGTTTCAGAAAAACAAAAGAAGCTATTACGCACCAAACTCACTTAATAACGCGTGGGACATTAGAATATTAATAAAAAATAAAATAATAATAATGTACTTTGTTTTTTTGGCCTTATGTAATTAAATTAAAAAACGTTGACACCCCCCTCCCTTTATTTATCCGTTAGGCTACCGATTGACATCAAAACGGAGCTTGACAAATGTGTCAACATTCCAGAAAAGCCATTTTAAATTTATTATAACTGTCACAGACTATCGAATATATTGGTGTTCCTCAGCCTTTTATACTTTAAAAAATATAATTGAGAGTGTTCTTTGACATCGAAGATCATAAACACTCATTTATGAATAAAATTTCTTTTTTTATTAATCAGAATCATAATCATACATTTGTAAATTGTAACTCTTTCTTCCTCATTCTCGTTCATTTTCTTTCTCTTGTTTTATTATCCTCCTCTACACCTTTCCCGTCCGTGCCTGTGTGTATTCAAGTATAGTTTTTCTTTTACTGCTTTTGGAGAACATATAATCAAATCAAATTGTATGATTTTAAGTGTGAGGGCTTGAAATTGAAAGTTTTATTCAGTCACTTATTCACATGCCTTTTAAGTATTTCGGCCTATTGAATATGTACTTGAAATTCCAAACGATATGCATGGATTTGTTATTATTTTTATTTTAAGCTGTTTTTATTTTTATTTAATTTAATTAAATATAGGATTTTTGTGCGTTTTAAACATGGTAAGCATTACTTATAGTGAATTAGACTTTTGTTTTAGAGTTTCTGAAATCTGGCTTTTTTTTCATCCTGTCGGTCTTTTCTGTTTCCGGTCGAAAAACCTCGGTAATGTTTATGTGTTAAACCTTACTATTTTTCAATTAAAATCACCATCCATCCACTTAAATATTTAGAATTATTGCAAGATATATTATATTTAATCATATAGGAAAATTAATCGGTTATATCATATGGTTTGTATTTTTTCAAATCGTTTTATGAAGAAAGCAAAGCTTACGTAAAGGATATAAAAATAGTCCAAAGACTAAGAGGAAAGCATTATTTTATATGCTTTATGCCTAAAGTCTTAAACTTAAAGAATTATTCTTCTTTCGATTACCTCCGTTTATGCTTACAATTTCACTTTGGAATGAATCAATATACCTTTTGATCCTGTGTTAGACTGGTTAATTTCTCAGTTCAATTTAACTCAGATCTGATCATTCAGAATTAATGAAATATGAGACTGAGAAAAGGCACTTATTTCACTTATAATTTATATATTTATATTATTTATATGGTCATAATTTTCTTCACCAACCACTTGAAGCTAACTGAAATTAAAATCATGGCCTATATTATTGTGTATAACTATTTTGTTTTATTCATTTTCAGACATGGGTAAATTTATGAAATCGGGGAAGGTTGTTTTGGTCCTTGGAGGACGATTTGCCGGACGCAAAGCTGTCATTGTGAAAGTAGGTATATCATTTTGGATTTGGACGTGACCATTTTCAAAACAATAACTGTGTATGCCTTATGAACCTATTAATATTTAACCAGATAGGGATAGACATAGTAAGGACAGTGCACATATTGTACAACGCAAAGGGTTTGTGTATCATTTTCAATGATTTGTTGTATAATGTAGGGTTTTTTAGTTTTGAGAGTGGTAGAGATCAACAGCAATGTTACATTAAAATTCATTTTTATTAGTTGTTAATGCTTGGTAAACATGGACTAAATGCGCCATGTTTCACACTGCCATCATATTGTTTGCCATGACTCATGAAAGGTCAGTACTTGTAGACACGGAATACAAAGTGGTAAAAAAAAATTATAAATGAAGACAAACAATACAAACTAGTTTTCAAATAATGAAAACCCAACGTACACACTGGATACTTTTAACAGAGGATCTGTTGACCAGTACATAGTGTATGCTGGTAGTTTGTGCCCACCAAACATATGTATATAAATGGTTGACAGTGACCTGGAGTGAAATTGTGAGCATTCCTGTAGGCAGCATACAAATTGGTCTGGTCAGAAATCTTTTGTATAATTTCATCAGGAAAAATAATTTTAAAAATTCCACTGGCTGAGACTGATGATCAATATTTATATTAACAATATTAGGCCCAACACCTGATGTAAACATCTCAATTTTCACTGGATTGAGCGTAGCATTCTAAGGCAAAGACTGAGTAGTAGTAGTAACTTCACAATCTTCAGTATCGTCGTCAGAACTCTCACTTTCAATATTGCTACCACTACCAAAAACATTTTCATCAGGCGTTTCGACAAATCCATTTTCAATGTCACTTTCATTGGAATCACTATCGCTATCACTTTCATTACAATTATTGGAAACCAAACTTTCTAAAAATCGGAAAGCCAAGCTTTAAATAAAATGATTTTCAAAAATCTGTGGCTAGGTACTTGGGTAAAATTTTCATAATGAATTTATAGCTTTAAGAGCTAGTTGGTTAGATAGGGCCTGAAAAATGCAATTCATTGATAACAAATTTATGTTTGTAGGTCAATTCTAAAGAAAGTTATGATTTTTTTCGTGAATTATTTTGGGATAACTCTGTTAATTGAGACATATAGAAAAATATAAAATGAAATAAAAATAGGGCAGAGATTTGGGAGAGATGTTAAAAAAGAGCAGTAAATTGAAGTTATTTAACCATAACAAACCATTCCAAACAGACGTCATATCATAAATTCTATGGTACGCAAGATGAGCTCATTAATACTCAAAATGGCCGTAAAATTTCCATATGTCATATTTGAATATGAACATAACATGAACAATATTCTTCAAAATATAGGGTCATGTATATCAAATTGTTCGTATTAAAAAGGGGAAAAATAATAAGTAGCACATGGATGAGTGAACCAATGTGTCCATTAAGAAATTTAATTTATTTTATATCTCCGATAGCAAATCAATATCTGATATTAAATGTAAAATATGTATTTTAAAGTAGGAGTTTTTCTTGCATAGGGGGTATCTTTCAATTCTATATTCTGTTTGCTAAGTGTAGCATTAGCTTTTCATAGAATCCCTACAATTAAAAAAGAATTGTGCTGCTTCAACTATTGCCTACAAATTGCTAATATGATTAACATTATGATGTCAATGTCGTTGGATAGGCCTTTAAAAAAATAAAGTATTTTTGTGTGTGTGAATCATTTCAAAGTATCAATTCATCTAAATAATAAACAAATCTTAATTTTAAATCTATTATGAAGATAAAATAAACTTTTCTTCATATTTCCACGCTACAAATGTGTCAGGTAGCTTAGACCAAACTCCCTAATAGGCCTATTACTATTATATGGGAGTGGAAGTTTCACTATTTAAATAAAGAAATACAATTAAATATCTATTCATGTGTCTTCTTTGTTAATAATATTATCCTCAAATAAATTGTTTATTAATCAGATTACTTAAGATTTAAAAATGATTTGCTGAGGTGGATTCGGCCATCTTGAAAATGGTATCCAGGGAGGAAACAACCATGTGGTGGCTGTTTTGAAAATTTAATAAAATCGTTGGGGTAGGTTGGGGGGACTATTAATTTGTTTATTCTTGAAGATAATTGGATGCTCTAAACAGTGGTTATCATGAAAATCGAGTCTGGTGAGTCTATGCGAGATATTAAATAGTACACTTAGCTTAATTTAACTTGATATATATTTTTGTTTTTCAAACGTGATTGAAAATCTGAAGACACTGTATTATTCAGCTTCCAATTCTCTTTAAAATGATATATCACACTACCTATTTAATAAAGAAACAACCACAAAACACATTTTTTCCCAATGCATATGCAAAGTATACATTTTGAAGTGGACAAAAAGTTGAACAAGGGGCACGTAACTCTGCAATTATTTGACACTTGCAGAAAACTGGTTTACCCAAGTACCTACTGTGGCTCGCGTCTCTCTCAATGTAATTCGTTTCCGTGAAAAGGAAAAGGAAGTAGAACTTTTCTACTTTCATAGTTTATTATTTTATACCGTTTTCTGGTGCAATATATCATTTATTTGGTATGTGTATATAGACGTCGATGGCGGGCGATGTGGTATAAAATGCTAGCGGGCGATGGCAGGGGATACAGGAAGTTACCGGTTAACGTACATAACATGCAAATATGACCTTATTTTCTGCAGATAAAACAACTTGAGACTGAGCGCAAAATTTGAGTAGCAATTTTATGTACCGGGGTATCCCCATAGACACGACTCAATAATGACTTGAGGTTGCCCCCGTATTGAGTCACAGTTTTACATACTGCCCATCCCCAATAAGATATATAAGTTAATAGTTATTTCAATATTTTATAGATTTTGTAATCTAATACTTGGATATTGTCAAAATGGTTGAAAAGGGCAGTGTTGGATTTATTGTGTTTTACAATAAATTGTGTCCCCAGAAACCCCAATTATCCCTAGAGCTTAACTCTCCACTCTGTCGCTAAAAGTTAAATTAAGAGAATTGTTTAAATAGCAATCGTTATGCAGGCAGATGTTCAGCAGGGCTTTTAGTTTTATAATCCAAGAAAACGAGATTACCAGAACACCAGATTAATAGAACACTATTCAGTGAAATAACTAAGCGCTTTATATCACTTTTCCTTAATTTTTTAAGAATTACGATGAAGGAACACCTGACAAGCCTTTTGGTCATGCTCTAGTAGCTGGCATTGACAGATATCCTCGTAAAGTAACAAGAAGCATGGGCAAAAAGAAATTGAAGCAACGATCCAAAGTAAAGTCTTTTGTGAAAGTCTATAACTTCAATCATTTGATGCCAACTAGGTGAGAATAAATTTGATATTTATCTTTAAAAAATTAATCATTTTATCAAGTCCTTTTTTACAGCTGAAAGGATCGAAATGCATTTTACATTATTTAAATTATTTCAGCTTGACTTAGAACCTAGTGGTGTGCATGATTTCATTTAAAAATTGATTTCATCCTGTGAGATTAGCTATTGGTCTTTGTTATGTTCATATATCATTGCAATTGTTATATTATGCTAAAATTAATTTATTTCAGGTTGCTCTGGTCTTTAGCTAGTTATAATTTATTAATGGCACTGCAAATTGTCACCAAATGAACTGCATTTGCAAAGTAAAATAATTAAGCCTATTGTGGGGTACTTGTATAATTTAAAATCTAAATCAACCAGTGCTTTTGTTTCATATCTCTGAACCTGAAAAGGACACATGCACATTTTTTTTTTTTTCAATTCCAAAAGCTCTGCCATTACAAAACATTTTTCTCAAGTGCATTGTATGACACTTAGATGACAGAGTCATCAGTATGCATTGTACTTTTCTGGATGATTTTTATATAAAAAGGGTACATACAAATTTCTTAGAAGAGGTTTTTTAAACTGTACATTATCCAAGAGCGTGTGGTGAAACTTTTAGGGATCAAAATTTCATTTATCTACATTTGACACTTGTTAATGTAAAACTAAATTGCTTTTTCACTGTATTAACTCTCTGCAGTCCGACTATAGAGAAATGGTACTTATAAGTACCATAGATTTTGTGGGTGGGTTATTTATTTTTTAACTTTTTTTTTTTAATTGAAAAAAATTATTATATTTTAATAATTTGTTTCATTGATTTAAGTATTAGTAAAAAAAATTAAAATTATTACAAATTTGAAATTACTATTTAAAAAATATTTTTGGAAACATTCAGCGCGGGGTATCCTTGAAAACTTCGCATATTTAAATACAAAAATAAATTAATATGTCTCACAAAGAAAATTAAATAGTAGTATGAATATTGTCAAATGATTTTAATTTCCCGATTTATCAAGGAGTTATTTGTTTGTCTAAAGTAATGTATCCAAATGGAGACTCTAATCATGAAATTTATCACGATTTGCATATTAAAGTACCGACTAATGCTATCGTAAACAAGTAAGCTTAATTTTAATTATTTCCCGACTTTAAAATTAATAATAAAACAATAAAGTGATATTTTTATAATTTTAATTGGCTGAAGTATATATTATCCATTTATACTTATATTGATATATTCTATTTGAATTTTATTGAGTTTCAATAATTACATAATAAATAAATAGTGTCGCTGTGCGAAATAAATATTTTAAAAAAATAGCCGCAAATTTGGGCCAACTGGAACTTGCGTAATTAAATAAATTTAAAGTTAATGACTTCTGAGTTATTAACTAAATATATTTATTTAAAATATGTTACAGCCAAGAATAATCTTCAAAATTTTCTAATATTGCATAGTAGAAATGTGTTTAAATTTAATTATCATTATCGCTAGTCACTAGTATTAGTAGTGACTACTGGGCAGAATAAAAAAAAAAAAATTACGTTTTTATTAAAAGCTCTCTAACTCTAATGGGAAGGAGGAGAGAGAGACAAAAATGCAGATATTGGATCAAGAAGCCCTTATTCCTTATTGATCCTAAATATTAAGCCTGGACTCCACCCTTTTACTGAGTTACAGAGTTACTGGATGAATATCTTTGAAGATTTTACCCTAAAAACAAGTGGTGGTAAGTTTTAATCTAATCACTTGGTAGCAAAATGCATAAAGAATAAACTCACAATATTGTTATAACATATGTTATAATGTATTTTCTATGTACAATGGTTTACTTTTATACTAATTTAGGCATTTGGACTAGGATTTATGGTATTTTCCCTTACTGATAGCACACCATTACTGATACCATTAGTGTTAATTTATTTATGAATCAATCAATTTTTTTTCACAGGTTCTTTATTGAGTGAATATTATGTGGTGAAAAATCTTACCTAATCTTATGTAGAAATCAAGTCCAGGACAAGCTCTTATTTATCAAATATAATTATTATATGAAGAAATATTTGTTCAGATAAATATAATTAAGGAATACTGCAGTTTATCAGCCTGTGTTATGTGGTGATTATAACAAAGATAGACCGTATAAAAATGCCGGTACATGGTAAAAAATAGATTACATTAGTGAGGAATGGATCGTATTTGACATTAATATCAAAATTAGCATTATTGTACTGAAACATTTTAATTTTTTTTAACTTAAACATCAGCGAATACCGCTGTTTTAAAATTTAAAAAAACCAACATGACTCTTGTTTTGAGTTATTTATATAATCATCAAATTTTACTTAGTTATCTTTTACTCAAGAATTATTAAGAAATATATTAAATATACAAATCTATAAGCTATGAGGCCCATTTTTAAAATATCCCATTCGCTACTATTGCAACCAAATGTGACATACCCGCCTCACTACTAATGCGACTGAATGCGCTATCACGCCTAGCAACGTACATATAACACACGTTATCGCGAGAAGCATTGTTGCCTTGCGAATAGCTTTGGGATTTTAAGGAAGTGAGAATAGAGGTGCTTCCGTTAAAAAAAACGGATGTTTCTATCATTTACGGTTTGAAAGCTGCGTGGTGTTAAGGTCAGTCTAAGCTTAGTGAATTTGTGACTCGTTTTTTACGTGAATTATTTTGCTATGGCTTTTCAATTTCTTGACTCTTTGATTGCTGCATCCACTTCTAATTATCAAGTAATAATTCTGACAATGAGGATGAATCAGACATTGATATTGATCCAAATGCATTGAATTTAGACTCAGAATCGGAAAATAATACCGATGAAAGTGACGTTGATGATAGCGACCCAGACACTGTCACTGAGTCTTGGTCAGGCGATTTGACCAGTGTAACTAAGATAGAATTATTTCGTGAGATAGAAGGTGGCATCCATAACCTTCCTATTGAAAGAGGTCCAATTGACTATTTCAAACTGTTTTTGACCCATGCCATGGTGGAACTTATTGTAGTGGAAACCAACAAATGCTGAGCAACAGCAGACTGCTAAGGGCCGAAAAGACACCCAGTGGAAGGCGTCACTAATGACATTTATAAATTTACATACATAAATATTGTTTGGGCTCCATAAATTGCCCACTACTAAATTGTACTGGTCCAGTGACAAACTTTGGAGGGTCCCTGCAGTTGCAGATGTTATGGGGCGCACCCGATAAGAAAAAATATGTCAATATTTTCATATCACTAACAGTGAACACATGCCAGCCAAAAATAGTGTCAACCATGATCCCCTTTTCAAAGTGAGACCACTACTGGACCATATTTGGAGTGTCTGCCAAACAGCGTATAAACCGCAAGGACAGCTGTCCGAGGATGAAGCAATGGTTGGATTTCGTGGCTGATTATCCTTCAACAATACTTGAGCAACAAGCCAACTCCATGGGGCATCAAAATTTGGTGCTGCGCAGAAGCCAAAACCGGTTACATTCTTAACTTCCAAGTCTATACCGGCAAAAATAACAATCCATCAGAACATGGACTTGGATATAATGTTATGTCCATGATGGAACCGTACTTGGACAAGTACCATGTAGTGTTTTTCGACAATTTCTTTTCATCTCCAAAACTTGCAGAGGACCTCTACTCTTATTGCGAAAAACATATAGCTGTGCAACCATTAGGCCCAACAGAAAAGGCTGGCCTCTACCAAAGTCTATCTGACTAACACCGTGCCTATTATCCTGTGGGTCGAGCAAGCACCAAGTGGTGGAGGTAAGAGTTCTGGTGCCTCCTAGATCTGTCAATGATCAATAGCTTGCTGATTATGAAAAGTGCGAAGCCTGCTGATGCCTCAGACTCTCCAGCCCAAAACCACCTGATGTTTCGAAAGGCTGTGCTGGAACAACTTTTGACTGCTGCTACCAAATGCAGGCAGCCAGACACACCCAGTATCTCAGGCAGAGCTAGCCCATACAACAGCCAACACATGCTGAGTCCAATGTCTGGTAGAAAAGGACGATGTTACCACTGCTCGATTGAGGGCAACAAGATGGACAGTGGCAGAACTAGGGAAACAAAAACTGGTTGTCATTTGTGCCAGGTGCATCTGCACAAGGCTACTGTTTTTCAAAATTCCATGAGACTCTAAAATCAAAGTGATACACAAACTATGGGGGTCAACGCTGCCAACATTCACCGAATTTTTTTTAAAATTTGACTTTCATGATTTATTGCAAATATATTTGGAAATCAAACTATATTAAACCATACATTTTTGAAAAGGTTATTCAATTTTCTATTTTTTAATGCATGTTTTGTTAATATAGGTTTATATTTAGTTGTTAAAAATAAAAAAAATATAGCATTGGGGAGGGGGGGGGGGGAATGTATTTTAGAGTGATTTCCCTTTGCTTAGTATTTCAAGGGGTGTTTTGGTGTTTGTGGTTATTAGCGAATGTGATATATTACATACAAAACATAATTTTAATTAAAAGAAAAATTATAGTGCATTTTTTAGGGAAAAAATACAAAATATAGGTTTTGCTAAAATGTTGACAACTTTTTGATTGTTCATTAAATTTTTGTCATGTTTGACTTTGAATTGTATAAGTTGATGAAGTATTTTATTTAAATAAATATTAAATCTTTTATAACAAGGATGTGGTTGTTTTTTTCCCTTCATACTGTGTGAAAATTTTGTCAAAACTTTGCATACCGGTAAAATGAAAAAAAAAAAATTCTCCAATGTTTCAATTATTTTTATAACTAAGAAAATAAAATATACACAAAATATCTAATGATAGCTAAGTCAAAGATGAACAAGTTAATATATTTAACTGATCAGATCAGAGCTATTTCAGATCAGTTAATTATTTTAAAAAATCACCTTAAGATTAAGAAATGTGAAAAAAACGTCAGACTGCAGAGAGTTAATATAGTTATGCTTTTTTATCTCAGGTATTCTGTTGATATCAACTTTGAGAAAAATGTTGTCAACAAAGATATCTTCCGTGACCCTGCTCTTAAGAGGAAAGCCAGGAGGGAAGTGAAGGCAAAATTTGAAGAGAGGTAGGGATTTACAGTAATATAAAATTACTAATTTCTAACATTCTGCCATTCCTTACATGCAGAGTTTTTAAAAAAAAATATTTTAATTGTAAGGCCAGATGAACTCATTATCTTTACAAAAAAAAATCTGCCAGTTTTAAATTACTTTGATAATAAAAATTGTATTCATTGCAGCTCACATAATAAAATAGTGTTCAAACAAGATTGGAGTTTGCTCAAAAAGTTTTTGTAGCTGAACTCACACCATAGTCATACTAGTACCAGATATAGATGAAAAAGAACAAGAACTTTAAATAATAAAGACATTTCCTAATTCAAAACATATTTATTTTTCTCAACAGATACAAAACTGGCAAAAACAAGTGGTTTTTCCAAAAGTTGCGATTTTAAAAGGTTATTAAAAATAAATTATGCCAAATTATTTTGTGTTGCTTTTTTCTTTTTTTACAAGTTTTTGTGAATTTTTTGTACTGTACTACACGACTGTACAAGTAAAAGGATTTGACATACACCGATTTACAAAACCTTTATATATGTAATTTATCATTCATAATACAGCCTAAACATCTAGTTAAAATACTTGAAAAAGATTTTTCTAGAAGCCATTACTGTCTTCACTTTCATCTTCATTGTCACTGTCGATTGCAGGCCTTATACTTGCTTTATTAGCTGTGGAGATAGAACTTGTCCTAATTTTGTCATATTGCAATGGAAAAGGTTGATTCAGGTCTGTGTTTGCTCGTTTGTAGGCTGAAATATAGAATAAATATGATTTTACTTCATTTGTTTAAGCTCAACATGGTAATTACATTAAGAAATTTTATCAAGAAGCCTTACCTAACTCATCACCTTTACTTCTATAAGAAGAGTCAGAGATTGCAAATGTTTTGGATCTGCTCATACTTTCTCTTACTTCTTTAGCTAAGTGCTTGGCAGCTGGGTTGTCACTTTTACCTATACAAATGACATGGCAAAATAATAATTTTGGTACACTTCTGAGACTCAACATATGTTACTGCAAGACATTCTTCTACTGGGTATATTGTTTTCATAACTTTACAAATTTTCAAATGGTTTTCTTAGAGAAACCTTATTTACAGTGTAACTGTAATGATAATACCTTCTATAATTTATATGAAAATTTGTTCAAATTATTTATCTAACTAAATCTATTTTTAATTTGTTTACAATTAGTTCAATTTATTAACTAGAACTTAAAATTCCTAGCGGCATAAAGTAAAGCTAACCCATCTCTGGTATGATAACTTATTTCATAGGGGGAAAAAAAGCTGAAAACCTATTCATTTGCATAGCCCCATTAGGCCGTTAATAAAATCATCAATTTAGGTACTTATCAAATTTACTGTTGTGTTAAATTTATATGGTATTTGTGATGAGATTAGCCACATAACATAGAAACTGCAGCATTTTAAGTTTTAAGCCTTTTCAATAATCTGCAGGTACATGCTTCTAGTCGGGAGTTCTACTTCTAATGCTATAATTTTAAGATACTGGGGTAATGATAAAACTCTTTTTCCAAGTTTAAAAAACCTATACCGGTACCTGCTGTAGTTGCAGAAACTGCATTATGCAGATCACTCTGAGGCATTTTACTTATACCAGCAAGTTGAGAGAGAAAGTCTTTATGTTCCATCTGAAAAGAAAATTAATTTTCAAATAAGACTTTGAAATAAATGGTTAATAAAATATAAGTATATAAGCTCAAAGTACTAAGCACAGCAACATATGCTGTCAAAACCGGACCAAAAAATCTATTTAAAAAAGCAGTACCAGGTGTTTTGAGGCCCTAGTTTAATAGTTATAGTACTAACTACTAACTTTTTCTAGTTTTCCTATATCCCAGAGCAGTTGCGTAACTAGGGTTAGTGACGCCCCATGCATGACAAAATTTTTGCCATCTCCCTGCCTAAAAAAAAACGCAGTTGGAAGAAAAATGTTGCACCTCCATTTGAAGGGGAATGCCCCCTTCATTCCTAGTCTTAGTTACCGTACTCTAACTTAAGGCCACTGTCCTAGTCCTAGAGACTATATGATTATGTTCTGTTGTCTTCAAATGGTGGGATGTACAGTTACTTAACTTAATATGTTTTGTAGTCTTAATTGCTTGTACAGTACTGGAAACATTTTGGGAGGAGGGGGGGTGGTTTGAGATCATAGTACGGTATAGTAACCTGGTATATACCCATAGGGGTGCCTAAAAAAAGTATTGGTCCGGTAAAGGGTTGATATGATGATGCCCCAGAACCAAAATCTGTACAAAAAATCATTAGTTACTGGTACCCGTACATTACAAAAATGAACATGGCAATCTGAAATTACAGCTTCTTAAAACTTCAACATTTCTCAATCATCCATCCTTGTGGCACTTTCCTCAATACCTCCTACAGGTACTGGTATATATTATAATATAGCATTAAATCAAATTATATGCCACAACCCATTATAACTATTACAAAAATAAGTAATGAAATGATTCTTTTATAAGAAAATGTGACTGGTTGACCTAATGTACTCATACATATTAAAACAATTATATACCGGTACAAAGTCTAAGGGGCCATCCATATACTGGTATTACATTTACATACTGGTATGGTACCGTATGCAAAAAAAGTCAAATTTAAAAAAGTAATCATAATGATGAAAAAGGTATGGTAAAGAAAGAATACCGGTATTAAGATTTTGATTTGTTTTGACTGCAAGTGCAAGTCTTTCTACTGACCTCCAAGTCCTTTTTTAATTCTAACTCCAGCTCTGAGTTAAGATCACGTTTGGCTTTCTCCAACTCTGCTTGCATTTCAATATCTAGTTCCTGCATGGCCTTTGCATGCCTTTGCTCCAGAAAAGTTTGCATCAAAGCAAGACTTGCATATCTGATCACAAAACAAGGAGTTTTGAACAGGCTATACTATAATAATAATAACTTATTAACTGTCAATCTTTTAGTTTTTTGTAGTTGTGAACTTGTATAATTAATGAGGTATGAAATGTTTCAAAGCAAGGGACTATTTTAGAGGATGATATTCTTAAAAACGTTACAATTACAAGTACCATATTTTAGATGAGTTTTCATTATTTTCATTATGACATTTTTGAGAATATGTTACCGGTATATAATCTAATAATAATATTGAAGATTTTTAGTCTTCTTCAAAATCTTTCATTTATCAATAGATCCATTAAGTTTAAGTGCTGGTACGTTCTTACCCAGCCCCTCTCTTTTGTCTTGAAGTGTACTCTGTTTGTGCCTCTTCCTCAAGTTGAGTTTCTATATACCTGAGTGAAGGAAATATGCACAAAGTTTGCATGAAAATACTAATGAAGAATTATAGATTATGATGCTCAATATATATATTAACATATCTTACTTCTGGTACTGGTACTATATTATTATTCATAACAGAATTATCTGAGTTCTGCTTACTCCTCCATTCTTTGTTTCTTAGCACTGAGCTTTTCCTGTATTAGTGTTTCCTGTCTTTTCTTTCGTTGCTGAAGCTGTTCATTTAAGTGAGACACTTGGTTGTGATATTGCTTAATTATCTGATCTGTCACTAAGGCAGGTAAGGAGGAGCCGCCTGCAACCCTTCTCTCCAATTCATCCTGAAAAGTAAAAGATCCAGTGCATACTAAAAATCATATCTTTTAAAGTTTATTGTGGATTAACCAGTAATTCAGATAAATAGTAACTGACCGAAATTTAACTGCGGTACTGTACAAAATTATCAAATGGATTTTTGAATTAAAAAAGAAAAAACTTTAGAAAGTACTGGTACACATTTTTTATATAAAAGGAAATGGCTTTTATATTACTGCATATAATCCTTACATCAGCCAAAATATGTATTAATCCCCATTGAAAGAAATTATGAGGCTTTATTTATATTCTTTAACATATTAATGGTTAAGGTATTCTTTTAAGAAGGTTCCATGTAATTTTCAAAATTATTAACATAAAGTTAATATACCTGAAGCTGTTTAAGAGTCTGGTCCTGTTTCTCTAAAATGGCTTTCCTTCTAGCCTGACCGATCTATTAAAATATAACACAGGCTTTTCATTTAGATACAGTAATTTGGATTAAAAATGTAATCTAAAGTTAAAAAAGCAGTGATGCTGTTACGGGTACACAAAAACAAAACAAAAAAAAAGAAAGAAATAATTCTCTCTTAATTTTTATCTGTATATCCTGACTGTATATTCAATAAGGGTGGTCCTTTAATTGTCAACAAAAAAGGTGAGGGTGGGGTGGAAACGTTGACTATTGTTGACAAAGGGGGCTGGGTTGGGGGTTAGATTAGTTGACGCCAACAATCATGTATCCTAAAAATTGACTTGTTATTACATTATTTTACAAATTTAATGAATGTAAATTAAAATAGTTATCATTTTAGTTAGATAAAATTTTAACTTGTTGATTATAAGCTAAAGATGCCATAAAAATAAAAAAATTTCCCTACAAATTGTAGTACAATTTTTGTGTCATTAAAATAGATCAGCACAAAGTAAAATGTATTTATTTTTAATTTAATTCATTTTTTTGGGGGCGGGGGTCAGAAATGTTGACATAATTACTTGGGGGAGGGGGGTCATTGAAAGTATGACAGTTGGGGAGGGGGGGGGTGTAAAAATTTGCTTTAAAATTGTTGACGTAATTAATGGACGCCCCCATACAGTACTTGGTAATGTTATTCATTTTTTAATACCCGGTACATAATCATAAATTACAATTTACATGCTGAACCTGGCAATAGGCCTGCAAATCATTGGTTTTTATTTTTCCTTTGCACAACAAGTACCAGGGATCGGTACCAAGGTTCTGATATTAATATTAGAGTTTGTGATCAAAATAGATTATTTTAAAGTTTTAAAAAAAACATTTATATAAAGTTACTATTTTTTTTACCTGAAGTCTCCCAATTAGCAGACTTATTTCTTCATCATGTAGTTTTAGTGCTTCCTCAGTTTCCTGGGCAAGTTGTTGTCTTAGCTCCATTACAGCTGATTTCCTAGCCTCTTCAAGTGTCAACTCTTCCTTCTCTATTTTGCTGGCCTAGATCAAAATCATTTAATTAAATGACATCAAAATTTATTTTAAGAAATCATTTGATTTTGATATTATAAAAAATAATTGAGATAAATGAAAGAATTTTGTTAATGTTTGAATAAAATTGTATCTTTTTAATTTACCAGATCTGCTTCAAGGTCTGCAATTTCTTTCTCTTTCATTGATTTTTTTGTCCTATGCAACTCTTGCTTCTGTCTTTCAAGCTCTCCTATACGACCTTTTCTTTGATTAAGTTTAATTTCTAAACTGAGAAAATAAAATAGTTTTATGCACCTGTATGGCAATGGCAAAAATTTTTCCTCCACCAAAGCATATTTACTTTAACTTTAGAACTTTGACTGTGAGTGTTCAAACAAGATGTGTATTTTTAATTAACGAACACCACATTTCCATTTTATTTGTTAGATGATCTACAATAAGACTCAATTTTAAATAACTTTTTAGATGTTATTGACAAAAACAGACCGTAAAGTCATAAAGAAATTTGGTTGTAAAAAAAAATTGATTAGCCTACCGTATTTGTAAAACAAAAATGAACAGATACGGTATCAGGAATTTTGATACCTTAGTCTTAGTAAAAATTATAATGAAATAGGATCATTTGATTTTTGCTTATTTACTCTTGGGTTTTAGAAAATCATTAAATTGTTTGAATAACATACTAACCTTTTCTGTTGTCTAATTTTACTTGCAAGCAATTGGTTTGACAAGACTTGCATGTTCCGTTCATGCTCTCTTAAAATTCTATTTTTAGCTCTGAGGATATAATATAATAATAGTCATACATCACATTTTTCCTTTTTTATTACATTAATTTTTTAATTTAAACAGTATTAGTAAATTATTGTGATGAGATTTTAGGTCACCTATTTTCAGTTATTTATGTAAATCCAAAGAATGCAATGGAACCATTTGTTTTTTTTGGGTGGGGGGTGTGTGTGTGGGTGGGTTGGGTTAAGGGGATGGGGGGCAACAAAAGCAAACTTCCAACTGGAGCAAATTTTAACCAATAATAATAATAGTTATGGAGGACTACCTGTAGCTACATCTGTCCCCCTCTTAGCAGACCATACCATGTTACCTAAATGCTGTCCTCCCCCATGACATGGCCATTGGAAAAACTCAAGAAAATTCCATAGATCTAGTTTGTACATTATTTCCTAAATCATCTTACTCTTCATTTAGATCCATGTTAGTGCTCAGCACTCTAGATATGGTGGTTTTCTGTTCTTCTTTTAGCAGATCTTGCTCTTTTTGGTCCCGAGCTTCAGCTTCATCAGCATTTGCCAATCGTTGAAGAAGTTGCTCTTGTAGTCTTGCCATTACTGCTTGTTTCTCTCTCTGCTTTTTTGCTATTAAATTTAATTGAAAATTTTCCTTGATAATATTAAGATTCTGTGTTAACAAAAAGTAAAATATAATAAGCTTCTTGACTTTATAAACAGTGGAATAGAGATGTTGTGAGCAGGGCACATCCAAAGTTACAATAAAGCCAATCTATAATTTGCATAGTTTGTATGTTGAAATAAGGGGCAATTAGCAAAAGACATCACACAGCTAGAGGAGGATGCTGGGGTCACAAATTTCTGATATCATATAACATGAGGGGTCTAAATTTTGTGATAAATTTTTTAAAATTGTTGATAAGAGGTGTAAAAATGTCAGTTAAGGATGGCCCCGCCCCTAAGTAAAAAATGCCATACAAAATTAAAAAAGGTCAAATTTGAGGTAAAATTGTGTAGAAATTAAATATGTTTCTAAATATTAGAGTTGCACTGCTGCACACCATTTTAATAGTCTGTTTCTTCGAGGGTTTAAAACAATATAATTACTACAATGATGTAATTATTTTTTTAATTTTAAAGATCAATGTCTTTTTTATTTTGTTTCATCAAATGAATTATGTTATTAATTAAACAATGTTCTGGTATTTATTAAATTTAATTTGCTTTTTCTTAAATAATGTTTTCAATTTAATTATCTGAAGTGGGGAAACGAAAATCCTGATCAACTCCTAGCTATGATATTGACTATATAATTAAAAATCAACTAATTAAAATCTGAAAATTATTTTTAAACTAGTCATTTATTGTTAATATACCTACCAGAATTAAAATAATTAGGAAATTAAATTATATCATGGATGACTTTATTGCTTACAATTAACTTAATTTTTAAATCTTCTAATACTTCTATAATTAATATATTCAAATATCATACCATTATAATCTAACATTTGTGCTTTGTGTGATTTTATAATTTTTTCAGACTCTGAAAATTTTAGATTAGTTAGGCTTTCCAATTTCTCCACAAGCTTTTCTGTCTCTTTATCCAGTGCTGTGTTTTCATTGTTGTTTATGGTCTGGTAAGATTAAAAGTTTTAAAATATTCTAAGGAAGCAACATAATTATAATATGAACACTCATGATTTTTAATATTATCTAAACCCAGCAGGTTTTAACCTTCTTTGTCTCACAACAATATAATTAATTACAAGTACTCAAATTCTTTTTTTAAGTGAGTAGCTAAGTCCAAGCAAAAAAATAATTAGTATTAAATTATGTTGATTTTATCTTACTTTGAGTATTCTTTTTTTACAATGATATTTATTGCTTTATATCAAATGTAAGTGACTCACCTGTGAAATCACTATGTAGAATTATTTCAAGTAAATTCAGACTGTAACTTAATTTAATACCGGTATACATCTTTTAAACTTGTGACCAGAGTCCACCAAAGACTTCAACAATTAGGAGTTATTTATTTCATTCCCTCAGCAACAGATAGCAAGTATGAAATATAATACCATTTTAACGTAATACCTGTCTGAGTTTGGAGATCTCTTGGATTTCCTTTTGGTCCAGTTCCCCACACAAGGCTTCTTGTTCCATATGATGTTTAATAAACAAGTCATGAAAAAGCTAGTCAGAAAAAGAATAAAAAGTGATTTATCTTATCACATAAAACCTTACAATATGATTATCAAGAAAACATGCCCATAGCTGGGTGGCCGAATGGTCTAAACTGAGCAAATCTCAAGTTGGTGGTCTGGAGTTCAATTCCAGCCAGACCTCAGTCAAGCAATAACACCACCAGCATCCGGGTAGATGAGACTCGTTAACCTTGGATGGCAACTCATCTAAGAGAAAGAAACTCTGAAATCAAACCCGGAGATGGAGTCCCGAAAGGTGGATAACATTGATACAATGAAACATTCCGACAACTCCTGCAACGTCACTGGTGCCAAGCTGTATCATCCAATGATGTTCCCTTGGGTTACTCAGCGGCGTGGAGAGAGGCGATTTGCTGTTGGGAACCAGCTTATAATCCTTGAAGTATAATCCCAGGCGATGTGGATTTCGTCCTCCGACGGATGCCAATAAAAAGCCACATGGGGTAAAAAAAAAGCTAATGTTAGGAGGAATCATCATAGCAATAGCAGCATTTTTAGCAATATCAAAGGAAAAAAACATTTTAAAAAAATCACAAAAAATTACTTTGATCTTCAGATTCAAAGCTTTAAAAAAAATTACAGCCTAATATTTTACATATGTATGATCAGAAATTACATCATTCAAAATCATTAAAATCATAATTATAATATTAAATTTATTTTAATGGTGCTTTTTAAAATACCGGTAGTTATAAAGGAAATAAGTTGTTTGAAATTTGTTTGACCTGTGTTCAAAATTCAATGCTCTGGCAATACCCTTCATAATTTGTTTTAAACCATTAAATTTAAAGAAACACTTTTATTACTTCATTTTAAAAAGTTATAATCAAATATTTCTTCATAATACCTTAAAGTAATAAATAAAAATTTAATATTTGTTATTTAAAACTACTCATGAACGTTCACTAAACACAGATGGAATGTTTTTTTCTGAAAAGGTATACCTTTTTTTTCTCTACAAAGACTAATATTTAATAAGGCTGCGGCTATTGGGACCCGGGTCCCAAAAGCGAGAGGTTGGGTTTATTACAAAATATTTAAAATATTATTGTAGGGTTTGTAAGACAAAATTAGGTATCAAATGAAAGATAATTGAATGGACTATATTTTTGTTAACTTCTTCAGTTTAATAAAATAAACTATCACAAATGACATCCAAATAGCATTTAGTCTACAGGGACCCAGACACGCATAGCCGCTATTCGGACCCTACAATAATATTTTTAATATTTTTTAAATCCCAACTTCTTACTTCTGGGACCCAGGTCCGAATGGCCACTTCGATTTAATAATTCAAAACATAAAAAATATAAAACTGAATTTTTTTTACAAATTTATGTTATCTGATTTTATACATAAACAGATTCAGTTTATTGAGCTAATACTTATACCTTGTTAAATTCAACAGTATTTGTTGTTTTGTCTGCAGTTTGAAGAAATATTGCCTTCTCTTTCTCTTGTTTTTTCATCAACTTAAAGAAACTGCTGAGTCTAAAGTTTTGTAAAAGATCATACTTTTCTGAGCATTTGTCATCAAAATCTGGAAAGTATCACAAGAGGAAACATTTAACCTCAACAATAAAAGGCCTCAGTAATTGTGTGTATGTGCATTGCAAAAATGATTTTGACAGCCAGGTGTCTATATGACATGGATGAAGCATTCCAGTGGACTGGTTTCAGCTTAAACCTAAATGACCACACCAATGAGATAATCAGACTCTCTGCTTTGTATGTGCCTTTGGAAAGTCAAAGACTGAGAAAACCCCAGTGAGGACAGCAATCAAGATGTCATGCAATTTTATAAAACAAACGAGTGAATGTCTAAAAGCAAGGGATGAACCTAAATTTCATTTGTTAAAGAATTCTAAAAAATTACCTTTTGAATGGAATCTATGAATAATGTTAAGTTCATCACTGTAGTCTGAGATAATACTATCCATCTGAGTTCCTTGATTTGAGTCTTCTTTGAGTTTTTTTGACAATAATTTTTTCAAAGTGTCCACTCTGGCTTCTATATCAGTTTCAGCCTCTCTTGCTGTAACCTCTCTATATTGCATGTCTCGTTTTCTCTTTGCTAGTCTTTGTTCCACAGCCTTTAGACATTTAAAAAAAAATTGTATCAGGCCTATTATTTGGCTGAATATAGCATGATATTATTTTTCTATATGTAGACCTATTGGTCTATAATTAATTCGTGAAAATAGTAGAAGTAGTGATGTTTTTTTAATTCTGAGAAATACTGCTAAACCGTTAATAGGGAGGTAATTTACTTCAGAGCATCATCTTCTAAAGTAACTAAACACCTAAAACTGTTAAATTTGGCTGTTAGCCTAATAAAATAGCTTTATTAGTTAATAAGTCAATTATTGACTATGTAAGATTTTATCACTTATTTTAAGATTCATTTTTTAAAATATCATAATAATTACTCTTCTCTGACGAGCCTGCTCATTCCCTATTTTTTCTTCTATGACTGCCATGTTGTTCATGAGTTTCTCTATAAGCTCATCGATCTCAGATTCTGACATGCCAGATGATAGAAGAAGGCTTTGCCTTAATTTATCTCTGTAATCCCTCTGAAGCTTGCTCTGGCAGAGAGGAATGTTAGGAAGGAAATTTTTTAAGGGAAATTACAATCAACAAGGGAAATAAGACTATGCAATATTATAACCATAATTTTACACTCTATCAATAATTTTTTAAGTTTAATACTAAGTAAAGAGGAGAATTTAAATGTTTCATCTGACAATTTACCTTTTTATTGTTAAAGTGAGTGTGTATTTTCTGCATTTCAGTTTCAAGTCCCTCACTATCTTTGACAAACTTTGTGTCATTGCGAATTTTCTGAAACAATATTGAATAAGTTTATTTTAAATTTATGATAGGATGTTTCACATCCATTGTTAAAAAAAACACACAAAAAACTCTCTATACAAGTATATAAGACAAGCATCACCACTCTACAATAGGATACAATGGACACATGTTTATGGAACAATAAACACTAAGAATACATTTAAAAATATACACATTAAAGAAATATAAAATAAAGACAAGGAAATAACATACAGACTCTTATACAACATGACACCAGTCTCATCAAGACCATACAAGGACAGAATAAGGCACATAAAATGTCCACTCTGCAGGATAGGGGCTGATGAGACAGAACACCATTTATATTTGACATGCAACACAATATTACAGACTAAATCTACACTTAAAATCATACTAGCAGGTTTGCCAGGCAATGGGGAGTACGATGACCTACTGGTGACTGCGAAAAAACACAAACTACAATGGTACGGCCACGTAACAAGGAAACAAGGGCTTGCCAAAGAAATATTGCAGGGCACCACAAGAGGAGGCAGAAGAAGAGGAAGACAAAGAAAAAGATGGGAGGATAACATCAAAGAGTGGACAGGACTAACACTGGGCAATGCTATGCATAGTACAGAAGACAGAGACGAATGGAGGAGGATAGTTCACATGTCATCTGTGGCACCCCAACGGTCCAAGAACTAAGGGACATGATGATGATGACAAGCAGGTACAGTTCACCCAGTAGATGTAGACCGAACTAGAACACTAAACACAATACCAGCATAAAAAAACAAGACACAGCACACAATAAGTCTAATATTACTTTCACAATACAGAAAATGTGTGGCACCACAGACTTAAGGGCTTTTTTTCACAAACATAATTACACAAACATTACATTAGAAACACTTTTTAGATTTAAAATACAAAACATAATTCAAAACATAATTTAAGAAAATATAATGACAGAATAATACATTCAAATAATTTGTTTAGAATTCCAATTCATTGATACATCATGTTAAATAATTCATAATAGAAACAAATGTTTAATATAGTACACACTATTTAATTAGAATTTCAGTAACTATTACTATTATGTCAATAAGTTATTTTAGCACATGATGTAAAACTTTGTTTAGTTAACACTTCGGTAATTTTTCCTGTAAATACTTGTATCTGTATATAATTGAATAATTTTGAATAAAATTTTTTTTTAAAAGTACGGTAATAAATTTTTTTTTAAAAAGTATCTAAAAATTTCATTTTAAAAGAATTCTTAGTGAGTATGCTTTGAAAGTGCTCAATGGTATGTTATTTAATCTGAGAAATGTCTACACTTTTAACACAGCCTTACATTACCTCCTCAGCTTCTTCCTTCTCCCTTTCTATCATCTTTGTCAAATCTTTAATATCTTCTTCTGTTTTTTTCATGAAGTTAATACAGAAGTTTTGTGTCACACCCCTTCTCTCTGCCTTCTTTTTTAGAATCATTGCCAAAGTTTTCAGCAACAGCTAAATAGTGGAGAAATCAATAGCACAACCTTTAGACAAAATTAATTTCCTTTCCAAATGGCTGGATTTGTAAACAATGAAGGATTTGAAAATATGTTGAAATATTATATACTGGTAATGATGTAGTGGCAAAGTTTTACACCGCCTATGTAAAATATTTCACTGTGTCACAATAATAATAAGTCATCATGGTCATTTTGAGTTTGCAATCTGCAGGTTATGTCCCACTGGCAGAACGCACACACTAAGAAGGCTCAGGCTGCATTTAATATTTATGCAATGGTTTTTATTTAGATTACTATTGAAAGTATACTTGTCTAAAATAGAAGTAAATAAAGGCTTAGTCAAGATCAAAGTTAATTGTAACAGTGCATTTCCTACCAAAGTAAATTTTTTTTTCAAAATACAGATTAACATACTGTTAAAATGCATTATTTCTACAATGTATCTATTTGTAATGAATTGAGTTTTATTACTGTTTCCTTTTCTTCCTCCAAGGACCTTTCCATAGATATGATTGCTGCCATATCTTGGTCAAGCATTTCTACCTCTGAATTACTGCTGTAAAATCAATGGATATAATTATAAATTATTTTCATAGATAATCTATTTTTAAAATATATGTGAGTTTCTAGTTCATCTTAAAATAATAGTAAAAAATTTGCCTATGTCCATTATTGATAAAAAAATTGAACACGGAGAAGAACTTTATTATTTTTAAAAAAAAAGGTTTGTACCACGATAATGCTTTTAATACAACACACACAAATTTTGTAAATAAAACAGTATAGGTAAGCCTTAATTGATAAATACCAAATTAAGAACTTTGCCTTCATCAGTACAACAGAAAAACTAATAAAATTGATGTAAATAATATATAAATATCCTTCCTTTTGAGAAAGTGAAAGAAAAGAAAAAAGGTGGGCACATGTTTCTCACACAAGCAAAGACCAGAAGGACAGAAATCAAGTGGACGGAAATCCAATGTAAAACCTGTTATTCTATTTTTTTGTTAAAACACTTTAAATTATTCAATAATTGCTCATACCGGTACCGTAATACAAAAATACCCTGCTTAAATGAGAGTTAATTAATTGAAATTTAAAAGTTTTGAAAGATAAAAAGTGGTATTAGGCATCTAAAGAAGCTATTATACTCATCGAATTGTCCTTACTTTGTTGTCTGCTGCATGACATCAACCATTCCCCTTGACCATGCAGGATCCACATCTCCTTCTTTAGCCTCATCAATTTCTTTTTCATTTAGATTGGATAAACTATGCTTTTTCCTCCAAAACCTGCTTACTTTGAAAGATTTTTTGCCTTTGAGAGCTTTTCCATTTTCTTTATCAATCTGTTAACAGTGACAGTACCAGGTAATAGAAGTTACTAAAATCATATTTTATTTTTAGAAAAAAATATCACACATGGTTTATTTCCATGAACAGGTTTCAAATTAATGAAACTAAAAAATTTGAGTAATATTTTAAGACACCAATAATGAAGGGGGAAATATCTTGTACCAGTGTTTCTGAAATTATCGGCTGTTAGCACACTTAAGTGTGATTAAAGTTAAAGTTCTTATTATTCAGAGAAGGGGACACAAGGAGGAAAATCGGTTTAAAAGAAAGTCTTTGACTCATATTTTTACACATTTTAAAATTTTATTTTATTTTTATAACGTAAAGTATAAAAATAAAATAAAATTTTAAAATAATATATTATTTTATAATATAAGACAGTTTTAAAATATATAAATAAAGTAAAGAGATTTATTATACCCAGCCTTGAACTGGAACTGATTTTGTCTCTTTGATTTTGGAATTTCCAGCCATGTCCAGAAGCCTTTCTTCATCTTGGCGCTAAACAGAAATTGCATTATTATAATGCTAAAATTTAAAGTAATTTTGAAAACAATTCATTATTTATTATTAGGCCAACATAATGCTCTTGGTTTTTAAAGGTAAAAAGAAAAATGTATTGAGTTATTGAGCTCATTAATAAAACTCCCATTATATCAAATTAATATATAACTTTATATAGACTATAGGCCCTAGTTATGGTTACCGGTATTATAAAATTATAGTAATAGCCAGTAACACAGGTAGGGCATTTGAAAATTATCAAAGAATAGAGATTACGTGCCTACACATGCAAAATAAACACTGTTGACTGTTGTGTTAAATATAAAATTGTATTTATTATCTAAGTATTCTTAAGATAATTTGATCAGTAGTGCCTATCAAATTGCTAGATAAAAATAGATTTATGAAAAGATAAATAGTGATATGCCATAATTAATATAAAAGTATAGGCCTAAACTGCCTAAAAAAATATGGGTAAATGTTAAGGAGGACTGCCACTATTTTATCGAATTTCACGAATTTATCCCTAAATCGATCCCTATGCCTAACCCTAAATCGATCCCTATGCCGCATGCCTAGCCTGAACCCTAAATCGATCCCTAAACCCTAATTCACTGCAACTATAATAAACACCCAAAAGACGCTGAGGCAGCCGTCCTTAAAATTAGCCCAAATATGACATAAATCATACGAATCATCATTAATTTCTAAGTGAGCGTTTAGAAAATCAACGAACTTTTTTCTTTTCTAGTGCATTGAGAAAGGGTTTCGCGAGAATTAAAATGATTCCCGCCCCTATCAATAGACCAAGAAAAAAAGCGCCCGCAATCCATCCTTCTTGAATGGTGTATTCATCTTGATCTTTATCAACACCAACAGGAACACAAAATGAATTTCCATAACAGTATCCCAAAGAGTTACATGTATTTAGGGACATTTTATTTCAGCTAAAAAACAAATTATATCCAATTGTCAACGTTACTTAATCTAAACAATTTATGACACCAATTCAACACATAATTAGCAGCGTTTCCTGTAATGTAATTATTGTTTACAAGCCGAGGGCCGTAACTATGCAAATTGTCCAATCAAATGCCTTTAAATCCTCATTTGTGCTCTTTTCTACAAGAGAGTCGGCCAAAGTTGCATTGCCAACGACGCTAAGTCTGTTTTTACAATAAAAACGCTGTAATGTTTATAAAAGAAAAACAAAAATGAGCACGATAAAGTCGCATATACTAATTGGTGGTAAATTAATGTAGTAGCATTTAATTATTTTCTAAAAGGTAAATCATAGAATTTATTTTTAATGTACGGTACCTATTTGAATTTTGTTATTACCTTATTAGGTTCCCACCACGTCCTGGTTGTCCACGACACTCCCGTACTCATATAATTAGTTTAATAAATAATAAATATAAACGATAAGGTATAAGCTAACTGCTATTCATTATACATAAATATACAAAGTCCTATTAGTTTAATGACATAATACGTTTTGGGACAGTTTAAGTTTAATGACAAATAATTATTGGCTTATTGCGTCACAGGCCATACTAGTCCATTCTCTATACTATAACTATGATTATGATAGGCTTAACTATGTGACTCCATACTCCAGTGATCCATGTCCTACTATTGCTAGCGTATGTATGCTATAGGCCAGTGGTTCCCAACTTTTTAAACTTGAGGAGTCCTTTTTAGAATCAATTTCTATGGGGGACCACCATAATAGGCCTACTCTGCGTCTAACAAGTTAACAGTGTTAAGAGTTTCCTTGTGTTGCAGCGGAGCTCTTGAGAAGTGCATGCAGAGCAAAGGTTGGGAACTACTGATTTAGACTGTAGAGTTTAATAATCAGAGCTGTCCCATAGGCCCTAGAAACTCTGCAGCCTTATGGGGGCTCAGGTGTTTAACGGACCCAAAGTTGTGATGTGTAAGTTTGTTTTCAACTACCCCGGTATTAACTTTGAATCCAGGGATAGAAAGCTGAAAAGTTGCAGGGGAGGGGGGGGGGGCTACAAAAAGTCATGATCAGCTAATAATTATATAATAATATTATTTTTGCCAAATGATTAATTATTTAAATACAGTAGGCCTAAATTTCAGCCATTCAGTCAGGAATATTAATATTTTTGTTAATCAATATTTGAATACTATTTCAGCAATAAGCCTACTGAAGTTAAAGAATGAATGATAATAAATAATAACATGGAAATTATAATGAACAGAATGTTCAAAGGCAGGCTTGCAGAAGGCAAAAAAAACAATTGTTTGAGCTCAAGTATTTAATTTGAAAAAATGTGCTTGATTTTAACTTTCATGTGTAAGAAAGAGTATTGCAGATACCTTCAGAACAATTCATTTATACATTGCTTTGCATGTTCTATTGCTGTAATGTTTTAATTTTAATTAAAATTTAGCAAAGTGGGTGGTAAGGTACAAGGCTGACAGTTTCACTAATATGTTAAATATGTAGAAAGAGTCTAAAGAAAAAGGGCAATATCTGAAAAGAAATAAATAGTACTGGTTAACATTGTCCTGACTAGCATTGCATTACACAGCTAACAATAAACATGTTAAATAACTACTTAATTACAAGCTGTAGTCCTCAAGACCTGAATTTGTTTAGTGTATATTATTATTAATAAAACTGTCAGCATCGCTCGTCACCATTATCTTGGCCACCACCTTGCTCATGTGGTAGTGTTTAACTTGTAGCACATACACCGTCTTTCACACAGAATCAGTGTGAGATGTGTAGTAGGCTAACTCTCCTTCCTTGTGATAAATTGTCACACAGGAAATGGTCAGGAAAATGACAATCCCCAGCGACTACAACCTGAGTAAAAGTCCCAGACCAAATCCCTAAAGATTTAAATGTGTCCTTTTCCGTTTTGTCTCGGCTATCTAAGATATTATTATTATCTTTTATTTTTATATATCTTACATTAACTTTTTTAAAAGATGTTTTAAATAGAAGGGGTTGGGACCCCCCATGGATGAATGTAAAAACTCCCTTAATTACTTAACATTAAAATACCCTATAATGATGGAGACTTGTAAATATACTAAGGTATAGCAAATAAAATCCCCTTTCCAACTAAATATAATTCATAGCATGATACACTAGGGTTCCTGAGAAATAAATTATTGAACCTAGACTAAAGCGCACGTAGTGTTTCCCAATATTTAGGTATTCTACGCGATGGGGAGACGCTAGTCATAATGAATGGGGTGAAATTGATACCCAAGCTCTAACCCCGGGGTAAACATTCCATACCCAAGCTCTAACCCCGAGGTAAACATTCCAATCCATTGTTGGTTGAGGTCAAGTTCCAATACAGTGTTGGGTGAGGTCAAATTCCAATACAGTTATGGGTGAGGTCAAATTCCAATCCATTGTTGGGTGAGGTCAAATTCCAATCCATTGTTGGGTGAGGTCAAATTCCAATACAGTGTTGGGTGAGGTCAAATTCCAATACAGTGTTGGGCGCAAACACTGTTTCATGAAAACGGGGCCTACACTGCCACAAAAATATAATAGTTTTAGAGTGCGTAATTTTATCTGCTAAAGCACTTACAAGACTAAATGATAATGTTATTTTTTTATTTTGATACAGTTAATAATGTCAATCATATACTTTTTTCAGATACCTCAGTCCATTAATGGCTTGAAACCAGCTATGATTTTAGAAATGACAAACTTAATGACTTATGTTGGGTCATTTATTATAATCATGTCTACAGTAGTTAATGCTCAATTATCAGTTTGTGAATTTAATCCTACAACTGTTCCCGTCTTTGCAAACATGACCCTCGTCGTAAGTTGAATTATTTTAAGATATTGTTTTACAATATAGTAGCTGTTGACAATAATTTACTATTCCAGGGTGAGTTCCTTAAATACTATGAATTTAAGTGTAAAATTATTTTTTTTATCAAGTACTGTACCTCTATGAAAGATGCTCCTTTCAAGGGTTCAATTAAATGTACAAAATAAGATGTTATACTATAACTATGGTTAACATTTATATAAAATTATTGTTTTCAACAGAGCTATGCTGAAGTTAATTCAAATGCAGTCAAAGGAACAGCCCCTAACTACTCAGTCCAATTTGATAGCATATCTTACATGGGTATGAAAGTGTTAAAAAATGGAAGTGCCGCTGGTCCTGATATTGAAATTCACTATAATGTACAGGTAATGATTAGTTATTTTGACAAAATATAAAAATGCATTGTTCAACTCAGTTAAATTTAAAGTTTAAAAGGGAAAGTGAATATTAATGAAGGCCTCTCATTGATTGCTCTATGGTAAGACTTAAAAAATAAAATTATGAAACAGATATATTGTGTTCTTATTTAGCAATATGACACCTGTACCAACCCTGACAAGATCAACATCTCACTCACTTTGAAAAATCTGGAACCATCAGCTTTAAGTTTCATTTCAATGAAAATTGATCTGGACAGCAAGTTGAATGCCTTCTGGGATACTGGCATACCAACAAATTCAGTGCTTATAGACAGGACTTATGTTGAGTACAATAATTCATTAGATTGTAAGTAGTATGATTTAATATTATTACTTGTATTTCCATGTTAAGCAATCAGTTCTTACCTGAAATAGGTGCATGAATACTTAAGCCACTGGTAGTTTTCCAAAAGAGGAATTACAACCCCAAAATAGCATATATTTACATGCTACATACTTACATTTTTATGTGAGCATAAATTTGTATTTTTAAAGGGTCCCCATTATTATTTAAACGTTTTAAGAGCATAAAATACTAGTTTTATTTAATATTTGCTCCCTTTTCAAGATTAAAAAGTGACATAAAAAATGTGCAAAACATGATGTTCATAAGTGAAAATTAATTTTGCATTACAAGACTATCAGACACAAAAATTATGTATGGAAGATGATGTGGATCAGCATAGAGAGTTAAATGCCTGATTATATTTGGCATTTTAAAAAAGAAAACTAGTAAAAAAAAAAATTTAAGGGCTATTCGAGAGGGAAAAAACATCAAATAATAGGTATTAAATGCTTAAATCATGTTTCCAATAAGTAAATTTACATTGTCTTAAATTATGAATTGCTTACTTCCAGCTTAGGTAAAGTGTCAACAATCGCTAGTTTCATGAATGCTGTGTTGATTAAAACAGTATATTTCATATAGAAATAAAACCAAAGCATAATAATGATAATAAAAATATTTCTAATGCAAATTTAAAAAATAAAATATTATTATCAACAGGCAACAGTTCAATCACAATCCATTTCATAGCAGTCCCAGCTGGTAATGGAGGCATCAATTTACCAGAGGGAATAAATTATTTCTTTGCCACCATCTACTTTACTTATGTATGTACTCTTTGATTTTTTTTTCTTTATTAATTTTGTGTGGTTATTTTTCTACAACTTAAAAATAATTTTAAAAAACATCAACACCAACTGTGTAATTTGATAAGATGAATTTAAAAAACAAATTCATTAAAAAAAAATTAGCTTCATTTTATATAACAATTTGAATTAAAAGTTGTTATATCATATTTGTGTTGTTTTTGCCAGTGCACTTTGAAATCTTTAAAATTCATATGATATCCTCAACAGCTCAACACAACATATGGTACAATCTGGCCCTCAATTTGCATACTAAAAAAGACTACAATAATAGAAAATGTAAGTGAAATATTGTGCGTGCCAGATAATCTTTACAATGAATTTTCAAATTAGATATGTAATATTTCAGAGACTACTTAGTTACATTTTCTACTTCAATTACAAAAAAAAAGATTTTAGTGATATCTTTGCTCGTTTTCTTATTTTTAATTCAATTTACTTAAATTTCAGATAATTTACCAGCATGGCTTTACTGCCTTAACTTTTTTCATTATGCTGTTGGTGGGCATTGGACTGGCTGTACTGGCTGTCTGGTTGTTCATATGTATAAGAAGGAGACGAAGAGATGCCTCCATAACACCTACCAAATCAGATGTGAGTTTTCAGGCTTTAATAACTTAAGTTTGCAGTAAAACAAAAATGATGTGCTGCTCATGGCTCTGGTTGGGATTGGGGAACACATGCTAAAACAACTGTGGGCACTAAATATAAATTTGTATGATGTCTTTTAATTAAAAAAACAAATGTACAACAAATTTATTTTGAAAATGAGATGAAGCACTGAAACATAAATGCAATTGGACTATTTAAAAATGTAATAAATTTATTTATTTAAAGAGAAGGCTTGAAAGTTGTCTTTCAAATAAAACAGTGGTGAGAATGATAGAGCACAATAGTTTTAATAAAAATAAATTACTTTTAATAAAACCATGTCTTATAACATGAATTTAACAAAAATATATTATTATATGAAATGAATAATTTATTGACAGGGTAAAGGCATAAAAGGGCAAAGGAAAAAAATTGTAGTTGATGCCAAAGCTGCTATGAGAAGTGGTATAAATTCAATAAAAGATTTCAGGTATTTATGCCTATATTTGAACACAAATCATATATGGAATTCATGAGCTTAAAATTATACTAATTAAGCATAGCAAATCCATATTGTACAACTTTCTGCTAGTTTAATAGTATTATTAATCAAATGGTTTTGCAGTAACGCTAATAGTTAATTTTTAAACACTTGTCTCCACTGTAATAATTTTAAAATAAAAAGGCTTTAATAACTTTAAAAGTAAAAAAAATTATTTGATATTACTTATTTAAAATTCATCTAGCTTTGTAATAGATTTTTAAATGTTATCAGTATTTTTTTCTTGTTTTCAGTTTAATTGCATGGAATGATAGTCTTGTCTTTATTTTGGGGCTTAGAGATAAGCTACACATGTATAGAGAAATTGACAAGTATGTATCAAATATAACATCTTTTCTTATTGTTATGTCTATGTGATTAAGTTTTTAAAAAATATTTCTGAGTGAATATATTACCTTATTTTAAAGACACAGGCAAACTATCTATGCATATGTTTGATAGATTTCCTTAAATTTGATTTGTCTCAGTCAGAGAACAATGTTTAGGATCTTTCCCAAATCAAATACTGATATTTTAAAAATAATTATCAGTATCAAAGCATATACTTTCTGTCTTCTCAATGATTTTATGCTTGCTATTAAATTTATTTAGCTTGGACATTTTGTCTACAATTCATGTGGACACTGATCTTGAAACAGAACAAAGTGATACAGCCATTCAGGCCAGTCTTCTTCTAGTACAAGGTCTCAGATACAATGGAGACATTAGTAAAACAACAGAGGATAAAGCCTATCAAAACATGCTGGTTAAAACACATTTTTTCAATTTCTAAATGTATCAATTCATTAACAGCTTAGTTTATTACAAAAGTATATTTCAGTGCCTTTTCTATTTAAATTTAAAAAAATTATGGAAGAAGTAAAGGATTTTGATTTTTTTGTTTTTAAATTTTTGAGTAATTTTTACAACTTAACTACAAGTTTCAAATCTGTTGTTTTTTTTAAATTTTAATTTTCAGAGCGAATTGAAAGCTTTGGAGAAAAAGCTAGATGCAGATTATAAGAAAGAATTGGAATCTATTTTTACAGACATAGAAGCAAAAAATAAAGTAAAATTTGTTTTCATATTGGAGTAAAAAGTTTGAGAAATGATGGCCACAAACACATGAAAAATAAAGTAAAAATATCTTATCCACATTGCAAAATATATCATAGTTGTATTACATTGAAATTTTGGATCACTTTAAATTATAAAATGCATTTTTCCTGTTTTTTATTTATTCAGTAGACTTACTTATATAATATGAATTTTAAAATGTAAACATTTTTAAAAAAATTGTTATTCAGGAAAAACTTGGTGATCTCATGAGAAAGCATAAGGAGCATAGACAAGATGTACTCAGACTTGCCAAAGACATGAAAGAAACAGTAAGATTTTCTTTTCTATCTGTGCTTCACATTTATTAGTTTGTTTGGAAAAGCTACAGATTAGAAATGGACCATTTATAAGTTTGTTATGTCTATAGGTATAGTTGAATTTTTTTTTAAAAATAAGCGACAATACATTAATTTTAATTAAGTTGACTTACTGTTTTTATCACTGGTGGTGTAGTATTTCTATATCATATGGCTGCTATTAAATTTGTGCAGATTGTTATTTAAATAAAACCCACATTAATTTGTTATTGAGTTAAAAATTACTTACTTTTTTTTCAAATTATTTTTCTAGGACACAAAAAAAATTACAGAACTGATAGATAAACAACAAGAAATGGAAGAAAATGAGTTAATCTACAATCTTGCCCTTGAACAAAATGAAGATGTTGAGAAACTCAGAAAGGTTTAAGTCTTGTCATTTATTTAAAGAAAGATCTGTATTTTTGCCACTATTGTGAAAAGGGAATTTTAAGGAACTCACCCTGGCATCAAATTGCTAATCTGCCCAAAAAGTTGAAATGTGTCAATTCATAATCAATTCATCGATTTAAGAAATAAGTAGCTAGAATTTGTTACTTTTGAATGTGTTCTTATAACATTAATTGTGTTATTGATTAAGGCTATGCACTGGCTAATACATTTTAATTGGATATACCAAGACAAAAGTCTTGTTCTCCCTGCAAATTAGATGGTCTGCACTGCAACTGCTTATGGCACTGGCCTTCAAAGACCTATTTGAAATGATTTATTAATCTTGATAGAATTAATATTTGTTCTTTTGCAATTTTTTTTCAGGAATATGCTATTAGGAAACGCATGCATGTAAAGGAAATGCAGCAAAAATTCATCAGGGAAGTTATTGATAATGGAAAGCTGACAAATGATAAGGCACAGTGGTTGTTGAAGCAGCATAAACAGCAGCAGGAAAAGATCGCCCATAAATATGATGATGAGATCTCCAGACAACGGATGATTTTAGAAGAAAAACTTGCGAGAAGGCGGGCTTTGGCAAAAGCTACTGTTAGTAATGTGAAAACAGTTTATAAAGAAATTAAAGAAACTAAATTATATCATTGACCTTGTAAATTATAATCTTTATTATGTATTTGTTTAAAAAATCATATTGTAATTGCGATAAAAGTTTTTCACAACATTTTGAAGATGAACGGGTATTTATTTTTTAAAGTAATAAATTTCATTTATACTATATGATAATTAGGAAACACAAGATGATGACCATATTGAAACTTTGAATATGATTGCATCCATTCAAGTGAATCTAATTCAAAAGCTTAAGACGTGAGTTATAGAAGAGTGTGTTTGTGTTAATCATTTTTGATCTCGATTGTTATCAACCAATCTTCTGTGGCATCCATCTATGTTAGAAAAAAAAACTGTTTAAATTTACAAATGACATATATAAATAATCAGTAAATGTTTGGGATGTACTGTTGCTTTTTGAATCTCTGATATTTTTAAAAAAAGCAAGAAAGCTATTTCACAACCACAAAGTAATCAAGCTTTAAGATCTTACATTGCTTCAAAATTATCCATAAAAAGTATTATATGTTTGTAGCCAACCATGATTAAACAGCATGTTTTCCATAAATCATTGGAGGCATGAAATTTATCCCGTGTATTAGCAATGAAAAGAGAAATACAAGTTATCATGTTGCAGGTCCAAGAAATTAACATCTGAACAAGCTGAGGACTACATGGATAAAACAAAAGCTCAACTTGAAGCTGTGAAGGAGGCAAATGATAAAAACAGGGAAGTAAAACAACAAGAGTTGTTTAAGAAACTTACCCAAGAGAAACAAATGGCTTTGGCAGAAAAGGTAGTAAACATAAAGTAAACCCCACAAAATTAAACCATTTTCCTGTTTTTTAATTAAAGACTGGTGAAAAACATATTTTTACAATTTGGTCCAAGGAGAAAGGACTTTAAGAAATTAAATAAACATATTCTGTTAGTTTATTTGGTAAGGCTCATAGATTTTTGCTTTGGTTCACAGGTAAAACAACATTCTGTACAGCTTCAAGAGTATGTTACAAAGAACAAAGCCCTACAAACAGAAGGACCAGTAGGTGAGTTTAGTATTGCTAGAATCCTCCAACTTATTAAAGACAGATTTTATTGTACCTATAAAGGTAAAAGTTACACATTTTTGTTGCAGAATCTGAGAAATAAACTTTAAAAGTTCCCGACATGTTATTGAAATCCTGAAATTCTCATTATTTTTCATTAGACAGAAAATTGTTAAAATTAATGTTTTGAATTATGCAGATCCTGTTTCTTATGTAAATGGTCTAGTAACCATTAAATCTGGACATCGTGAAGAGCTAAGTCAACTGGAAAACAAAATAGATGAAGCTCAGGCCCAGGATCTGTTCACATTGAGAGAACAACTGTCACAAAATGCTAAACAAGAACTGGATAAAATGGAACAACAACTTATTGAAAATGTTAAATCACAAGGTAAAGATAAATCCTTTGTGGTGCCCCTACAAATATTTTGGTTCATTGGTACAATCATGTCAATTTAGTTCAACTTTCTAGTTTAATATTAATTTCAGATGTAAATTTATTATTTTACATTATTTTATAAAGAAAAGTTCTTTAACTGGGCTAAACGAAACATGAACAATATTTTAAAATACTGTGATAATACACACTTAGGTTTTACTGTTGTAAAACACTTTAATAATAAAGAAATGCTTTTCAAATTTACCATTTCCATTTCATATCTGGGTTAAGATAGTTCAAAAAATCTTTATAAGGAAAAGTTTAGAGTCTTAAACTGAAATTATTTAAACATCATTGTGAATATTAACTTACACATTTATAACAGGAATACAAGATGATGAAATTGAAAAAATTATGAAAAAGCATAAAAAATCAGTTCAAGATTTGGAAGAAAGACAGAAGACAAATAGGAGAAATCAGGAGACTAAGCTAAAAGTAAATGTTTGTCCTTGTTCAAGAAGTGTCATGTTAAGTAAAAATATCATTTCTTGATAGCGTTGGAATATCATTATTAACTTGAAATGGCTAAGATCAGAAAAATTACGAAATACTCATATTTTTTCCATACACTCATTGCACTGTAAGGTTAAAAAAAATAATAACTTTAAACATCATTTTAAAATGAATATAATATATGTGCACATATGTCTATGACAAGCACATAACTTCTAAAAACTTATTTCAACAAGCGTTATGTATATGAGCAGTGATCACCAAACTATTTATTAGTTGTGTAAGATAATGTTAATCTATTTATAGCTTGAGCTAGAGAGAAGAAAAAAAGAGTGGGATGAGATGAGAGCTAAAGAAAAACAGGAACAGCATGATCTAAGAGAGTATGAAGCAGAGGTTGTGGAGTAAGTATTTCCTTCTCATAATTTAGTCTAGAGAACAAATTGAGAAGTATATTTATGAAAACTTTAAATTAAAAACAAATAAAAAAAACCTAGTTGAAAATCTGGTCAAGAATTAGCAGTTAGTGATGAAATTACAAAAACTAGACAAAGGGCGTTAACTATTAAACCCATGAAATATCTCCTGTTATTCTTTTTTTGAAACACATTTCACTGATTTCTATATTAGGAAAAAAAATATACCAGGGCTTAACTGGGTGCAGTCCTTTCACATCGGGTCCTGGTATTTTGAGAAAATACCCAATGGGTCCCTACCTGCCAGCCTTTAAAAAATAGGCCTACAGACAGTCCTACACCATACCCATGGCTCTTTATTGATTAATAGTAACCTCCTCCTAAAATTAAACCTGGGTTCAACCATCACGCATGATGCTCGTCCATGAGTAGGGGGAGGGGCGGTTTTGAAATGGAAGCAAAGCACCCCAGAAGCTAAATATATATATAGATATAAGAGATATACTTAATAGCAAAAAAACAACAACAAATAGCCACACATTATGAAGCATAATGGATTTATACATTTGGATTTAAATCTTTACACATTCTATGGTCCTTTCATTTATAACTTAGTAAACTTCTGGGTAGTCAAGTGGCTATATCAGACTCAGAGAGGGACAGAATACTGAAAGAACATGAGAAGCAGATGGTTCAACTTGAAAACAGGTATAATTGAAATTTAATGATCATTGCTATGGAGATTAACTTCAGTTATAACCAGTGCTTTTTTTGTAAAAAATAGGTGCCGGTACTCAGTGATGGATTGCCTATCTTTTAACTACCAGTTCGCATCTCGATGCAAGCCAAATCACAACTGCAAAGATACTAAATGTCTAAAACAATTAATTATTACTTAAATTATCAATTTCTAACTGCGCTCGTTTTAATTTCTTTAAATCTTAATTATTACATTCAAATTTTGAAATTTTAAAGGCATTACGTCTTAAAAACAACCATGACCAGAAATAGGTTAATAACCAATGACGTAACATTACAAGTGTGTGCGGAAAGCAGTTTCGCATTTTATATTTTCATTCTTATTGCGCGCAATTTTAAAATAATTCAATTTTAACAAATTAATAATATAATAAATTAATAATAAACGTTAAAATATAAGAAAAGTAATAATTTTTTCCCCACATTGAAAAAGGTGCTGGTACGCTGTACTGGTGCGTACCGGCACAAAAAAAGCACTGGTTATAACATGCTAAATTACTTGGTAATTTTAGAGCACTATTTTAAACAAAAATGTTGATGGGGATGATATGCATCTTGAGATTTTGTTTCTACTGCTTTCATATGTCATGTTTTATCTGTTACTCTTATAACTTTAGCTTAACTTTAAACAAACTAAGACAGAAGAGAATGCTGGAAGAGAAAATTGCTCTCAGAAGAGCCCAACAAGTGGAGGAACTACAACAAAAGCAAAATGCTGAACTTGCTGTAAGTTTGTGAAATATTATGGAAAATAAGTTCTATTTTTTTCGATTGTAATATATTGTAGAACAATTTTACAGTTTGTACAATTCCAATTCGACAGTACATACATTTAATAATTATCCTAAAATTCTGACACTCTCTAATATCTTTAATAAAGTTAACAGTCACCTATAAATCTGTGAAATCCATGTTTAATCATTTCTTTAAAGTCTAAAAAAAAACAGAATTAACACAGTTTCATATGTATTGTCATTCTGTTGCTTTGAGCTTACCCTCTGTAAATATCACAACAGTACTTGTTAGCCTAGTGATAAATTTAAGACCACCATATGTGATTCTGTGCATGTGACATAATCTGTAAGTTATTATTTCGTCTTGCTGAAGCAAATAGTTACATGGGTGGTGAGGGGATCCACAATACAGTTTTTAATAATAATACAAAAAATTGTGCTTCCAAAGTGACTTCATATAATTGTATTGTATGTTATAATGTATACTGGTTTATAAATATGTATTTTTTTTTGGAGTGGGGATGAGAGCTCATTGCACATATGCATAGGAGGTGCCCAAAAAAGACTAATGCAACTGGGCTTTAAAATTTGACTTTTTTGTACATATGTTATATATGGATAGCGCTTAAGATAAATCATTCGATTAAAGTCAACCAGACAACAAAATCACATTGTTGATATTTGTTGATAAGTGGCAACCAAATATATAGGGTGATCTCCCTTATAAGGTTTTTATTAACTTTTTCATGGTTTACAATTATAATTTTTTCAAACTTTCACAAAAAGATCAGTCCTAGAGGAATACATGCAGTTTGCCAAAAGCAGAATATTTATAAAAATATAGCTTGTGGATGTCCGTAAGATCCATTCTACCCCCTCCCCCTTGTCAGCAGTTGTCAAATTTTGAACAACCCTGGTCCCCCTTTTCTAGTGAAATGATTTTTAAAAAAACAACCTTTCAATTGTATCATTTCAGAAACATAGGAGGATAGCAGAGGACAATGGAGAAGAAGATGAACCAGAAACCCGTGAAAAAGAACTGACAATCAGGAAAAAACATGCTGAACAACAAATAGCACTTATCCAAGGAGTTGACTTCAACTTTGAAAAAGAACTTGAAGAGGTCACATTTCTTATACATTGTAGCAAAAAAGTATTTATGCCATGCATTAAATTTTCCTCTTTTATTTCTGTTAGCAATTTTAATGTGTATTCCTTGAATAACTTTATCAACTACAAGTTAAATATTTAGAGGCAGGGTTTGGGAGATGGTTATCGAACATGTTTTTTTCCCAAATAGAAACAATTAGAACATAATTAGAGTTATTAGAATATTAAATTTGTCATTTCAAAATTCATCACATTCAGTTAGAATGTGGCATGATTCATTTTTTGCTTAAGTAGTCACTAAGTCAGAATCTTCTCTCTCTCTCCTCCCCACCTTCTAATAAAAATCATCTTCATTGAGAAGAAATATTATCTTTCAAAGCATCTTTAAACACAGTTTAAAATATTCTTTTCAGATTCGCATTGAAATGATCAAAGAAAGAGCTTTGGCTTTAAAAGATCAGGAAGAGAGACTAGGTGCCCTAATAGTCTCACTGCAGATGAATAAAGCAAGAGAGGTCAACATTTTATTTTGTTGTTTAGTTACTTTTATGTAAAACCAGGTGTGAACATTTTTAACGGTTGTTGGGGCGAGTCTTTTGTCATGGTGTGTTCAATGAGTGTTGATGTTCTCTTTGTAAAAGGGGCTCAAAAATTGAACTGATATTTAATAAAGATATGATGACTGATTGATTACTTGTATTGCGCTTGTGTCCATGCTATTTTAGCATGCTCATAGGCCTACAATAAATTATTACATATTGCTTTATTTTGGATTTTATTGTTAACTTTGCTTTTATTTAGATGGCTAAAATTGAAGAGCAACAGAAAGCTATTAACAATTTGAAAGCAAATATGTTAGATGATTTAAATGCTAGGGGAATCTTAACTACGCCAGAATGTGAAATGATTCTCAACAGACATAAAGAGGTACACATTTTAAATAATCAAAATTAAACTACACTCTAAATTATATAAATTATTACATATCAACGTAGCTGAGAATAATTATATGTGAACTTTTTACAAATTTTTCTAAGTATTTTTAAGAAATTCATTATGACACAATTTAAAAACAACTTTTTAATCAATTATGGCTTATTTATAGTATCTAAATCTAATATCCTGTTTAACCTGATTGTACAAAATGTTTAACAGTTGACATGCAAGTTTCCTTGTCTTTTTTATTTTACTTTTTCCACATTAGCTTAACTAAATTCCAAAATATATGCATGACTTTCAGGAGCAAGAAAACCTCAATGAGAAGTTAGAGAAGGAGAGAGCAAAACAAGAAAAAGTCAGCATTTTGTAAACGTGTTAATATATTTTGCCTAAATATAACAGCATATAATGTTTATGAAAGTGTAGTGTTGCATTTATAAGCACTTTTCAATTGATAATTCATAATATAGTATTAGTATTAACTAAAATTTACCACTTATATTTTTATACTTATTTTACCACAATCTGAACTTTAGTGTAATAAGGATTTTTCATTTATCCATAAAATTCAGATGTTGCAACTTAAACTTCAAGAACGACTTAAGCAAAGAGAAGAACTGATGTCCCAAAAACAGGAAGAAGAACTGAAAATGCTACTGGAACAGGCTACAAATAAAACAAGTGCTAAAATCAGACATGCACTACTCATGCACAAACAGTTGGTGCAGATGGAGAAATTCAAGTTTGTATTAAACATCACCCTTTGTTTCTATCTCTCTTTTTTTTGGGCCTGTTATATTTATCAATAATAATATTTTTAAAATTATTTGCAGGAACAAATGGCAGAGAGAGATTAATCAGTCACTAGAGGATACTAAAAGAGACTTTCAGCTTCAGAAACAAAAGAAAGTGCAGGAAAAGGTAAATAGTTTTATACTAATGTATGGAGTTAGCAGATCAACTGGACAGTTAAAATAAATTTAAAGTAAATAGCTTTATTGTTCTATCATATAAATATTGATTGTGTTATAAATTGCAAAAGTTTTTTTTAACCCTTAAGAAAATTAAAAACTATTTTTTAAAAATGATCCATTTGCAAAAATCTACTTCATGGCTAGGATAAAATGTTTGTAAAAGTTTTTTTAAAACATTTTTTCAAAGCAGTTAGATTTTAGCATTTTGAAAAATACATATTAGTTACAGAAGTTTTCAATTATCAAATCATACAGGATAAATTGAAAATAATTGTAATGTGAATGGATCATTTATTTTGAATTCATCCTCTAACAATCTTCTTACAATCCACAGGAGTTGGAGTTTCTTTCAGGTCTTATAAAAATTGGTGGCTTTGAGCGCAATGAATTATTAGATGTCCTGCGTATGTTATTCCCTGGAAAAACAGAGAAAGCAATTACAGACATGCTTAACATTATTGATGTAGAAGATAAGAAATCTCCATCCAAAACGTGAGCAGATTCAGTCACTTTTAAAAAACTGTTAAATTGTTAAAAATTTTATGAAGATATAATGGTTATGCCATTATTCATTGTTTGATACATATCACAATACATTATCACAATACATTTGACAAGCTGTGGCACTTGGGCAAAAAGTGATGTTTCAGTTAAGGGGCATTCTATAAATGATGTAAGACATCAAAAAAAAAAATGGGGGAAAGAGGAAGTCACATGCTTTTGATGATTTGTGACAAGGGAGTCTAACTTTTGTGACAAATGTGTGATGATGGAGGTGGTGGGAATAACAAATTGGCCAAATGAAGGAAACATCATTTATTTTTGGCCCTTAATCACAACAAAAAACCTCAACAATTATTTTTAAAATTTCTATAGAGAATAATAAAACTTGTATCCCATAATTGTATGGCGGATAAATATTGATGTTAAAGATTTTGTTTTACATGATAATTATTCTTATAAAAATAATATGACTAACATTTATGTTGCAGACAACTAGCACCTGTATGTACATTTTCACAATGGCTATTTACTGTGATCTAAATCCTTTAAAATTATAATGCCTATAAAATTATTTTCAACTGAAATGTGAACCTTGTTTAACTAAGATTGCTGTGGTGTTTCTTTTAACATTGGTTAATTGTAATGCATATCTCTTTATCATTATATTTCTCAATGTTGACCTCCTATAGTTGAGTGTTAAAGAATTATTATCAATTATATAAAAAAAACATTTAATTAAAAAAATTAATTACGTTAAAAGCTAAATAAGAGAAGAAAAAAATATATACAAATATGCTCGTTTGTTCAGGCTACTGTGGCAAACCCATATCACAAAACCTGTGTCACTCACACCTGTGATCTGTGGGCTTTTAGGGTTGAAAATCTAATTTAAAAATACATGGAAATAACTCTACAGACTTTCCATGTCTTTCCAGATATTATTCCATAACTCTGTGAAAATAATTTATTTACATGTCTTGCCAAATATTAATCTTAACATTTCCAGAACTTTTAATCTGACTTATGAGAGACTAAGGTTGAAATATAATCTATTGATGTATTTTCCTACTGATTTAAAAACATTTGAAAACAATATATATAAATGTATATATATATATATATTTAGTTATTTAAATCTTAAAATGTTTTATTTTGGAAAGGCACAAAATTATTATGGAATTTATTATATAATCCTAATTTTGTAATGATTCTTAATGTGATGGGCTTATTTCTTTTTCATAACATTCTAAAAATCAATTTATCGATATATAAGTGTATGACTTTATGACTGGGATATTTTAAAGCTTTTGATTTAATTCATTTGTAAAGTTTTAACTTACACAGGGTGATTAAAAATGTATATAACTCATTCAATCATACATTATGTGAAAGCTGGTTTAAAGAAGCACAATCATAGATTGATTGTTTAAATACTGATTCGCATATGATACCATGATCACAGCTTACAATGAATAAGCTTTTTAATTGGTAAAACATTTCATCAATTGTGACAGTAATTTTTAAGGGCCGTGCACATATGACATAACACAAAAATGACCCCCTACCCTTTATAACATTATATAAAATTTCCATTGACCACCACCACCTAATATTAAATAATTTTCTAATCCCACCCCCCCCCCACACACACACACAAACATAAAACATTGGTACTACAAAAATTTTGTTTGTGCATTTTATAAAACAACTGTTACTTTAAAGACTACAGCCAATAATGTACCATTGAAACAAGACGAATCGAGCAAATTTCAAGCAAACAGCCTGAAATTTTTTTTTTTCAAAAATGTGCCAATTATTTTAATCAAAAAATACAATTAAGTTTTTAATAATCTAGAGTAATTTCATAACTCTGAAAAGCAGAAATTTTGAAAATATACTAATAAACTTTTTAAAAAATAAACAAAAAGAATTTTTATATAACATTGTTCTCCCGCCCCCCGCATGACACAATTCAGCAACAAACTAAACCATCCCTTACCTGCCTCACGTTATATAAAATGTGCACAGTACCCATCTCACTCAGCTTTAAACTTAACTATTTGCATTGCACTCTCTGAGAAGCAAAATAAAATTTTAAAGTCACAAGCTTAATTAAGTAATTTATGTTGAAAAAATAATTCTTGAAATTAAATATATCTAAACATTATTTAAATGTTGTATTATATTCATAAATGTAAAGTAAATGCAAAGAATAACATTTCCTACCAAAAGGTATAATTAGTCAAAATTGTTTATTACGTCTCTATATATTTAGGTTCAAAATACTCTTCCAGTGGATGAAATAGATTAGCGCATAAATTAGGGATTAAGATGCCATAATTGTCCCTGTTATTTTACAAGGCTAATTGTTTTCATATTTTCTATAACTTTTTACTGATGATAAAAGGTTCAATTTAAAAAAAAAAAGCTCTTCTTCTGAGGATTAATTTTTTTTTAAATTTTGTTCATAGAAATTGGGATTGTTTAATTCCTAACATTAAAAGTGGGAATGTCTTGCAATAACTGTAAATGGTATCAATTTATTTCTATAGGGCAAGTCAAAGAAGTACACTAAGAGATCGAGTTTACATGACTCGGTACTCACAAAAATTGCTTAGACAAGGTGCAGTCAATTCAACAGCATCTGAGTACAGGTATTTAGTTTTACTTACTCAAGGGCTGACTTGAACCTTATTAGCACATGCTTTGTTTATATAATTATAAGGACAATTTAAAATCTATATTTTGTTACTCAAAACTGCTGCATGGCATCTGTGGGTTAGCTGCGCGGCCACACAGCTTAAAGGGAACATTGCTTGTGATATTATGTGTCAATTTTTTAAAAATATAAATATGCTATTCTCTTAATGTAAATACAAAAATGCTTTAAAAAAATGTTTTTTCACAGATCTGACCGAAAAATCCTAAGAAATGAATCTAGTTTAAGTATTGCATCATATACTGATGGGATTAAGAACAGGAATCAGTTTGGCCCTCAGGATTATAACAGAAAATCCTCCATGCTTAGTCCAACTCCTCCCTTTGAGACAGCAAGATCTTTTTCACCAAGTTATCAGTATCAATCCCAGGATGATAGTTACAGAAAGAGTCATTTAAATAGTGCATATAGTGATGAAGATGATGAAGATGAATATCCTAGACCTGAGACCAGAAACAATTTCAAAAAAAGAGATAATTATGATAAGGTTCAAGTAAGAGGAAATAATTATACATTAGAGGACAGACAATATTATGATGAAGAAGAAGATAGTGGTGCTGAAACAAATGGAGGCTACTTAACACACGATATAAAGTACTTGGGAAAGTTACCTCCCCTGAAAGATACAGCAAAACCAACAAAAAAGAAGAAAACTTTATTGAAGAAATTAGCTAAACATGAAAGTGATGAAGAAGACTAGATATTTTTAAAAAATTAAAATTTACATTAAATTTTCGTAATGCAATTTTATATATGTGAAAACAAGTTGGTTTCAGGGATTTAGCTTTTAGTAATTAATAAAACATGCTCATGCTATCTTTAACGGCATTATTTGATGCACGAGTTAACTATTTACACAATATATTTATATGATATTCAGGTATAAATCCTGAGACAATATTTGATAATGTATGAATTGTAAAGGTTGTAAAGGTTTATGTGTATTTGTGGACTTTTTAAAGAAATAAAATATTTTAATTATTTTTTTTATTATTAACATGCACCTAAATAATGTATTTATAATTTCTTGTTGGTTTCATGTATATTTCTGTTATGAAAATTATCTTTTTACTGAAGAAAATATAGACCATAGAACTAAATATTTTGTATGAAAACAATTTTATTTGAATCAATATTTTTCACAAGCCCTTTAGGCTTGACAATTTGTTCAGATATTATTACCTTAAATATTTTTGTATGCTTATGAAGAAATGTTTTTATTAATTAATGTCAGTCAAATATTTAATTTTAAAAACTTACTTAAAATTGGTGGAATATTATGCTTTTTCTTCCAAAATTAAGCCTACCCTTTTGATGACGTCAATTTTTTTAGGACATGCAGCAATTCAATTCTATTTGAAAGAATTTTTTTAATATAAATCTAAAATATTTTTACTTCCAACTAATAAAGATTGTTTCCACATTTGAAATTTTATAATGAAAGTTGGACAGATGCCAAAGTAAATTTGGAAGTAATTTTTTAAATACAATTAAAGACTCCAATTTTGTGTCCCTAATTTCTCTCGAGATAAAAATTTATTTTTAAAGAGTGATATAAGCAGCCTTTCTTATGGGCCAAACTCTGAAGATTTAAAAAAATATCTTACCTAACAAAGATAAACCAAACACAATATACTAAATTAATTTCTTCAATAAAATTTGATGTGATTCACTTATGTAGCACTATTTAATATTATTGTCTTTATGAAATGCCATAAGAATTGTCTTTAAAATCAGTTTTATTTTATTTTGCTCATTGTTATCTAAAATGTTTCTAATTTTATTATAAACTTTGTAAAATTGTACCTCCGTTATATTTAAATATAAAATTCATTTTTAAAATAATAAGAAATAGATTAAATTATTTAGATAAGTCCCAGCCAAAACAACTCAACAAATTCTGATGACGGAAAATATCAGAAGCAATATAAAATATAAGTTTTGCCTTTAAAATAGATGTGAAGCATGATGTGAAGCATGATAATTGTATTTTTTCATTAGAGTTATTTTATAAACATTATGGCTCTTCTGATAGTTTAACCTAATTAGTTTAAAAACAATGTGCAGTAAAATAAAGCTGATTTGGCATGATTGCAATTTTTCATTAGGCACCATTATTAGGAGGGAGTGTGGTCGCGACTTTGTGACGATGTATAATGAAGGTGTCTAAATTGTGTGACAAATTTGTGACAATGGGAGAGGGGGGTTCAACATCTCCAAAAGCAGTGTGATATTATTCATGTAATTTCATAAGCCTTGCTTGTCATTATCATTTTTAAAATATATATATAATTTCTTTAAATATATGTCTATTACTGTTAGATTTTGAAATTGTTCTGCTCACTTTTAATTCCAACTGTGATACTTTAATTTATCTTTCACACTTTGTTTTATCTTCACAATAACTAATATACAATTAATATTATTTAATAATATAAGTTAATAAAATGTATTTGAATTTTTAAAAATTATTTATGACTTCACGTTAAAATTTTTTTTTCAGTTTTCTCCCACATCTCTTGATTATCTTCTCTAGCAAAATCTAGGACACATTTTGGCTATGTATTCTTTTGCTCTCTGGAGAAGCTTTAGTCTAAGTGCATATCATTTAAGTTTTAGTTTGGGTTCGTTCAATACTGTATGGACCCACTTGAAATACAGCTATAAACCTAAAAATTATTTGTATGATGACCTTAGGCTGAGCAAACCAAAACTATTATAATAGGCTACAATCCCATTGAAAATTTAAGGTAGTAATTTTAGCATTTTCTATTAATGAGATGTTTATTCATTCTGATGTCCCACATTAAATTTGAGTTGTTTTTTCTTTTAACAAAATGCTTTATCTCCACAAAATAAACTATCACAACTAAACATGCTTTATGATCTGGGCCCATTTCTTTTACAGTTAAAAAAAAAATAGATAATCACTTTCTCATAATAGCCATACATTTAAAAATGTCAGGCTGACTGGATGGCCAAATGGTCTTAACTGAGCAAACCTCAAGTTGGTGGTCTGGTGTTCAAGTCCAGCCAAAGGCCAGTCACCGGGTGGATGAGACTCGTTAACCTTGGTCGGCAACTCATCTAAACCCGGAGTTGGAGTCCCGTAAGGCGCAAACAATGACAATTCCTGCTACCGAACCCATCCCTGGTCGTTTTGACGTAGAGTCTTGCCACTGGATATGGTGGGCTCGGACGAGAGAGTGAGGTAGACGCCGCGCAACTCTTCTTCACTTTAAATAAAGTCATCCGCGCAAGTAATCAGTCACCAGACGACTCGATGGTCCTCGTCGATCCTCGACAGACGAACAATAATACATTTAAAAATAAAATATATGGATTTTTTAAATTGTTGCTTTTCTGTTGCCTTTCTCAAAGTTACTGTTTCACTTCAATTTTAATGCCTATTAAGTAGGTAAGTAACTGGTTATTGTTTTTGGGTACTTTACTTACACAGGATTTACCTTCCTAGGCAGACAATTACTTTTAGATTAAGCGTGGAGCTAAATTTCTTTTGATATATGCGCTACTTAAATTCAGCTTAGAATTAGAGGGCACATCTCCCCATTCAATTTCTCTCGTAATTTGAGTATCAGTGCAACCCTTTTAGGGGTATATTTGTATGGTAAAAGTAGACTCTTCAATAATCACATGATTCTTTTGTTATAGGCAGGGCTGAGCAGAGGAAAAGCGGTATCTGGGGCAAAGTCTGAAAACACTGCCACTTAATCTAAAAGTGCCACCTGGGGTGGACCAGTAAAATACCATTTTGACATAGGATTAAGGTCTTTTTTAGAGACCATTTTGCACCCCCATCATTGCCCCCTTCGCACGGCCATGGTTGAAGGGCTAGAGCAGGATGAAAAGTATCAGTTTATGGTAATATGATATAAATATTCCATAAAACATTTGTCAATGGAGTTGTATGTTAATAGGAAAATAAATTGATTTGATAATTTGTAAAAAGTGTTCGTTTCCTGTCTTCCTGATGTAAAAATCTATATGTGATTCCATCCCTGTGGCACTACTTCCTTCCACTCAGACCTAACTAATGCTTTTCTTTTCCATGCTTGGATTTTCAGTTGTAGATCTTTTTCCACATCATCCATCCATCTAAGCCTAGGTCTGCCTTTAAGCCTTTTTCCTCTGGGGTATTGGTGATGCACCCTCTTCGTTCCTCTGTCATTTGGCATTCTAAGTGTTCTGCCCAGCGTAGTCTGCCCCTTTTTATTTCTGCTACTATTGTGGGATCCTGATATAGACTACAATTCATGGTTGGTTCGTGTTCTCCATCCATATTCATCCTTTGTTGGTCCATACATTTTCCTGAGAAATTTCCTCTCCCATGTGTTTAATAGGTTTTCTACCGTTTTTGTTAGGGTCCAAGTTTCACTTGCATATGTTACAACTGGTCTGATTACAGTTTTATAAATAGTTTTCTTTGTTTCTCTTGTAATGATTTTACTTTTGAGTATTTTCTGACTACTGAAGTATACCCTGTTTCTGGCTGATATTCTTTGTTTTATTTCTGTTTGTAATTCGTTTCTTTCATTTAATAAAGATCCTAGTTATTTGAATTGATTTACTTTTTCAAAAGTCTGGTTTCTAATTTTAATTGTTTCATCTGTTTGTTCATCTCTTATCATGGTCATGTATTTTGTTTTTTGATTGTTAACTTCCAGCCCTGCTTGTAGTGATGCCTCTTCTAATTCAATAAAGGATTTTGAGATGTCTTTAATACTTTTCCCTAGCAGTGCTATGTCATCAGCATATGCAAGATACTGAAGTGGTTGGTTGCAGAGTGTGCCCAATGGTTGTGGGTCTTGAGTTTCCCTCAGAAAGTATCCTGTTATCATTCCTCGAATGTCAATGTGTATGTTTCTATATGTGATTATGTCTATATGTTTTTTTCATATTTATTTATGTGAACCTAATAATTTTGTTAGTGGTTTTGTAAAATTTATATGGACATAGATGTATATGAAACCTAAATACTTTTAACTTTAGATGTAGCTTATAAAAGCCAGTATGGTATTACCCAGTGTTTTTTCTCATAATTAAGGTCAGATTAGTGCTCACCAATATGCCAATGAGGAATTTACCAAATATCTTTTAGAGGTTTTCCTCTTAAAAGTGGCTCACAGAAATTTGCTTAGTAACTCTAAAATTATATTGTTTACTAAAAGTTGTCTTTTTTTTAAATCTTGTAAGGAAAGGTGTTTTTTTATGTGATCATAAAGAGACAGGTGAGTACGAGAGGTTAATTATTGGTTAAGTCTAACAAATTAACATTAACTCTGCCTCTGCTCATTAAAGCTACTTTAGGATTCTGTCACCTATGGGGTGATTAAGTTCTCTGGCTTGAGAGATGTAAGAAAGGCAACGGAGGGAAAATCCAATACTAGAAAACCTGTTTTGAAAACCTGTAGCCACGTTGATACTAAGCTTTAGCCTATCATTCTTCAAGCTGTGGTGCAGCTGAATTAGAGATACCTCTATCTACAAATCAGAAAAGAGCTGAACACTGTGATCTAGTGTGATTCACACCATTGATTTCAGAATTCTCACTGTGTAATTGTACCTGGATGTGATGGACAAACAATAAATGTATATTATATTAAATTGAAATTAAAAATATATATTTAAAATGACATTAGTTATTGGTTTCTTATTCTAAAGGAATAGCTCATTATTTGATTTATTCTATATCCGTGGCCAACTATACAGTACATAAATTTAAAAAAAAAAATTTCTCCTGTCGTAAAAGAAGGAATCACTTCCTCGTGTTCATTGCCGACATAAAGGTAGCAGCACTATTTAATTTTTTTAAATAACTATCATAATCATAGCCATGGCGTTGCATGGGTGCACTTTCGATATCATACTGCTATTTGGACCTCCCATTCCGGTAATTAATATAATATTATTATTTGAAATAAAATAAGTAGCTTTTTCGATTAATGCAATTTACCTAGCCTAACATTTTTGATACCTAGCGGCGCCTAGCGCCTATCTATCAGTATCAGCGATCCAGGTATTTAAATTTATAATAATTTCTATTTTCTATATAATAATAATATAATTTTAATTTTATAATAATATTTGGTAAACTAAATACTAGATTAAGTAGATGTAAAATAATTTTAATTGACTAAAATTTGACTAAACTAAAACTAAATCGAGTCGTTCACCAATTTTCCTAATTAATAATTATTAGTAAAACTATGTAATGTTAACCCTTTTGGGACGGAGCCTTTTCGGGGTGCCTTGGCCGAGCCAAAAAGATCGAGCACTTTTTACCAGCTCGGCACTCGCATTGCCGATAAAATTATATAAAATAAACCATTTCCTTTATATTTATAAAACGATATATATATTCTTGTAGAAAATTGAATGAATTTCAATGAACTGTTACAATTACAATCTTTATGATTCTAACTGAAATATCAACATTTATGCAAATGAGCTGTACTGATTTACATAATTTATGCGTGTAAGTGTAATTTTTTTTGTTTCAACCTAGAATAAACAAGACTTACTTGTATCAATTGTGTGAATTTTTTTATGGATGAACCCCGAATAAGTCCTAACACTTGTGTTTTTGGGAAACAAGGCCCAAGGAGGCCCTTCAGACATTGCTGGCACATGTCGTCACATTATTCTACTCATTTTCCTGCCTCCAGCTATTTTTCAGTTGCGACAGACACATACTTTAACAGGCCCCCATTTATGACCTAGGGACCTTCTCTAAGGCTTGAAGTTACTGAGAAAGTTGTCTGCATATCTATTGATCTCTCTCATAAACATTTGAGTGATATTTAGTGTAAAAAAAATAGCATAATGGGGTGCTTATGCCTTATTTATAGGACCTACATGGCCTAAAAATTCAGAGGGGTCATCTCTGCCCATTGCAGGACCCCTAATACTAAACCAAGAGTTCACAACATTAACATTACCCTCATTTTGATAGTCTTCATTAATTTCCTGGTTGTTTTCATCAGTTTCAGTGTCAGATTCACTGCTAGAATATCAAAATCACTAAGGATAGTTTGATCAGTATCACTGTCAGATATTTTGGTATTTTACAATATTACTGGCCAAATTTTTAAAAAATTTCTTAATACACACAAGCTAGTTCACTATCAAAACAGGCCGCCATTATAATGTCGGGATGTGCAAGGATATGTAAGAAGCAATCTGATGAGAATTATCTGGTCTATAGATCAGGCATCCATCTTATTTGCTACTCTACGATGGGCCAATAGTTGGGCCCATCCATCCCAAGTGGGTTAGTACTAATAGTATTAGTATAAGTATAGCAAATAATAAAGTTATTGGTAATAGTAATAGGCCCAAATTCAATTAATTTAGATTTACTTAACTAGACTTCCTAAGTAAGTAACTAAGTTTGTAAGTAAGTCAAGGAATAGAGTAAGTAGAAGACTTGATTGACTTTGTCTTACTCTTTGGCCTACAACTTTAATTAACTTTATTAGGCACATAGACTACTTAGACTAAGGTATACAGTGAAGATGTCCTCTCGACATTGCTCTACGGGTGTGAAACGGGGACAGTCTACTAATGTCACACCAAGTAACTAAACCACTTTCACACAACCTGCCTCAGGAAACTCCTCGGCATCAAGTGGCAAGACAAAGTGCCTGACACAGAGGTCCTTGCTAGAGCGAGCCTACCTAGCATCTTCACCAACCTGATGCAGTCGCAACATGTAGCCCGTATGGAAGACAACAGGCTCCCTAACCAGCTATTCTTCGGTAAACTCACGCTAGGCAAGCCCTCCCAAGGAGGTAAAAAAAAGGGATACAAAGACACAATGAAAGCGGCACTAAAGGCCTTCAGCAGCAACCTAATTGAATGGGTGCAGACAGCCCAGGACAGAGCTAAGTGGAGATCAGATGTCAATCTCATGATGCCAGAATGATAGTGACAGCCGAGACAAGCAGGTTAGCCCGAAAAAACAACCTTAGACCACCGACTACAGCAACTATCCCCTGCCCGTGGTGCCAGAGACTATTCTGAGCACGGATTGGACTAGCAAGCCACCTATGCACTCATCGTGACCCACCCCACCCCTGACCAGCTGACTAGATAGTCCTTGTCGATTTTGAATGATGAACAACAAGTCTAAACTACTAAGAATAAACAATTAAGTTTAAGGGTAAGAGTGGTACAAGTATAGTATAAGACTAAGACTTCAAGCACTCACTCTTACAACTCTTAGTCTAAGAGTTAGAATTAGTAAGAGTTACTCACCAAGTTAGACAGTGAGTGAGTGATTTAACTCACTAACGACTAACAGTAATAACACATTAGACTAGAGACCGGGCTAATCTCAAGGAAGAATGAGTTTGTTGAGTCTACTAAGTAAAGAACAGTATAAAAAAGTATAGGCATGGGTATAAATTGTAAAACTAAGGGAGAAGGAAAATGTATTTTATAACATTTTATACGTTGCTTTGCTGCTGTTTCGAAACAGAAAAACATGGTTGCAGATTATCATTGTGGCATATTTTTTAAAAAGAAGTCATTTTTTGACATAACACTTTCTGGTTCTGGTTCTGGTAGTGTTTCGTTGCTGCATACATGTACTGGCATCTTTACAACGGTTGGGGGTATGATGTAGCTATTCTAACAGCTCCTGGCAGATGCCAGGGCAGCCTTGAGGCTTTCGACTGATGTCGAGTTCACCAGTGACGAAGAGGCCAGTGACGAAGCCAGGAGTGGTGGATTTGTAGTCTCGTGCGATAAAACACACCGCGTTACATTGAATTATCTCCATCTTGTCCACATCTTGCTTAAGGTGTGGGTCCCAGATGATGGACGAGTGCGAGATAGGCATTTCGTTTGTAGGAAGTTGAGGAGTGGTGCAAATTTCTTCGGATGAAACCTAAGGTGGAGTTGGCTTTTTTTGACATTTTGTTTATATGGGGTGACCATTTTAGGTTCTTTGAGAAGAGAATTCCAAGGTATGGACTATTGGATACTTGTTGGAGGATTGTCTCGTTTAGTGAGTAAATATGGGTTGATGTTTTTTTTTCTTGAGATTGTCATAGTGTAGATTTGGTTTCATTAAATTTCATGCCCCATTTGTCCGCCCAATTCATAAGGCTCTTCAAATCTGTTTGGAGGTGGTTGTGGTCATTGCAGCTGTTTATCTATCTGTAGATAAGACAGTCATCAGCGAACAGTCGCACTTGAGAATTTACTGTATCGGGTCAGTAGTTTATGTGACAGAGGAAGAGAAGGGGGCCCAGTACTGTGCCTTGTGGAACTCCTGAGTCTACGGTGGCTTTCCCCGATCGAATAATAATTGGATAAAATGACTTGCATAAAATTGATGCTCATGAAAACTACTAATGCCTTGACCTTGGTACACTCAGAAGTGCACCAATACGCATAAGTCTTGAGAAAAATTACACAAAATACTACCCATTGTTGGCATTATCTTTTTTATGGGTTACTTATTTAATTATTATTTTAGATGTGTTTAAAATGAAACAATAAATTCCATTATGATTATGCAATACATATAGTAACTGTAATACATTTAAAATTATTTATATATGATATTGAAATTACTTGGATATAAGGTATAATTAAATCTGTTTTTTTTTTTTTAAAAACAATTACATCCTTTCAGGATAAAGCAAGTTTTGTCCCTGAATCTGTCCTTTCGTCAAATCACGCCACTATATGCATAGAGACTGTATATCAAGAAAATACAAGTTATGGTTTGAGGGATGTTGCTCTTCTTATCGTTACCAACCTCAGACAGGTATTGATTGAGTATATTAGTTAATGTATGGGTAAATCAGGAAAAAGTAAAAAATCATGATCTGCAACATACTTGAGTTTTTGTAATAAATTATGCTTAGGTGCATGTCTGATGTGTACTCTTGAGGAAATAAGTCTATGTTGGTTATTTAAATAAATTTGCAAGATATGTAAGTTTGGATGTAATATTGCAAAGGCAAATATGTAGTTAAGTTCAAAATATTTATGGTACAGTAAAAAATAAAAAGGGAAAATATTTTAAGTAAAATAAAAAATTGAATGAATAAATCTAAAACTAGGAAATGATAAGGTCAACAGAATTCATATTTTAAATATACCAAAGTAATAACCATTTAAAGATTTTCAATTTTCATGTTTAAAAAGTTTTAATTATTCTAAATAAAATTAAGCTTTGCTTGTTGTTTGTGATATTAAAATCAGAATAATATTCTATGTCTTTGGAAATCATTAACAATTTTAAAAACATTGAATTTTTAAGGATTGTAAGTAAATTTGCATTATGGTTTCCTTTAAAAAAAAAAAAAAAAATAGAATAAGCAGGTTCTAGCTGTTGATGAATTTCGTTTAAAGTCTGTGCGTGAGAGTCTGATTACAATCATAAAATCTAAGGTGAGTCCAAAATATGTAATCTCTTAGCATGTCTACTTATTTCTTCTTATTTAATCTTTAAAAAAAAAAGTAATTCCTGTCTTTTCTGACTTTTGTGGTGAAGAGTCACCAATTAATGATATCACCTCGGCATGGGTAAACTATTTGTGATGATGTGTTATGAGGGTGCCTAAATTTTGTGACAAATTTATAATTGTTGGGGAGGGGGTGTGTAAAAAAATCTGTCAAAATAGTTTTACCTCATTTATGAATGGCCCCTTAATTCATACTCAAATTTGCAATTTAACCAGTTCTTTTAAAAATCATGATGATAGCAAAATTATTCACTTCAGCTTTTATAATATCAGATTAGACTTGCGTGACAAAAATTACTAAAGCACTAACACATTTAACTTGAGAAAAAATGAGTAAAAAAAAAAAAATTCATTTCTTTCAAATTTATTTTTTCCCTAACCTTCAGATCCCATTATGTCGAGTGCTCCTCATTGAAGTGATACCAGAGTATGGTTTCAATCAAGTAATGTGGCAATGGTTGTCTGCTTGTGCCCTAGGAGATAGTATGCTACCTCTCAAAGATGGAAACACTTTGAAATATTGGTTTGACAAGACATTTTTAAACTTCGAGTTCACTTCCGGTTATGGTTAGTTGATTATTTTATTGCTTTTAATTTACTTTTACATTTTGAAGTAATTTAAGCCTCAAGTGAATATAAATTTATGAACATTATGGGAATAGAAAATAGAAGCTTGACATCTTTTCTTTTGTATATCTGGAACATATTGTTTTATGTATCTATTTTACAGTGCAGAAACCTAGCAAAGATGAGGGCTACTCCATAGAAACCTTACATGTGCCTTTAAAAATAAAATCAAGTTATAAGGTATTAAGGCCTTCATTTTTTGTTTGTCAGCAGTTTTTAACTTTTAAAAAAAAAATTGTATCTTGCAATAAACTAAAATTTTGGAAGCATCATTCACATATTAAGAAATATATCAGCACTAATTTTAGAGAAATCTTCAAGCAAGTTATTATTACTTGATTACCATATTTATTGGCGTATTACACGCATTTTTTCTTCCTGAAAATAGGGGGCTAATGATGTGTGCGTGTTATACGTAGATATAATGTTAAGGACCCATAGTACATACCGCATAGCGGCGTGAATGGTGCGTGTTATACGCCTGTGCCTGTTATATTCCAATAAATACGGTATATTAGGTGAATTATCATATATTATAGGTGTCACCTTACACTAAATTACCCTATGCAATATATATACCCTGTCAAAGAAAATTGTAATTTAATTATTTTTGTTTTTCATATCAGAATCTAACAACACACCAATGAACATAGGACTAATTGGTGTGTCAAACAATGACACATGTTGAAAACCGCTGATTAATAGTATTAATTATATTCCACAAAATAATATTTATTTAAAAAATAGAGACAGTTAAAAAATACTTTTGTGTTAATTTTTTTTCAGATTGTCATTCATTCTCTTTTTCTACAATGGGAACATATTATTGGTGATAATGATGAACTATTTCCTCAAATTTTTTGTTTTTGTTCTTCTTGGGCACATGAAAATCCCACAGGCAGAATTATTGTCATCTGTGATGGGAAAAATGTAGCAAAGGGTGAGAAAATTTCATATTTTTCATATAATAATAATAATAAAAATAAGACGTCTTATATAGCGCGGTACCCCAGCCTAGGGCTGGGCTCACCGCGCTGTACATAAAAATTTTATCAAAAGAGACATAATCATGACATGAAAATAAAATACATTTATGAAATAAAGAACAGCAATGTATATTCACCCACCCCACCACATAACTTTTACAAGGCAAACCATGGACGGCAGCCAGCAAGACCGTTTATCGGTCAGAGGAGGGGAATCAGTCAGGGTAGTATATTTCAAAAAAATTTGTAGTTAAATTATTGGCTTTTAAGTTCTTTTATTAATATAGATTAATTTTTTTTTGTATCTTTGGTCTTCAGGTATCATTTCAGCAACAGCTGAAAATATCAAATTAATGAAATGTTTGAAGAAACTGGCAGAGCAGGTCTGTATAAATTTTAATTTAGGATCACGTTTCAAAATTAAATTAGAAAATCTGGTTAATGTTGAAGAATTAAAATATATTGAAATTTTATTATACTGTTTTCAAATGGGCTTCTAAGTCTTTGAGAGTACTTGGTAGTTAATAAAGATAATAAAGATCAGTTGTTTCTAAAAACCATGGTCAAATAATCGCATCCTGTGGTTTCGGTTTATTAGCACAGCTACAGCTTTAACTATATTTTATTATAAGAATGTAATATTCTCAAAACAGGTAATTGTGGGGAAATATTCAATTTCATTGAACAGTCATCAGTAAGAAGTATATTAAAATTTAAGTACCAGTTTAATTAACTAAAATTTATGTCTAGTTTTTCAAAACAGAATTAGGAGACATCTCAGACGAAATTCCACATAGGCCTTCATTTTAAACAGCAAGTTCAACAAATACTTTTTTGCAGTTGAAACTCATTAATTGTACATTACTTTCAGCTCAACCATCCAATATTTGCCCTTCAAATTTTGTCAACATCAAACTGTGATAATTTTTGCCTTCCACCCAATCCTGGGATGCTTGCATTCTTACAACAACGTCACCTTGTGGACCTTCATTCTGAGGTAAGGATGTTGACGGTTGCCTTGTATTTCACTTGTTGATTTACTTTATTTTCTTTTTGCCACCTGTCAGTAATCTGATAAGTATACTGAGATTATTAAGTTTGCCAATTTAAAATATTTTTCAGAAAACTTTCTACATATTTGGTTCTCAGGATCATAAAACAATGGCACAGGTGGCAGGTGTTAAGCATCTAAAGGTAACATCTGATTTGTGTGGTGGGTGGGTGCATATTAGATTTTAAGCTTCTAAAGAGAATTTTATGCCTCTTTTTATATTGGGAAGGAATATTAAAGTGATAATAATGGGAAGGAATTTTAAAGTCATAATATGGAAGACTACCATCAGGTTAGGTAGAAAGAAATGAGTGAAACAAAAGTATGGGGAAAACTTAAAAAAAGGACAAGAAAACAGCGAACGTATCGGCAAGAAGAAACAAACAGCAATGAAACCAATATAAATATTAAATTAAACACTAAGCTGCAGTGTAGTATCCGAGAGGACAGCAAGATGAATGTAATAGACCAATAGTAGGTAAGAGAGTTTTCAAAGGCAATAAGGGACAAAAGAGAGGAAAAGTAAGTCCATGGCGATTGGTTTCTAAGAAGGGGTGGAGAAAAGATATACAACGTCAAGTTAGAACTTGACATTCATGCCATGTGATGTCAAGGTCTCATAGGTGTGGATCAGTTTATTCTCTAAGTTTATCTTGGCGGGTCTTCTGTTGCAAGTAGAGTGACGGTAATTGTAAAATTGTTTGTGCCCTTTTAGTCACTTCTATTGAAGTGTTTTGAGATAGGACACTGTTTATCTTGCACAATATTTTGAAGGGTGTTCATCGAGCTGCCGTCCAGTCATATGGCAGCGGGCACAAACAATGGCATATACAACATTGCAGCTAGAGCAAAGGAAACCGTCCCTTATCTGAAAACTAGCCTAAGGGAAGGGAATGTGATGAGTCTGGATGACTAAGGGCAAGTTTTGGCATCAGCAGGATCCACATGAATTGGTTCCAAAGTGGGAGGGGCTAGCACGGATGTGGCTACAAACAAGAAGATCTCATAGATCTCATATCTCTTCTAAACACAGTGAGAGTCGGGGATGAAAAAATGTTGTTGGTGTCAGGGTCGGCGAGGAGAATGGCATGCCTTCAGGTCTCATCCAAGTTACAATTATGAAAGGACCAAACTTATTCTCACATATTATCCCCACAATCTCATAGCCAAACTTGTTTGCTAATATTAAAGTGAAAAAGATATGTAAAATCCTTCTATTACCAAATAAATTACAAAACTTCACTAAACACATAATACAAATTAACCATCAATTTTATTTGTATTTCAGGTAACTTCTTTACTGACATCACCCGATTTGGTAAGTACCTTATATAAAAGGCATATACTTTGTTTTAAAACAATCACACGGATTTATAGTTAACTCTCTGATCATTTATAAGCAACAACCAACATAAAGTGAACGTTATTTTGTTGACATTTTATGTTGAGCAAGTTCCACCATACATATGATACAACTTGTTCTTTTATTTTTATATTGTATTCACGTCTACATGACAATTAATACACATTTGACCATGTCACTCACAGCGAAAAATCACAAGGCTTACATCAACACACACCTCAAAACTGGCCATGGATGTTTAATTGCAACTTGTAAGACCACCTAAACATTAAAAAGTTTTTTTGACATCCCTTTAAAATCTTTTCAACAATATAGGTATTAAAAGGTCAGGGCATTCACCCCACAGTGCCTGCAATGTTGAAAACCAAATTGGTAGAGGAAAAACTGTGTATAAACAATGATACATCTCCCTCGCTACCTCTCTTTGACTTGAGACATGAAATGGAGGATGGGCATATTTCTCATTGCTTTCCATTAAGCTTTCAGGAGCATGTTTTTGTTAAAGACATGAGCAACTTCTGCAAGTAGGTCTTGATTATTTAAAATTTGAAGTGATGCCATTACCTTGTCATCGGCTCATAAACTTAGTGTATATTATTTAGTACTTTATATGACTTATATACACTTAGTGGTTATTTTTTTAAAATAATGAAATTTAAATTGTTTCAGATATCAAGAGTTATTTGTAAAGCAGCTTGGATCAGTTGAAGATGAAGGTAACAGTAAAAAATTGTATGACGCAACTGTAAGTGAAGATGGAGAAAAAACTAATGACAAATTTAAGAATGAAACTGGTGATTTAAAGATTCCATACTGGATGAAAAAAAGACCACGAAAAGAGCTCAGCTCTGGATCTTCTGAAGCAACTTTAGAAAGTGCTAAAAGTGGTTTCAGGTTAGTGTATTTTAAAATATTTGCATATTTTTATCAAAGACTCATCAGTTTGTGAAACACTGTTCTAGGGAATGAAGATAAAATATTACAAGCAGCAAAGTGCGTTAAATTTTTAGTGCTCTCCGCAGGCTATAAAAATTACAGCCCTTATTTGCTTAATCATCTATATTGTAAAAATATATTTGTTGCCAAAAATAATTATTTAAATTAAAACTACTTCAAAGTAATTTTAATTTTAGTGTGAAATAAGTTAAGACCAAATTATTTTACTTCAACTTTATAGTTACATTATTTTTTTTTAGGTCATTACAAACAATCTACGTCATGACAGAAAGAGAACTAATGGAAATGGCTCATCATGTTATTCACCAGGCAAAATATTGTTCTCAATGATTTTAAGTTTTTCCATAGTATTTTTTAAGTGACCTGAACAAGTGTAAAGCATTTAAATAGCTTAATTTGATGTCTTTCAGAAACTTTATAAAATTATATTTTAAATATATGTTTACTCTTTTAAGAAGTATGGAGAATCTATTTCACACACACTCATCAACCAATTTTGTAACAAAAAAGGGCTATAACATTTATAATTTTATATTATCTTTTAATTTCAACAGCACGAGGCAGGGCAGCAAAGAAAACAAGGATCAAACTTCTTAAATACTGATGAGCCCGGGTGACTTTTTCATCATATTCTTTTTAGCAAGTTCTGGGTACTGGGGCATTGTGGATGATCACTGTAATTATGTCTTACCCTTGAGGAAATACAGTCAGCTCAATTTCAGAGTATAAACTACAACTTTACCTGAAGTATAAAACTGAACATTATCTAGATCTAGAATAAAAACTCGATTGAACTTTACCTACTGACTATTAATATTGACAAGATGTACATTTTTGGGATGCAACCAAAATTAAGCATTATACTTGGACTCAATTTCATGAGTTCCAGCCAAATGAAGCAGTAATAAATAAATTTGTTTATTTTGTTCTCATTAACCTGTGGACAGGTGTAAGTAAAGCTTAACCTAAAGTAATGTTTTTAAGAAGGTAAAGTACAAAGGTTTTAATGATTAAAACAACAGTTACTGGTCATTGAATGCATCTTTATTATGTAAATTATATATAACAATAAAATGTTGCAAAGATAAACAAAGTTGTTTTTCACTTGCATTATTCATAGAAACATCTCAATTTACAGAGATTACAAATAATTACAAATGACTAAATGCCAGACTCTCAAAGCCTCTTGCATTCTTTGATGTTTAAGCAATTCATTCATTTTGTGCTGCTGACTTTTTCCACACTTAACCCTTAACAAAATATTTATTTAAACCAATAAGTTTTTAAAAACATTGTTTTATTTTTTGAGATTCAAAATGCTGATGGTTGACACGCTTCTGGAAGTCATAAATCGAAAATATATTTAAAAAATCTGTGGGCTCTTCTCACACTAGAGCTTCCACATTATAATCGGCCTTATTCTATAAAAAAAATAAATGAAAACTATTTCATAGCAAAACTGTAAAGAAAATATTCCTATACTCTTGTAAAAGATCAGGATAGTTTTAAAGAAAGCACTAGAGGCAATTTTACCAATAAAATTAAAATACAAATAAAGAATTAAGAAGCACAATGTACTTTATTTTTTAGATACACCATGTCCAAATGCAATTTAAGGAAAGATTACTTTAAAATACACTAGTGAGATAATACCATAGCAAGAAATAAAACTCAAATTTATGTTAGTTATTATCAGAGAAATTAAGACTGATTGTGCATTGTGACAGAATAAGAATTATGTACCGGTATATTTCTAATTTCCCCTTACTTTTTACCCTTCAATTTATCAAATGGTAAAAAATTTTGTTCTATAAAAATAAATTTAAAGCTGAGAAAAGTTAAATTAGCAAAAAAAATTTTTGTTGAATTTATGAATTATTCAAATATTTCTAGAAGATCCCAGTACTTTCCACATCCTCTTTAAAAAAAACCAACAAATTGTGTGTGAAATTGCTGCACCTCTGATAAATGGATCTTCCATACCACTTATGCTTGTATGTATCACTGGGTAATCAAAAATTATTTACAAAGGCTTCAATAAATATCAGTGTTCCTCAGCATGCACTGAATGTACTTGGTTAGGTTTGCTGTGTACAAACAAAATTAATAACTGTCCTATTAAAAAATAAATTAGCATAATTTATAATTTTGTAGATTGGCAAGATTTTTGAAAAAACCCAGCCATTTTCAATTATTTATAAACATCTGGAAACATAAATAATGACTCAAAACTTTCATCATTCAAGGAAATGAAGAATGGAAAACATTCAAAACCTATCATTCTTATAAAAATATACATTTTTTGCTTGCTTCAAAATTTAAAGTCTCCTGGCCTAAGAAGACATCTTTTGTACAATTTGAGAGAGGTTTCAACATTTTTATTTCTTTCAGAAAAAAAAAAATTCAATATAATTAAGAATTTCTTTTTGATTTAATTTACAGTAACTTTTGATTTAAAACGAAAATTGAATAAGATGATCAAATTTGTAATGTAGAAAAGCTCAGATTTCAAATGTTTACCAAGTTATAATCTTGGCACACATGTCTGGATTCAAAATAAAGTCCCTTTTTATCAAATCTAAATTCAATACACTTTTTCAGCCTCACTTATCCCAACCCAAAATAATTATATTTCTTCTCATAAAAAAACCTACTTCTTAATGAATTGTGACTTAATGGAAATTTAAATGGGAAAGAAAACACATTTCCCATAAAAAAAAGAAGAAAAAAGTCCTAATGCTTAACATGATTCTGGAAAACATTACTGTACAAGAATTATACAGTCTTTTACTTATGATATTCGAACATGGGTTTTTACATAATGAAACATTAAGATGTGTGGATTCTTGGTGTTTTTGAACTCACTGCAACAACATCTTAGCCATGATTTCATAAACCATCCGTTTTCTAAAATAGGGCATATGCTCCTGCAAAACAGGATAATAAGAAATTAAAATGTAAACAATATGAATATTAACAAAAGTTTTGAAATGCATGTACAGTAATAAATGTGAAATGTATTTAAATTTAACAACGAAAAGAATTCTTGAAAGTAACAATCTTAGCACTTACTTAAAATATAAAAAAGTACAACTTTTTGCATGATTGATTGTAATAGTAATATAGTCACAGATTTAATCTGAATTACATTATTTTAATACAAATCTCTTTCATTAAGAATACTTAATCACCAAGTAGGACACATTCTGAAAGTCAATCTTGACCAAAAATGTTATTTCAAAAAGCTCAGTATTCATAGCAGCCCTTACCTGAGTAAATGTTATAGCCTTCCCTCTTGTTATGTATTCAGCATATTTGCACATGAACATTCCACAATCTCCACCATTCATTTGATGGGGATTGTTCTGTGGAATATAAAGCATTCATTAACTGAATCTGTTTTCTTAAATTTAATTTTAAAAAGTTTGTATTGATAATTCACTTTACAAAAATTTATTACCGACTAGACAAAAAATTTATACCTCAGCATGTTGTATCTGCCATTCACTTTCTTTGAATTGAGAATAATTCTTGGCAGTACTCTCATCTTTTAAATAACTCCTAAAAACAGATTGAAATTTTTGTTATTGTCATATTTACAGGCAAAATAAAGGTCAACTACAAACATTCTTACCTCTATACCATACTGATACTAACCATATATTGTTAGAAATCTTTAAATTAGTTATAAGTTAATGCAGGTACTTAAATATTTTGATAGCAAAAAATTTTTGTTACTGTATTACTTCAAGCCACAGATATAAAAAACATTCTGAATTTTGACTATAACAAAATGGAAGACTACGTTCATGGGACATGCATGACCTTGTAAGCCAGTACTGTCCACCCACAAGCTAATTTTAAATGGCCCACCACAGCTTGAGAAATTTTTATGATGTATGCCAAAAAAAAACCCAAAAAAAAAACCATTTAAACATTTGAGTTGAAAATATTTTCTAACCACATACATTGATTTATTATTGTTGGGAAAGCAGATGAGAGCACTGGAGAAGATGTAACATGGAAAACGGGGAAGTCACAAAAACTAAGGAGTCAGATGGCTTGACAGAAAGTAATAAATGTTAAGCAATTCAGCAGAGCAACCATTTGGGAACCTGGTCAAAATAAAATCCGATAATACCTTCTTCTTTCTGTTACTTGTACATGAGAGACGTTGCGGGTTATCGGGTATAATTACTGACAGTGACAGGGAAATGAAAAGTAACTTTGGTCCAAGTAAAAATGTCCATGCCCCCACCATCGGTACCAAGTTAGATAAAATAGATATGTGAGCATAACGACTTAACTTGTGTCAAGAAAGTCTTCCGGTCAGAGTAATTGAGAAGGGAGCTGGGGACCTAAAGGTGTCACAATTAAATGACTATGGTGGGCAATGTGAACCATTATGGTACCATGTTATTTAAACAGGTTGTCTAGCCATGTATGGGAGAGTGTCTCCATCCTGTTTAGTTGTGACGGGGACAAGTACCTGGTATTTGGAGATTAAAGTATGAGACTTTCAATAAGTAGAAAGCAGGATACACGCTGCGATAGTTTGTAGTTGGTGCAATTCAGTCAGGGAAGAATTGTGTGAAACAGTAGGAAATATTCTTGAACAAATTTTTTTGTAAACAAGAATGCAAGGCAAAATAAATTCTGGATGGTGTAAGTTTCTTATTTTTCACAACTACGGAAATGTAACAAAATTTAGCTCATGTTTTTTGGAAGCATCTTACAATTAAGAAAATTTCATTTCAAGTATAATTCAAAGCAAAATAAATCATTAAAAAGGGCTAGTTTTTAATCACGTTATTTATATTCTTGATTTGCTGATACTGCTATTTGATATAAACATAAGGTATGAAGTATACATAACACAAATAATTTTCTTTTGAGATGTCATTTGAGGCCCTCGGGTTCCCGGAAAAATATTGTTGGTCCATGGAGTCATAAAGGTTGGAAAGCACTGTTGTATGCTATTGTAATGTTGTAAGCTACAGTAATGTTACTATACTTAAATTTACAGTGTAAAATTAACTTTAGGTTATTAACATTGCCAAACAGTTATCACAGTAATTTTGTATAGTAACTTGAATGAATAAAGATTATTTTAACACACAGAGGGGGCACCAGACAAAAATTAGCCTAATGCTTCACAAGCTCACAAACCAGGGCCCCGATCATAAAAAGAAAGCTAGTTGCTGATACAAAATTAAAAAAAATAAATAAATCACATTCAATGGCTAAGAACTGCTTGTACATATTTAAACACGGTTCATTAACAAAACAAGATTTAAAATCTGTGAATAAATACAAGTACAATAACATACTTACAATACAGCTCTGAGGCAATTATGATTCTTCCCACCCATAGAATCATAATATGTGATTGCTTTGTTATCGATGTCAACAATCTGTTATAAAATGAAGCATTGGCCAATGTGAATTTTAAATCTTCCGTTTTTCCTTTGATTTGGGTGTGATTAATAAACGTATAAAATAAAGTTGCTTTTCATTTAGCCTTTTTTCTCTTGTATTTTTAGTTTGAGGTATATCTTAAATATGTGTGAATCATGAAAGCGTAAAGTTTGCTGTTGTAATTCTTCAGAGTTTACCTCTAAAGTATAAGCACAAATACATTTTTGGCCAACAAGTCCAATCCACTTTGTTATTTTCTCATAGCTGAGGATAAACCCGCATGACTTTGAACCTTTTACCACTTGGTCATGAGACAGACCAGTATGCCACAGCAGTGGTCTCCAAACTCATTAGTCAAAAGAGCCAAAAATTAGCAGCAGGACGATTAAAATTTTGTTGACAGACAAATTTCTTTTCAAGAACCATGTTTTTCAGAGTCAAAACAGATTTGCGGCTGACTGGCCAAGCAGCACTCAGGTCACCAAAGAGCCGCGATTTGCTAACCACTGTTGCCATTTAGTTTTTTATATGCAAGTTCTTTCAGTACATCCTCAGTTATCACATTTTTTCATTTACACATAAACCCTTAATTACCATTGTGCCATTTTTTAAGACACAAATTAAAATGAAAAAAAGTCACTGAAACTTTGACCCTGAATTCCCATCCAACCAGTTACATTTCTGTCCATATTTTTAAAAAAAAATGAATTTTGAAGACACATTTTTCTTACATATAAACACAGGAAACCTTCAAGTTGTGTTATGGTATGATTTTAAAGTTCTGACTTACACATAAGCACCAGTGCATGCCCAAATGAACAGGAATGATGATATATTTCATAGCAAATATATCAACTTTTTTAGTCCATCTTTTCACAGCAGAATGTCCCCCAGACATTATTTTGGGATAAAAGAATGTATTGAAAGCATACACTTTCCTGTCACTTTTCTCTCCCCTTTCCATGAGCATGTTCATGTAGAAGTTAATGACCTGTAACAAAGATGAGCAATTACTTAACTTGATATTTAAAATAATACGGTACTAATGTACTTAGTACCATTAAGTGATTTAACATATGTACCAAATGCCGTAGGAGACTTCTAAATTAAAGTTGAAAATTAAAATTGCTAGATTGCAGGTGGAGGTATATTCAAAATGTCTGATGTGTCAACAATCAGTGAACCCAAACTCAATTTTTAGAGCGTACTCCTAGTACATTAAACCTACCTCATCGTTTAACCAATTTAAGCCACTTAAAGTTGCTATATCTCCTCGAGTAATCTGCAAACCGAATGCCTTAGATAATAATTCATTAGGGTTGCCAGGTCGCAATGCTCTAGCCACAACTTCTAGCATTTCATCTGTTAATTCTGATTATAAAGAAAAAGAAAGATTTTAATGAGGAATCCTTTTTATTTTCATTATAAAATTATTACAGCTGTAATTATATATTTTATTTAATGAAATTGTACTTCATTAAATAGCTCTCAAAGAAGTTGTAGAAACATAGGGCCAAAACAAACCTGGAAACTCTTCTTCTTTTTCCTCTTCCTCTTCATCCCTGAATATTTCTTCTGTTACACCTGGCTCTTCTTCAAAAATTCTCATTTGATACTTCAACTGATAAATTGTAGAAACATTGAATAAACTATAAGCTTTAAACTTAATAAAAATATAAAAAACACACCTAAAATAAGTAAGATATGCTTTGTACAAACCAGCTTATTAGAGGCATATCACATTAAATTATTATTTTTGTAAAGTAATGATTAGGCTATAAGCTATAGTCTACCTGTCTCTCTAAACTGATGTCTTGAGCTCGTCTCTGCAAAAAATTTTTTTTTAAACATTTAAGTATAACCTACATAATATGTGTAAATGTAGAATAGTATTAAATTATAGTTAACAAGTAATAAACTTTTAAAAAATCAGACATATTAATTTTTCCAATGAAAATGCTTCAATGTAATTATTTTTGGCATTAAAAAAATGTTTAAACAAAACACTTACACTGTAATAACTTAGGAGCAATATTTATATAAATGCATTTTAAGCTACCTTTTCAGCATAAGCTCTTGCTTTCAATTCTTGTTCTTCGATTTGAATTCTTCTTGCTTCCTGTTCATTAATTCTCATTTGTTTCCTGTAATTGAAATATTTGAAAGAAAACAAGGGGCATTTAAAAAAAAAACTTGTTACGTATTACTTTAAAAGTTCATGATTATCTTAATTTAAATGTTCATTTGTAAAAGCTAAATTTTAACAGTAGCACATAATATATTAGATCTACTCTGTTTAGAATCAGTCCCTATGGAAATTCCACTCTTACCTATCTTCTTGTTCTTTATCAAACAGGTACTTTGATTGCAAGAAGCTTTTTTTGTCACTGCAAAATTAGATTAGAAAATAAATATAAATTAAACAGAAAAGATCATTTAATAAAATTTCAACTCTTAGTATTATAGAACATAATTATCTTTTAAAAAATAAGTTCTAAATTTTATTCCATGAAACTATGCAACAAAAACTACATTGACTATTAAATTCAATTTCTTAACCATAACTATCATAAATTGTAGATATCAATTGATGGAATAACTTTTAATAAGCTTTCATAATTATAGCTTTTATTTCCATTACCTTTGCTGCTCTGTTTTATCCCGTGACTGCACATCTAGAATATTTCAACAAGACAAATATTTACCAACATATACAATAAATTATGTGAGCTTAGACAAGAACAATGTTTTCAAATTTAATTATTTCTTCAATGCAATTAAGGATTAAAGAAAACTTTTTCAAACAAAGTCAACAATTGATTTAAGCTATAAAACAAATTAAAATAAAACCATACTTCATATATTTTTATAATAATGTAACACACTAATGAGTTCAAAATTGATATTTTGTTTCTTTGGCCTAAAAAAAGGTTAACAAAATTTATTTCAAACTTAGGACTGGACTCTTTAAAATTAACATTCAAGACTTATAAAAAATAAAGTTTGAAATTTTATTTTCATTTACTTTACCAATTTACTATTAACCTACTACACCCGGAGCCTGATATAACAAAATGGGGCTTTTGAGTGCCTATATATATGGGCTTTTCAAAATTAAGTCTTTATTTTGTTCCCTTTAAGGTTGATCTTTATTTTTTATGCAATTTTAAGTTAATACAAGCTTATTCTTCATGGGGCGCAGAATTAGGAGTTATGGAAGCGAGTCTGCATCCTTTATTCAATATCTCAAAATTAAGCTGATGGACAAATACTAAACATTTATAAGGTAGTGTGAATTTTTTGTAACTATTCTTTTTCCTATGTTTATAACAAAATTATAGTTCACTAGTTTGAACTAAATAATAGTTCATATTGTTAGATAATTCTTTTTTAATTTTAATTGATATAAAAAAAAAACATTATTTTTAAAAAATGTCAAAGAAAAAAAAAGCAGTTTTCACTCAAATTTTTAATCCATATCACTTGATTGGTCTCACCTTTTTTAGCCTGTTCGTCAGAGGACACTGCATTTCCAATCGGTCTTCTATTCTCATCATCATCTTCAATGACAATAGCAGATGTCTGTGAGTTCCTTTCATTACTTTCAGTCAGTTTTCTTAAATTTTCTTCTCTGTTTTCTTGGTTAAGTTTGTGCTCATTTTCCTGCCTATGTGACCTGTGAGCAAGTACTTCATGCCTATCTCTTCTACGCTGCTCTGCTAGCAGCAACTTCAGTGAAGATATTTGAGATAAGTCTCTTGTTTTTCTATTTTTTAAGTAATAACCATAATTAGAATTTGACAGATATTCAGTATTCAATAAATTTGTTCTCTTTCTCATCAAAAAATGTGTTTATTGATTAGAAGAGGGTGATATTCTCCTTACGGAAGTTTATGTAGATGTAAGGGCATAAAAAAAACATCGATAACAACTTCAATGTTATGTAAATTTGAAATAAAGAAGACAACAAAAGAGAAAAAAAATTAACATTAAGGCATGAATGAGTACATGAAAGTGAGCAGCACACAGTACCTAGTATAACTTGGTGTAACAGAAATTATTTCAATGGGTCTTTTCTGCGGAATGCTGATGAATGAATTCTGTGATGCACTGCTAGAGCTGAAAACAATATTCATAACAAAAATAATTCACAAGAAAAAAATAATTTCTTGAAAAATACTTCAGAGTCGAAGTTAAAAAGATGCTTATACCCTTTCCCTACTTTCAAACTTTGAACAAATTTATGGTTTAGTTATTAAATAAAATGTTAAGTTTGACTTAACTGCAATAGATAAATATTCTTCTTCAAGGGCATTTAAAACGGTCTAACCTGCTTTTATAAGATCCAGGTACATCAAATGAGTCCTTTGCTGCTGATGAAGATGTTTTAAGGCCACTGAGCGCTGGAATAGTTACTTTAGTTTGCCAGGGTGAACGAAGAAATTGAAGCTGAAGTAGCTTTTGATACTCCTCTTTCTCTTTCAGTTGAATGCACTAGAATTCATGCAGGGTTTTGTTGGTAACAACAATAATGAACATGACATTGAAATACCTCTCTTAATTTAATGATTTATTGATGTTAGCTGTAATGCTGATGAATTTCAAACTTGAACTTGTAATATAAGAAATATAAACATTAAGCAACTCACTTTAGAAGCCTCTGACTTTCGATTATTTCTGAATAAAGAGGTATTAGCAGAGTGTTGAGAAGGCTGTGGCCTATTCTGGCTCCTGTGTTCCTCCACTCCGCCATTATTTTGAAATCCTAGAAATAAAATGGACACCAAGTTAATTTAGGACTGAATATATTAAGTCCACAGTTGCAAAATTTTTGTAAAAAATCGCAATCCTTTTGAATGATAATAATATAAACATTTACAGGGATTTACTGTTCAAAAATCGCTAAAAGAATACACATTTAGAAACACACCCATAATCACTAGTCCTTAAAAAAATATAAATAAATATTTTTAACTACATTATGTCAACAAGAGAGATGCCGACCAACATTTTTAATGTAATAAATTGTGCATAATATTTCATTCCCATTCAAAATATTTAAAGGATTTTGCTTCCTGAATAATTAATAAGCCCACAATAGACAAAAGTTTGACATGGCATTTTTTTCAAATTTTGATTCTTAATAATGAGAATTTTATGGAGCATGAGAATCATTGTGATTTGTTATACAGAGGCTAAAATTGCATCCTACATTTTTATAATGATAAATTTATTATAATAAAATGTTTATTCTTTTGGTGTATCCAGTTATTTTTGTATCCTGGAAATACAATTTTATTTATTTAATACAAAGTGATTCATTTTTGTGGGTAATAACCTGATGAATACAGCTTGTTGATATAAGGGTTATTAACTAGGTGAGGTATGTGTATAAACATTGCAAACTTTCTTACCTTTAGAGTAAACAATTTTTGGGTGTTCTTGAAAACTGTGGTTCTGAAATAAATGAACAATATTAAGAAATCTGAGAAAACTATTTAATTTGGGATGTGATTGTTTCAGTGGTAACAAATTTTAAACATATTTTACACTTCATTAGCTATATCAATGGATAATAATTTTACTACTTTAAAAATAAATGAGATGTGGTTAGGCCACTTGAGTATTTCCTTGAACTTAATATTAATGCTCGAGTCATGTTAGTCTGGCAGTCAAACTCAAGAGTAAAAGAAAAGTGCACTCAAGTTTAAAAATCTTTTAATAACTTACTGCCAAGTGGCCCTCATCTCCATTTATCCTTGACTGATTGGAGTTGCCATTTTTATTAGAAACATTGTTACCCCACCTGCTGTGATGTTCTATAGGATGAATATCAAATGCTTTAGAAAAGGTTTGTTTAGGCTTGATAAAATCTGCCATTCTTGATGCTGATTTTTTCAAAACATTAAAACTGAAAACTGTGGAGAAAATAAGGTAATTAATTTAATTTATGGCACAAAAGTTATATTTTCTTTTGATTCATCTGTAATGAGTAGTGAAATTCATTCATTAATTCCTAAGTCTAAAAACAGATTCTTAGCCACATAAATAACTATTCTAAAAACATTCCAGCCCATTAAAAGCTTTAAAACACAATGCATAATCACATGAATTGGAAGAAGAATCAAAATCAGTTCGTCTTTTCTTTTCAATCCTGGTTATTTGCACATCTGGATCATCATAACTGAAAAAAGGAGAACATATCTACAGATTGACCTTACACTGTAAGACTAAACAAATAGTTAAATTATAATGAAAGTGATAAGAAACATGTATCCCAGATTACATCTGCCATTTAAATAAATGATAATAATTTTCTATAAATCTTGATCAAAATGTAGATTTTTGTGACAACAAATTCAAGAAATATTCCTTCATTTCATAGAATAAAAATAATTTTCTTTACTTTAAAAAAAAGCCATTTATTGTTAAGTAAGCACAGTTTGTAAAATATTTTCTTACACAGTCAACATGATTCTTATCCTATTGCATGATCCTAACAGATCTTATTGTATGGACTGTAATAAAACCCTTATTCTGAATAATAAAACTTACTTCTAAAAGTAAATAACATAAAAACTTGAGTAAATAATAAGCAAAGTTTGATTGAATGATGATATACATTTTCTTAGAATGATAAAAGGAGAGTGACTGTAAATAAATGTATCATTGGTATATAGTTATTTGAAAATTGCAATGCAGTGCATGGGTGAAGTCCTTGAAGTTATGAATGTTTAGAACAAAATAATGTTGATGTGTAGCATTTACTTTGCTAGATGATTAGTAGTAATGTCACTTTCATTTGGCAATAGTCTTGACGAGAGGCCTATTATTAGGCCAAATAATGAATTTTACTATAGAATAAACTCTTAGTATTATATAATGACATTGACACAATATGTTTGTAATTAGTGTCAGAACCCATGATTTAATTTGCAAGAAACATATCAAAATTTATAAATTAAAGGGCAAAAAAAATTCAATTTTCACTGGCTTGCACTTACATGTTTTTGCACTGTACATTTTTGGACTCCCTAAGTGTAAAAACAGAATTTTAAATCCCCATCCCCAAACCACTTGTTTCAATTTATTTTTAGACAATTTTGATGTACAAGTACAAGGCAATTTAACAAAGTCTCAGTGAACCATCTGCACAAAGCAATAGTTGGAGAATAATAATGAAAAACTGAGGTGATATTTTTTGTATAGCCTTTGTTTGGAAAACAATTATAAAGCATGGATAAGACAGATTTTTAGGTGACAGTTGGCTTTAATTTAATTGGCTATATATGGACTATCAAAATTTCAGGATAATTAATGCAGAATTTGAGCACAAAATGTATGATAAAAATGTACATACTCATACTGCTGAGACCCCGAAAAATCCCATATATATCTATATTTATAATCTACTTAATCAACCTACTTTCCATCTAAGTGCTTCCTATAAAATATAAGGATGGCCCTTAATAACATGCAATTTATAATAAAGAATTATATAATTATTGCAAGAAATATGACATATTCCTGTATACTAAAAATATAGGCGTATTTATAACAGAATAACAGCCCTAATATTATAAATAATTAATAGGATTACTTAATTTATAGGCATAGAAATAGATGACAGAACATAAGACTATGGCCAAGGAATGGGAGTATCCATCGGCATTGACTGGATCATTCTGTCATAATAATAATCATAGTCATATCTTAACTTCATTGAAAATATCATTTGATTATTTGGCAAATTTTTACTACCATTGCCATTATTTTATCAATGGCCGCCATCTTGGTTAACACATCACAATCATGGAAGTCATCTATCCCTATGCCTAACCTGAACCCTAAATCGATCCCTATGCCTAACCTGAACCCTAAATCGATCCCTATGCCTACCCTGAACCCTAAATCGACTCCTAAAATAATTTAGTAAAAATAAACAAAGGTAAGTCACTCCCTGGAAAATAAGTCGTGGCAATCTTAACTAGGATTAGCCGATTATTTTTACCATAGACCATGCTAGGTCAGGCAATATCATGAACTAATGATGGTAAAAGTGCAGTTCAGGTGCGTATATTATTTCTTAGCGCATTTCGTATTTTAAATTATTTTTAACCATTTAAACTTACGTGTATTCTTTAATAATTAAATCCAGGCAGTTATAGTTAACTAATTCTAGATTATAAATCGCATCTTTTCTTTTTCTTTTACTTCTAAAGAGTCTTAAACATCCCCCAACCAAAGTGACAGGGCCCCCATTTGTTTGTATTTTTCTTTTTACGCTATGCCAGATTTTTAGCCACCTATAAGTTAGTAATGCTAAACGAAATTTTCAAACTAAGCATGTTCACAAAAAAGAATGAAATACTAGATTCTTCATTACGCACAAGCCCCCCCCCCCCGCCAACTTTCTTTTTTTCCCCTCTCATAGAGCTCGGAATATAGGGGTTGTTTTTTGAAGTCGGGGGGGGGGGGGGGGAGATTAGAAGTGGATCACTGACTAAGCAGTGGACACACACGTCATCATTGTCCTGGACCTGGTGTGAAGCTGATCACCCTGAAGGCTGCTAATACGCTGTCCGTGATTGGTCAGCTCTAATTTGAGCACCCCCTCCTCTTTTTTCGTATGCAAATGCGCTTATTACTGGTGACTGATTTGCGCTGAGTAAAGTGAGGGCTAGTGATTATTTTTTTTATATTATAAGACGGACTCGTTTTGGCTTTGCGGTATTGCTGGTTGTAGGATCATTTTGTTTAAAATTGCAGGACGACCAAGAAACAATAACTAAAATTGTTGATGCAACAGGCATTTTTAATGGTGCAGCATTTGGTTTATACGCGCACCTTGTGTGGCAACAAATAACGTTAATACAACTGGAATTTCTCCTAAGGCGCTCGTAACAATTGCAATGTGGCTTGTAAGCTGGGTTCGTATGTCAAGTGTGTGAGCTCCCCATAATTACCGGGATCTGCATATCACCCGAAACAGGATCTCACCGTAACCGGTATCCCGCCAGGATCGGTAACCCACTGGATCGGGATCCCACCGGGATCAGGATCTCACTAGGATCAAAATCCTATCGGGATCGGAATCTCACCGAAACGGGATCCCACCGGATTGGGATCTCATTTAGTTTGGGATACCACAGAAAACGGATCTCACCGGGATCGGTATCGGGATCCCACCATGACCAGGATTCTATCGGAATCACATCGGGTTCGGGATCCCATCATGATCCTTCCGGGTGCCATCGGAAAACGGGAAAAACGAAAGGTTTACTTAAGTTATTTTAATTGTTTTTAATAGGAGACAAATTAATTATTATCATTTTTACTATAGTGTTGTTGTTTTGTTGTTGACATTTCCTTTAATAGCAATGTGAACTAAAAGGACGTAGCAGATGTTTTTGTCTGAATGCAGCCCCGGGCGACACCGGTTATCGTTGATAGTAAAGTTATAAAATAAATATATCTTTTATTTTAACAAGATTCATCCAATTGGGCAACTTTTATAAAGTATCTTTAAAGACAGAAGAGTTATCCTTGATTTACCACAATGGGTCCGTAAAACACGAAAGATTCATAAAAATGTACTTTTTTAATCTCGTAAAATTTGTTAAATTTAAATTGTTGTTGTATTCCAATAAAAAGATGGTATATAACTTTTAAAATACTTTTTATAAAGAATTAACATAAGTTTACACGGGAAAATAAGAGATTCAAACAGAAATAATATACGCACCTGAACTGCACTTTTACCCTAATGATAATTCCTGTTTTATTTAAGTTATTTTAACTCTTATATAGCATTAACTTTGTGTTAAGGTAATTTAAATATAAACTAGTTAGTAATTATAATTTTAAGTTATAGGGCAGTTACTGTTAGTCAGTTGTGTTAAGTTTTAGATTTCTGTCTGAGTATCATTAGGCAGTGGTTGTGTATATTGGCATTGGCTATATTGCTATTCTAATAAAACAATTATTTAACTGCCAGTGTCATAATACCGCAATATTCACTAATAATTTTTATCTTCCTATATGTAACGTGAAATTTAAGGATTACAAAGAGTGAAAGTCAGTGTAATTCATTTGATTCATTCTCATTCATCATTGTGATTTCTGGCACCTATTATCGATAACTCCCTGAATCTTAACATTTTCATACTTTTCGTCAACGTTTCTTTTTCTCTTGGATCCAACAGTTGTTTTATGAGTATCATTTGTTGATGTTCCAAAAAGTGAACAAATTGCGTCGGATAGAGATTTAAACATTGGTATAACTTGGCGTTCGTTCTCGATAGATTCGCGAGAGGAAAGCGCCACGAAAAGTCCAAATGTATAATAAACAAATTTTGAATTGTGGAGAGTTCCATAAAAGTGGGTCAAAGGTCACACCTAAAATTGTTACATAAAACTTAGTGATAATCGTGAACGATCACTTGTTATTAAAAGTATTAAAATCTTTAGAAAGTTCTCTGTCGGCAGTTAAACTATTGAATGTTATTGCTATGGTGTTAAACTCAATTTTTACAACTATGGGTAGCACACTTGGAAAAGCAGTTATTTTAGATTTTGGTATTCAATGGGCCTGCTGGGCAGTTGCAGCTTCTCTAAAAACGGAAAAGTTTTATGATTTAGCTGGTAAGTTCGTTGCCCATCTATTATTTATTATGATTATATTATTATTATTATAACGCAGTTATAAGCACAATTCTTTTGTTTCCCTCTTAGATACGACTTTTCAGCTAAGTGCTATTATTATTTAATTCTGTTTTTATTGTTGTTTGTTCAGGATTGAAATTGAAGGCTTCCTGCAGACACGTTCGTTTTGCTGAGTTATTTTTTTCATGAGGTTTTCCCATTACTTTGAAACTGTTTCACTCATTGCCTTTATTATACTTTATAATGCCATAGTTAAGGTAGTGTGTCCGTCGTGACGTTTCTAAGTCCTTTATATTAACTATGTTTTTGTGTGTTTAGGGCAAAATCTTCAAATAGCCTATTGACCCACTTCCCAGACCTATCGAGATGAAACTTGACAAATTAGACTGGTTGCTGATAACACATGCTTTCAAATTTTCAGTTTTTCAAGGCGAAGATGAAGGAAATATGATGACACTAATTTCAAGAAATAGAATTCCTGATAACTGCTCTAAATGAGATTCATTTTAAAAAAATATTCTGAAATAGTTGGTGAAATAAATCTGCCATGTAAAAGCAGGTGGGTCATTAGAATATTGATATAGTACAGGGGTGTGAAAAAAATCTGCAATTGCGAGCCTTGGGGGGAGGTGGGTGGGTAGCACTGATTGCGATTTGTATTAGTGTTTTACTTATACGGTAGTAATATGCATTTTTTGTTGAGTTTTCAGAGCCCCCCCCCCCCCCCCCCCCCATTGGTGCTTGATGTTACATTTTATAAACGATTTATATGATAAACTTTGATTTTAGAGGTTGTTTAATTAGGGTATGAGATGGTCAAATTTGAACAAGTCAAAATGGTAAAGGCAAATCAGGAAAACCGAATGCCATTTGAATATAGCAGGACATTCGCTGCCACTGCCAGGGGAGAAATAGCTGCCATTTTTCACAGTGCAGATTGTGATCCCCAGAAAAGTGGCAGGTCTTGTGGTTTTTAAGAAGATATTTTCCGCTGCCAAGAAGCGTGTCAATCAGATTGTTTGTCATGCTAAGACTTCGTACTTTAGCCAAACGATAACTATGGGTAAAACCAGCAGGCAGTTGTTTGATGTTTCGGTGTTTCCTTTGCCCCAACAACCAGATATTTTCTGTGATTTATTTACAAGCAAAGTTGCTGGCATTCGCACTGAGCTTGATCGTATTGATGCACCATCCCTTGAATTGCATCCTTTTCCTTGTCTACCTCATATTTCAATATTTTTAAACCTGTTTCAGAACTTGAGGTCAAAAGTATAATTTTAAAATCTAAACATACGTCATGTTCTTTGGATCCAATCCCCACCTCCCTGTTGGTTGAGTCATTAGATATCTTGCTCCCAACGATAACCTGCATAATAAATTGTCTTCTGGCACTGTTCCCCCTCTTTGCAAATCAGCTGTCATCAAACCATTGCTTAAGAAGCCTGGTCTGGATGAAAATAATTTTAAAAAACTATAGACCTGTATCTAACTTATCATTTTTATCTAAAGTTATTGGAAAAACTAGTCCTAAAACAACTTTTTGCTTACTTAAACGACCACTCTCTTCTCAGTTCTAATCAGTCGGCTATAGACATTTCCATAGCACAGACATAGCTCTCTTGGGAGTCAGTAATGACCTCTTGCGCGCAATGGACAGCGGTAATGTCTCCATCCTGATCCTCTTAGACCTCAGTGCGGCCTTTGACACTGTTGACCATAAAATCCTTTTCAAAACCCTTGAAAATTACTTTGGAATTTCTGGTTCAGTTTTGGCTTGGTTTAGGTCCTACCTCTCTGATAGAACGCAAGCGGTCTCTGTCGATGGCTGTCTCTCGGCAGTGCTGATTTGGTGTACGGAGTGCCACAGGGGTCCGTTTTGCTTGGGAGGCATGCTGTTGAGAACCGGGCATTTGCAGATGACACGCAGCTATACAAGCATACCCATCCCTCTCTTGTCGATTCTGCTATCCAGACTTTGCGGGGGTGCATTGATGATGTCAAGTCATGGATGACACTCAGCAAGTTGACGCTTAATGATGACAAAACAGAAGCACTCGTCATTTACAATCACAAATCATCCTCTACCTCAACTCTTCCCACCTCATTTCAAGTAGCTAACTCCGTCATACAGTTTACACCCTCTGCTAGGAATTTTGGTTATATTCTTTCTAACAACATGTCTCTCGATAAACTGATCTTTCACATTTGTCGTTCGGCATACACACTATCCGTCAGATCAGCTCCATCCGCCACTACCTCACAGTTAGCGCAACAAAAACTCTAGTCTGTGCTCTTGTTCACTCTCGTCTTGACTATTGCAACTCTCTTCTGTAAACTGTAAGGTTCATCAAAACACTTCCTAGAAAAACTGCAGAAAGTTCAAAACTCTGCTGCTAGGCTTGTTCTAAAGGCAAAAAAACGCAATCACGTCACTCCACTACTCCACTCACTTCATTGGCTCCCTATACAGGCACACAATGACTACAAGCTGTCTGTTCTCTGTCACAACTTTTTCTCGGATTCCAGCCCTTCCTATCTAACCGAACTTCTTTCTGTCTATTTACCCCTTCGACAGCTTCGCTCCCGCAGACGCGCATATTCTGTCCGTTCCCAAGACACGCACTAAATTATATGGTCAACGATCTTTCTCTTTCTGCACCCCCAAACAATGGAATTCTTTGCCACTACACATCCGCAATATACCAACCACCCAGGCCTTCAAAACTGCACTCAAAACACATCTCTTTAAACTATACTACCCTGACTGATTCCCCTCCTCTGACCGATAAACGATCCTGCTGGCTGCCGTCCATGGTTTGCCTTGTAAAATTTCTGGGGTGGGTGGGTGAATATACCTTTGTTTTTGTCTTTTGACTACTTGCTGTTTTTTTATTTCTTTTATGTATTTTATTTTGATATCATGATTAGGTCTCTTTTGCTAAATATTTTTATGTACAGCGTGGTGAGCCCAGTCCTAGGCTGGGGTACCGCGCTATATAAGACAACTAATTATTATTATTAAATTTACAAAATTTAGCCATCCTGAGTAGATTCTGTGACCAAATGTGCTACCCATTGCATTTTCTATATGGGAATTCAGGCTGGACAACAGGAAACTGAAGCTGTACAGCAAAAAGTCACCAAGTCCAAACTTCTGTCTTAGTTTAAACTTAATCTAGTAGACCCTAATGCCTGAGAGTATTTATATATTGCAATTCCTGAACACTATACATGGGATGACAGAAAATTCAAAATGGAAACCACGTTTTAGAGGACAAGAAACTGCAATTGGCAGAATGTGTACCGCAAGTCCCATGAATAGAAAAAAATGTTTGCTCCAAAATTCTTCTTATCAATGTTGGAGGAGCAACATCTTTAAATGACTTGAGAACGGTCAAAGGAAATCCTATCCCCTTGGCAAAATTCCAAGAAGCATTCATTGCAAGGGGATTAACTGATGATGACTCAAAATGGGATACTTGCCTAACAGAAGTTGCAACCACTCAAATGCCAGTACAACTTAAGCATTTGTTTGTGTTTATTTGTAACATGTGTGAGTTGATGGATGCAGCAGCATTATTCAACAGACATAAGGACAATCTTATGGAAAAAAGGTCTCTCTTTGAAACTTAAAGAAATGAATCTGTCATTCTAACACAAGGAAAGTCAATGGCAGATTTTGGCCTAGAACTACCAGATGACAACTTTAAAAAAGCCAATCCATTCTTGAAAATATGATCCTATTGCCGCAATAACGATGTTCGAAGATAAGTTTCAAATTCTCAACTTAGGGTAAATAAGAGCTTTCGACAAAATCGGGGAAGCAATTGAAAACCATAACTTACTCAAACTTATAGTTTTTATTGATAAAAAGTGGTAAAGCCTACTTTAAAACACAATCATGCACTATGCGCGTATCAAAAATGAATTATTCTTGCCATTTGCATTTACATACAACATTTCTTGAGGGAGGCAGGTCTTCCCACAGTCTGAAACTGACTATTCCAATAAATGAAACATCATCATAAACTGAAAAAGGTCAAAGGGATCATCTGGGATGAATCTTAAGTGACCATAGCACAATGAGTAAATGCAGTTAACATTTATATGCATCTGTATAAAGAACTCTTAGCCAAAGATCAAAAGTTCCTTCTAAAAAACATTTGGAGGTGCTGACTTTCTTTTCGATGGAGATTTTAGACAAATTGTTCTGGCAGCAGAACCAAAATACTTTCTTTATGTATGAAGAATTGTAAGGGTTGGAAAAATATTCAGGTTCTAAAGTTAGACCAAAACATGCATGCCAAAGAGGACAATGTCCCATCAGAACATGGAGACTTTTCCGATTGGCTTTTAAAACTTGAGAATAGAAAACTCCAAGAGCCTGGATTAGAGGTTGACGTCTATGAAATTCCTCCAGTCAGTATTGAAAATGGATGTATTGCTGATGCTGTCTTTCCTGAGGTCATCCAATCAAGAGATGACAGCATTGCTGACCACACAATCCTGACTCAAAAAGAAAATCACAAGTCACTTGAACTTATTGAAAATGTCCTTAGATGAATTCAATCTGAATTGAAATGAAGTAATTAAACTTCATAGCCAGCTGTGGCTTTATCAATAAGAGCAAATAAAAATGCTCACCGTTCGGGCGAAGAACAGGTACTGCATCTAGTATATTATATAGAGTTAAAATAGATAATAGATACCTAATATCTATTTACTCAGGACCCAATTAATGCCTTTAGATGCCTTTTAGACCATCTGTGCCAATCATTTCACAATCTTTTTAGACTACTTTCCCCATGGCCGCCATCTTTGTTGCCATGGTGGCAGATGTGTCACAGCAAGAAAGATGGTGACTGTGTAAAAATAAAAATTGTGCAAAAAACATGTCTGCTAAAAAGTAGTTATAAATGTGCAAAAAACATGCAAATTTAATGAAATTTTCAAAAGAAAAATCTACAACTCTACCTAATCTGCAGAAGTCCCCCCTAACTTGTGTGTAAATTTACCCCTTTTAATCCTCCCTTGTGAAAGCGTAAATCTTCAAACCTAAAATCTAACATGAACCCTGAAACCATGTGTTCATGTGCGACAGTTAATACACACTGTACCGTACTCAGAAAGTCATAAAGTTGAAGAAAAAAATAATGAAATTATTTTTAAACAATTTTAAAGTAATGAAAACCAAACTTAGTTTCATAGTATACATGATATAGGCCCTACATGGTCAGTAGGAATTGATTTTAATTGATTAGAACCCTTTCACCTTCAAATATACACACTATGGGGTTGCTGCCAGTTCTCTGCTCAATCATCTTATGTTAAGATTTTATTTAATATGGGGTATAAAGGAACAAATGAAGAAAAATTTCTTAAACTTTCTTGTTTTTCAGTTTTATTTTAGTGAAGAACATGGGGAGAGACTGCAATCAAGTTGTAAATTAGGAAATATGAAACACAATATATATAAAAGCTTGATATTTAAAATAAGTTAACCAAAGCTCTTCTAATTTAAGAAGAATGTCTTCTCAGGATTTATTATTTCATGCCTTTTAACAATTTTTTTAACTGCACAACATACAGGTTCAAGTACCTACATCCTCTTGACTTTTTTGAGTATGAACCAGAACAAAACTATTCACACAAGGCAAAAGGTGAACAGCAGCATGGTAATTGCTTGGGCTTCAAGGTATGTCAAGAGAACATATTAGGCAGATTAAAGTACACTAAGTGTTATATTTAGTATTATTATGGCTAATACACAGAAAACTTACACATCTGTTCAGCTGCATGTCTACATTTGTAATGACTTGTTACAAGCAAGACCTTATGGCCTCTCTCATCTCAACTCAAGAAAACATGGGCTTCATGCACTGACACAAAGGGAAGCAACTGAAAATTCAACAACAAAGATATCACAACATCCCACTCTGGAAAGAGGTGGCACATTAAACATTGACAACAATACAGTTTATTAATTAAGTTATCATGAGTTGATTGTAATTAATCCACTAATTATAAATAAAGTCTTTCAATCTTGTAGTCTTCTTGTAGTCTATTTCCCACCCTTTGTAGGTTGTGGTATGGTTGCTGACTGCTGAGTTTTGGTTTATCTGTTAACTCGGGATGCCTGATGTCATGATATTGGAAGTCAGAATTTATATTGGGTTTATCAGAGTGGTGCTGAGTTTCAGGAACTCTATTGGATGCAGTAGCTGTCCACTCATCCATTGGTACAAATCTTCTTAGAAGAAATCGATTGCGACGATAAATACCACTGCTCGATGTCACTTCATATGTTTGTTCATCAAGTTGTTAACGGACAACTCCCTTTTCCCATCTCTTAATTGCCTCGTGAGAGTGGTTTAAGTCTCACTGCTGTACATTAGGTCGACACACTATGCTTGAGAGTGATCATCAGCCCTTGGAAGCAATTATGGCAAAATCTCTCTCACCTGCTCCTCGATGACAAGGAGTTATGCAGAGAATTCAAGATATTGATATAAGTGTGAATTATAAAAAGGAAAAGGAAATGTACCTTGCTGATACTGATACACTCTCAAGAGCCTACATACAATCATCTGAGAGCAATCAAGGTGAATTCGAACATACAAATATGGTCAGTTTTCTGTTCTATTCGTGTAGAAAAACTACATAGACTAAAATAAAAAAACTGGAAAAGATATCACTCTCAAAAAACTTAAAACTATAATTACTTCTGGCTGGCCTGAGGACAAGAATCTATTGCGTAATGCATTAGCGTCCAATTATAATTACTGAGAAGAGAATGATGCGAACCACTATTAAGAACCCCTGTACCAGTACTTGATTGTGTCCAGTAGATTTGTTGCAAGGTAGATACATTTTACTTTTACTAATAAAATTCCAAAATTTAATTTCTAATAATTTTATTTGAAGGTTGGGATTTTACTTATTTACAAGAATACTTAAAGATGGAAGTGATAAAAGATTCAATGCAGTTAAAACAAAGCCTGGTGTATTTTGGATATACTGGACATTGCAAGGTAGATACATTTTTCTTGGCAATTAAACTTTATAATACCAACTGAACTTAATGCTGCATGTTATGTTAAGGAAAAGTTAATAAAAAGTATTGCCTGTTTGAGAGTATGTTCCAAGTGATGTAAGAGTTAATACACATTTGTTTAAACATGGAGGCTTAACATGAGGTTGTTTCCCTTTTTGTCTTCACTTGTATCTATCATTTTCAACTAATGAGGACTGTTAGAAGCCCATTACCATCTTTTGGTGAAGTTAACACCAATGTTAAGATTTTAAATACCTTCATTTTGAATTGACCTTTGACATTACCAAATGCAATGTGAAAGGAGAAATTTCAAAAGAGATGCACCTTTTGTAAAAAAAAATTAATAAGCATCTTTTGTCATTTAAAAAAAGACATCACCTTGTCTAATTTGGTGTAAGGAATGCTGCCCTTGTGCCTCACCCCTATTGACTAAGCCATCTCTGGGTACTTTACTTTTTTAGCATCCTTGTTACAACCGTGTTAAAGTAGCATAAAATACACACCTTCAGAACTACTGCACACACACACCCACACTTTTTTTTTAGCTTAGGTATCAAAAATAAAATTAAAACTCCTTTATCAAATTTAATGATTTAGCTTAATGATATTTTAAACTATGGAACATATATGCTTAGATGTATATTTATTAAACTCAACTCAATTATTTGACTTGGAAAGTCTGCTATTCATTTCACAGGGGTCTGGGTATTTTCAACACTTCTCCCAACTCTGATTGTTAATTCCAAGAAAGACAACACTCGAATAAAAACAAGGGATTATGCAGGATGGGGTTTATGGGGACTTGGCTTTCTAATGGAGGTACTGGCTGACTATCAAAAGTCCCAGTTCAGAAAAAATCCAGAAAATGCTGTAAGAAATCCTTTTTTGATTTATAATTAATATGTAGGCCTAATTTATGGCTAATCCTCATTCTAGTTTGTTGCTTAAATAAATGTTTTTTTGCCGCTATTTGGAATGCATTTTGTGGGTCATTAATTAGCAATTTTATAACATTTTAAGGAGTATATAATAGAAGTGGTTATAAATGCTAAATTAATTTTTTTAAATGATTAACATTGATGAATGTTTTCATTCAAATTATACATAAGAATATTATGATGCCATGCAATATTTAAATATGCCAATGTATTGAATTAACCCTAATGTGAACGTAAAATACAATTTGGATCTACATTTCTTCAATAATGCATCTACAGAACCAAATAGGAATAAAGCAAGAATTTTTTTTTTTTTAAATGTATAAATTTGAATTTAATTAATAATATATAAATATATTATATTTTCATGTGAAAATAACAAGCAACATGTCTTTTAAATATATATTTCCCTTTCAGGGTAAATTTATCAACACTGGCTTATGGAGCATATCAAGACATCCAAATTATTTTGGAGAGATACTTATGTGGTCTGGGCTCTATGTCTCTGCCAGCTCAACACTGAAAGGTTGGGAACATATCAGCATCATATCACCTTTGTTTTTGACTTTTCTTCTGACAAATGTTAGCGGCATTCCACCCCTTGAAGCAGCAGGACAAAAGAGATGGGGTTCAGACCCAGACTATGTTGCTTATGTTAAAAACACAGCAAAACTTATTCCTTATATTTGGTGATGATATAGAACCAAATCTTATTATTATGAAATAGACTACAGCAAGCCTGCCTCCCCTTTCCTCTGCATACTGCCTTCACCCAATTGGTTCTCTCTTGCTTTTGTGCTTCTTTAGCACTATTTTTCTTTCTGATGTATAGATTTCTTCTAAGTGCATCAAAATCACAAACTGATATATTGAACTGTGTATCACCTGGTGTGTTTTGTATGATTAAAACTATAAATGTATTTTGTTTTGTATGATTAAAACTATAAATGTATTTTTTTTTTACATCTTTCAACAGTCTGTAAGTAAAAGTAATGAAATAAGCACTCATTCAGTCATATTGACAATTGCATGAAAAATTTAAATATTGCTTTTGTTTAAATACAATTCAGTGAACACATCTAGATTTTGCTCACTAAGCAGACAATAATTTATGTGGTTTCATACTGCCATAGGTTCAGCTAAATATAATACATATTGATATGGAATAGATTGGAAGAAGGTTAAAGAATATCTTGTATTACTTAGATTAGTAGAGTAAAGTAGCTACTGGCCCAGGACAAAACTAATTTAAGCTATGCAATTGATCTATTAAAAGTAGTGCTTGTAATTGTATTTTCTAGAAAGAAAGACCACAACAATTAAACAACACTTGAATGTTTCCAATATATTTACCAAAAACATAAAAGAAATGGAAAAGGGCATTTATTTTTGTAAAGAATTGATAAATGAGTTGTGATATACCCTACTGAGTGATTTAAATACTTTTTTTTTGCAAGAAAAATTTATTTATGCTCATATATTTTCTTAAAAATATATTGCCATTTATTCATAATAAAAACATATCATTTTCTATTTCTGCTATTTACATGAACATTTATATTATCAGTACATTTGAATTTAAGTGACTACATGATTTTGCCTTATGCCTTTTCATGCCAATGAACATGATGAATGAACAAAACGAAATGTGAAAATACTGTTCAATTCTTTTTAAGTATCATGAACACTTATACCTCTGACTGCAGTTCTTGAATTTATAGCCTATATTATTTTAGGGTTCAACTTTTATGGAAATCATTCTCAGGATATCATAAAATAAATAACTTTGTATCAAAAGCTTTGTGGTTATTTTGAAAGTTAGTAACACTTAAAAAGCCAAGTTTCAAATTATAGTTTTTACCTTGAATTCTAAAATCAAAAAAAATTATTTTTTTTTAATGTTTTAAAGAATTCTTGAACTTTCTTATGTCTCAGTTACATTGAAGCTGGGTTTTATTGAATAATTACATAAGATTCCCACCAGTAGCAGAGCACCATGGTAACATGGGTGAGGAAGAAATCATGAAACATTTGAGGGACTTAATTAATTGTCATGGTTAAAAAATAATGAATTCCATCATTTACCATAATATATCAAAAGAAATATTTTTTACCAAGCTTTAAGTACAGAAATGATCTGATTACACCATGGGTCGACAAAACCGTTTTGAAAACGGGGAAATTACCTATAATGATGTAAAAATGATAATCTTAATGGTAATGAGGCCACAAAAGACATACAATTATATTGCAACAGAGAAACGCAATCAATATGTTGTGATTACTAGTGACCCGTCAGTAATCACAAGCTCACAGGTCCTAGTACCCCTTTTTTAAAGACTTTCTCTTTTCTCTCCACTCGCATTTTCATCTTGTATGTCAGTGTTATGTTGTTGTTTTTTTGTGAGTCTTTTTTTTTTTTGTTTACACACGTGACTGAGCGAAATCGCCCACTGTGTCATGGTCAACTGTAAGTTTAAACCGGAGTTTTGTCAACATGGTGTCTACGTCGTTCACTGAACAGCATACGAAAAAAAGAAGNAAAAAAAGGGGATTGTGGGGTAGCTAATATGAGAGCTGTAGGATTTGGGGGATTTAAAAATTAACTAAAAAATACTTCTTTTGCCGATAATATCCAAATAAAATTTTAAAGTATAAAGTAAAACATACAATTTATAACACTTATATATTTTGAAGAAGTAATTTTTAAAAAAAATATATTTAAGTTTCGTCATCCCCATGTGAGGTTGTCAATGGGGGTTCATGCTCAAAATATCAAGAGATGCAAAGGCTTTCGACATTGGTCACTAGGAGGCAGTTAAAAAAGTTGCCTTCTGCAACAACCTGCCTTTGCAAACACAGATTTTTCACTAAGGAGCATAAAAACAAGGCATAGAAATCAATTTAACCCCAAGACAGTATCCAAAATTACTCTGATATAAAAGAAAAAGGGCCAACTTTGATGTCATTGTATCAAACAGAAAATTAATTTCTACTAAATTTGACTGTTCCCCCCCCCCCCCCCCCCCCAAAGAAATCCTTTGTGTTTCCATGAGGATTTTAATTTTATAGAGTTTATTTTGTACTTGTTATATTTATAATTTTATTCTCCACACAAATAGAATCCATAAACCATTTTGAATTTAATTATTCTATGGTTTTCTACCTTTCCAATCGTGGGGGTGTGAATTCGGTCCAAAAAAAATATATTTTGGGGCAATATGGTTAAAAATGTTTGTTGACCTCTGGATTAGATATTTTCACATTAGGAAACAGCATTTATCACCTTTGGCAACCATTTATTAAAGATATTGTATAGAAAAATTAGGAATAGATATATTGAAATTTAATCTTCAGTTCATGACTTGTTTAAGGCATCTTATTTTGTTGTGGGGTATTTTCTTAATTAAAAATAACAGACAAACGAAAGCTTGCATATATTTATGAATAATATATAGTAGCCTATATCTTGTATTATTTTAAGCTAGAAAATTGTTTTCAATGTCGGGAAAGTTTAGCAGTACCTTTGAAATTAAAAAAAACAACAAAAAAAACAAAAACTGTTTTACCTAATGAAAGGAAAAGCAAAGAACTTATTAACTTTAATACTTTAGTAAGATTCATGAGTTAATACAGAACTCTTAAAAAAATGAGGCAACGCAGTATGCATAGCACATTTGGTGATTTCTTTATAAAATATGCTTGGACATTTTAACAAATTTCTCGTTTAGATCGATAGTGTTAATTCTGGCACACCTTTCATCGCTTTCAATGCTTTTTGTCCTTTCAATGAGGAGCCCTTCCCCCGTGTGTTCAACGTGCGTGTGACGTAATTTGTTCGGCTATGCCAGTCTTCCAAGACTTTTTCGATTCCCGGCGCCTTTGCCAAATTTCAGTTTTCACCAGGCGCCCTGTGTAAAATCCTAACAAGTCACTTTGAAATAGCGAATAGATTAATAAAATAAAGGGTGGCCTAAAAATTAATATTACACGTATGTAGGCCACTTAACGTCATCTAGTAACTGCAAAGAGTAGTTACTCAAGTGTTTGCACCAAGACCGCTAGATGTCACATTCAAACAGTAGTTAATCAAGTGTTTGCACCAAGACCGCTAAATGTCCTATTGGATTAAACGTGGCTATGAATATTTTATAATATTTTGCGGCACCCTGGGAGGAAGCAAAAGCCATGCCGAGGAAGATCGGTGCCTGGGGCGAAGCCGGAATATGGTGTCACTTATTATCCCCCCCCCCCCCCCAGCGGACCATAGAAAGACAATTTTGGAGCCCCTTGCCTTTGTGAAGCATATGGATTTTATGTTTCAATTCACTAGGTCCTATCTAAAGACGATTTTAACGCCCTCTGCCCCTGGTGTTGGTAGCCGGTACAACTGCCCTCTCTCCCCATTCTCATGGCCCTGCCCGAGGGCAACGCTGCTCCCAGGGAGACGAGGCGTATATTTATATTAGGGGAACCACTGGGCTCGCCAAACAGCGGTACATTTTCTTCTGTGATGTCCTAATTATAATGAAATGATTGTGTGTGTGTGTGTGTGTGTGCTGTTTTTTTCCTTGTATGTACGCATGAGGTGTCCAAACAAGTGGGCGTGTAAAAAAGGATTTGGACTTTCTTTTGCATTGTACTATATGAACTATATGGATGGAAACACGTTTAAATTGGACTTTTCCATTAAAAACGCTCAATGCCATAAAAATGCGTATCATGCATTATAAAAACTTAGAAGTTGACAGTCTTTTCACATAAAATTTTAGCTCAGTAGTCTATTGGCCTACTCCCTTTTAGCCAATTTAATTATACCATTACTATAACCTACATTTCCACTATAGTTTTTTATCTAAGTATTAACCAATAAATTTCGAGATGTAAATCTTAAAATTTGGTGTACTGCTTCGCCATATCATTTACTAAAATAAATGAGCATAACAGTTTTGTGTTATCAGCGATCTCAGTCTCAAATGCCGTTGGATATGGGCACGAGACAGCACAATTTAAGACTTTTTTTCCTCTTTATAAGAATCTTAAGACGTCTACAAAAATCCCCAGGCGCAGCTTTATTATTTAAATGTTTAAATTTTCAACCCCCAAAAATATATTAATTACTGCATCTAATCTGCGTTCAAGCGATAATTTTATTTATTTATTTTTTGTTTGGGGAGGGGGGTGTTTGTCTATTTAGTTGAAGAGTCAGGTAGTCAAATAAATTAATTTAAAATGCGCTTTGAATTGGAATTATTCTCCCGTGAACACGTGTGTAAAATATTATATGCTAATCAATTAATTCTTTCATATTATTGTGCATGTGATTTTCACTATTCTTTGCGAACACATGTAGAACTAAAGTGTTGAAATATATTGAGGAATATTTTGATAATGTGGTGATTTTATTTCATACTTATATAATTAATTATTTCACTACACAATGTAAATGAATATTTATTTTTTTAAACTTTATAAAGTATCATTTCAATTATTTTATAGATTAAGAATAAAACATAGTCTTATCATATAATCATAAGTACTTTACTAATATAGTCTATAGTTACCCCACACTTAACAAATAAAAGAATTACAGTTTCTTCATGATAAAAAAGTTCTTTTTCTTAAAAATGCATATGATAAAGACATGAAATTAAATTGTTGAACAATAATATTCATTTATGAAAAAACAAAAACAAAACATGAATGCTTTATTATTAAGCATTGGCACAACACAGTATAGGCCTACAGCAAAATCTTTAATAACTGTTAATAGATCGTCGTAACATTAATCAATAAACAAAAATCTTTCAAAATTAATTTACAAAATTACTAGCGTTGTCTCATGAAATTGAAACATAGCACAAAAATGTGCAGTGCTCAAGTTGTCAAACTTGTCCCAAAACTGCCTTTTCAATTTTCTCTTTGCCAAAATTCAGAGGTTATCGATGTGAGGATGGACGGATCGTCAGGACCGCTAAAGTCTATTTAAAAGCAAAAACAGAATGTTTGTAGGTTCCATTTCACAACTGTCCAACATTTTGATAATCGGAAATGATGTGTTTATTAACAGTTTTGCCCAGGAGCAGAGGCGTAGTGAGGGGAGGGCAGGGGGGACAGATGTCCCCGGGTGCCAGCTAGTTAGGGGCGTCAAAATGTGCTTTGATATTATTTTATTGATCAAAATAAGGGGCTTGAGAGTTGAAAAAAAGAAAAAGGGGCGCTTTAAAATGGATCTTGTCCCCGGGCGCGAATCTTGTCCCCGGGCACCAAACACCCTCGCTACGCCTCTGCCCAGGAGCATAATATGTCGTTCAGTTGTATTCTCCAATGTCTGAGCAGCATGACCACCAAGAACCATCTTCCTGTTCCTCCTTCGATTCCTAAAGCATCTAAATGTTATAATCGATGGAAATACTTGGATTCATCTATTTCAACGATAACTGATTCTCAAGCACTCCGAGCAGCATAAAATCCACCTATTTCGGTACCGTTTCTCTCCAGTAAAACGCCCCACGTCGTCTCTACAAAAATTGAATCAATCCACTATTGTATTCAGATGGGTGATGTTTATTTCCAATTGCGTCAGATTTTGGGGGAGAGTCGTTGTTGATGCAGCACATCATAAAAATAAGTCTGTTCAATTGTATTTTTTTTTTTTTTAAATAATGTTCCTGAAGACGTTTTGCACGATTCACAACCTACTTTTTGCCACCCAGAACCTTATTGTTGGCTCGTCACTGGCAAGGCAGATTCCACCCAGCGCAGGCAGATTGCACCCAGAACATACACAAGCATTATTAAATTATCTTCGACTGGGCAACCCCACCAACGGTGTTTCAGCGGTGCGTATGTTGTCAAAAACGTCATGGGGGCATGGGGCCGACACAGCACCGATTGATCTATAACGTTACCGACTGGAAAGATAGATTGTCAGATTATTTTCAATCTTCCAGTCATAACTTATTTTTAATGAGCCCCAAAAAGTTTATTTATTTTGCCTGAAACTTGAGTGAACATAAGTTTTCGTTTCCGTTTAGCCTCATATTTAAATTTAATGAAGGGGCCATCTATTTCTTATGTATTTTCTTATGTACGTTCTGAGAGGGAAGGGGTGCTGATTTTGCATATGAGGAGGAGGGTCTTTGACAGAATGAAGGCCTACTTACATTTATGCAGACTGATCTAAGAACGAATTTAAGTCTACTGTTCACCTTTATAATGTGTATGCTTTCGTGGGTGTGACTGTGTGACGTAAATTGTGACGCAATTATTTCGTCTGGCTGTACCAAAGAGTGTATATTATGGTACGTCATACAGATAGCGGTGGCGATTAGGAAAGAAATCCGTGACAGAGAGTTTAGTCCCTTTTTTATAAGTGGGTGGGGGAGGGGTATTTTTACACATGCAGAGCGGGGGGGGGGGTCCAAAAAGCAGACAGAAAGCTACGTCAACCTGATAAATATGTAATAAAATACAAATTTTGCATAACAATGACGATTTTTACGCCCTCTTAAGAGTGACGCCCGGGGCGGGGGCACCCGTCATTCGCAAGTCCATGTAGCGGGGGGGGGGGGTCCAAAAAGCAGACAGAAAGCTACGTCAACCTGATAAATATGTAATAAAATACAAATTTTGCATAACAATGACGATTTTTACGCCCTCTTAAGAGTGACGCCCGGGGCGGGTGCACCCGTCATTCGCAAGGCCATGGAAGTTGCGGGGAGGGGTAAGAACATTTGACTTTTTTAAAGGTACTAATAAATGGTTAGCGTCTATGCGATCATTAGTTACATATTACTGGCGGTGGTGTCTATTTTTTGTTTTGTTTTTTGTTTGTTTGTTGTTAATGATTTCTGGTGATAGATGGGGAGGAATGGAAATAAATGGTCCAAAATAGTGTGACATTATTTATGGATGGTTCCTAAATAAATACGTAAAATATTATGCGGTTATTTGCTGCATATAATTAATTAAATTAGTTAAATTCGCTACTTAGATTACATTGAAGAAAAAAAAATCACTAAAACTGTATTTTACCCTCTCAGATTGACGTTAGATCTCGGTAAATGCCGCAACCTGTAAACTTTGCGTAAATTTTAAATTTGGTAACTTGAATAGAAGTAGAGGTACGACTCAGTTGGTCCAAAATAACAAACACTTACTGTGAATACGCTATAACTAACTAGTTTGTCATGTCAAGCATTCTACTACAGTTTCCACCAGCGCCCAGAAGAAGTCATATGACAATTTTCGAGCAAGATGGTCAGATGAAAGATATTCCCGAGTCAGTACTCGGACCAGTGGTCACGGTAAAAAAATTGTTTTAACTTAAACATTAAGCGCATTTGAGGTCTACAAAAAAAAGGCTTCATAAGTATAACATTTATAAAATCTTTATCCCTTCTTATTATTATAAAAAAAAAATGTTTGATGGTTGCTTTTAATTTTCAATACTGCACACACTTAGATCTAAGTCAGTAATGACGCCAAATAATTATACAAATACAAGTTAAAAGTAAAATATTAAAGTTAAAGTAAGATTAATTTAATTAGCCTGGCCAAAACCAGGACCAGACCCAGTCCAGTGGGTCTGGAGTCTAGAACCTTTTCATCCATTTCATGGCAGAGAGCCAAATATTAAATTTTTGATCTTGTTTTGGTTATCAACCGGAATGAAATCCAGACTCCGGGTCCAGACTGTGGGCCACAGTGTGGCAGAATTAAATTTTAAATTTAGACTTTAGACATGACATCTTTATGTACAAATTCAGCTGTAGTTTTCTTAATTATAAATGTATTCTAATGAGTAATAAACCATTTTGAAGGTAAATGAATTGTCTATAACTATAAGACAGATGTAAAACATTTGTAAATTTAATTGTTGTTAGGAAATAATTAATATTAATTGTGAAATTAGTAATTACTATTACTATTACAACAGAAAAACAATTTAAAAAATTTATAAATGTGCCAAGTTATCTATAAATTTAGAAACATTTAAATCCTTTCATTTGGTTGTTTCAGAATAGTATATCATATCCAATAATAAGAAAAAGGCACCAAAGAACACAGAAACGGAATAATATATATACTTCCATTTTCTTATATGTCTATAATCTATAGTAACCCTATTGGTTGTTGCCATGGTAAACACGTTTTAAAATTTGGTAACTAGCTTGGAGATTATAAGTAAAAATAAATTAACAGCTTGTTTTTTTCAACCTTATGCCGATAGTCGATAGCATGTGTTTCGAAAATAAACATCCTGTCGGTAAATTAAAATCTGAAACCAAAATGGGAACTGAATAATATAAATATTTGACTTGTTTTAATACAACACAAACATTGGCGCTACCAGCGGCTCATGGCCATAGCTAAAGAAGCACTTTGGTGCTCCCAGCAGCTCATGGTAGTTAACCAGTTATTGATAATGAAAAAAATCTGGTAATCTACCCTTTCAGTGTTTGCAATTCAAAAATTATGTTTTTTGTGTTTGAATTGCAGATTGTCTAGACTAGCCCGAATTGCTATTTTACTGGTTATTATTTTATTGATAAGATAGAATTCTTTTTTAGTGATTCAAAAATGTTTTTTTTAAATTGAAATTCTATAAATTCATTTCAGTACATATATAATACAAATATTCTTAATATTTTTAAACTTAAACAGTTTAATATATGAAAAGAATATAATATGTAAGCAAACAGAGTTTTTGAGTTTATCATAGTTTTCCCCTACCCCTAAGATAAAAATGAAGGTAATAAGGGCAACTTTTTACTTGGCATCACCCTCTGAATCTTTTTTGAAAAATTTACTGTGCATTTTATTGAAATGTCTTTCCACATTGGATTTCTTACTTTGATTAAGTTTTTCATTGCAAATAAGACATTGTAATTGTGGGAGTCTACCATTATTTGACATAAACAAGTAAGTTTCATTCCTCTCAGTTTTAAATTCTCAACTTTGATTCTCTTTATGCTGACACAGTTCTTTGCATTTTGCATGTACATGCATAAAGAGTTCCCAACTTTGCACAGCTTGTCTTTCAGTTCCGTCAAGATTCACAGCTCCTATTTAGTCTAACCCTCTCTTTTTGCTTCTTAATTTTTTTCCATTATATTTAAAGAATAAACAAAGGAAACTGTATTGATTACAGTAAAGCTTAATTTGAGTCAATTCCATCTTATATCAATATTATTATTCCGATGGGAGATTTTTAAAAAAAGTCATCATTAAATATATTTTAGTGGTACAGATATCACGGTTGACAGAAGAACTTGAATGGACTGCGTTGTTTGTTCATTTTGACATAAATAAGTTGTGTCTTTTCTATGTGTTTCCACTACATATTTTTTTTTAACTTAAAAAACAACAACATAATTCTCTTAAGTCTAATCATTGTAAAAACAATTTGAAAATTTAAGATACAGTTTTAACGTTAAATAGATTGATATATAAATTTTCTTTTTGCATTTAAATAATTAATATATTTTTTATGAGCAATAAGCTAACAAATATTGTATACCACCAGATAGCTAGTAAGGTGAATTGTATACAAGTGAAGTCTGCATAAATTTGTAAAATCATTTCAGAAAAAATAATTACTGATATTTTGTCATTGATATAATGAAAGAAATTACTCATAAGCTGATATAGTTATAGTGAACTAATTAATTGAACTAGAAAAAATATTAATGAAACATTGATTTTATTAAAACAATTAAAAAATCAAATAAAATATTTTGCAGACTCCTGAATATCCAGAAATATTTGTCCAAACAGAATCAGCGAGCCATTTAAATGTGCGCTATGAAAGTGCACAACTTGCATTTTTATCACATAATCAGGCCTCTTGGAAAAGACCATTGCATGCATGGTAAAGTCAGACATTAATATTTATTTAAAGTGTACAGCAGCTAGTGCATTAAAATTGATTAAGTTTGAGGTGATTTTTTTTAGCCTTGTTAAAAGTAGTGTAGTTTATGAATAAAAACACATACTCATAAAATACATGAAGCTAGTACAGGGCCTATCTGTTTTTTTGTCTAAAGAATTTTAAAAAAAAATGTGGATTCTTTTTCAACTGATTTAGGACATTACAATACTTTCACTTTCTTGTCATAACAAAAGTCATAATATTTAGGTACAATGGAGGACTGCTTAACATGTTTGAAGAGTTATCTCAAGCTAAACCTGAAGGTAGGCCTAAATATTACAAAATTAATTTGCTCATCAATATTGCACTGAATTCTTCAATCCATATCTTGATCATTTAATAGCTTTAGTTTATAATAGCTTTAGCCTGCCAAAAATGGCAGCCTTATGGTGTGAATTTCCCATCTAATAAAGTTACTTGACAAAACAGGCATTCATGTAATGCACTTTATATAAGATTCCCTATTTAGTGCTCCCCCCTCTCCCGTATGCCACCGCCCCTGAACTTAATTAATATTCTTAAGTCCCGGCCCCTATAACACAGAAGATATATTACACCAACTATTTCCGTAAAACAAAAGAAAATATTACGCACAAAATGCACCTCAATATTTTTAAGAACATCATTTAGCGCAGTTATCAGGAATGTTATTTTTATTTTTATTGAACCTTAGCATTAGTGACAACATTATTACATAATTTTACATAGAATTATGTATGACATTAAATTCATAATTGACAAAAAGCAATTTTACTTCCACATAATTTTTAAAAAAATTTAGTTCCAGGTTGGCTTTCATCAACATGTAAAGCAGCTTTGTCAGTTCTTGAACTCCTCAAGTCTCTGAGAGTTACTTTATTTTCTCAACCAGCTGTAAGTGTTTGATTTAATTAGTTGAGGCCTCTCCATAATTTTTACCAAAATAAAAAAAAAACTTGTCATGATATATATTATTAAATCTTTAAGGTTTTTGGTAATTTTTTTTTTTTAATACCAATGATTTATTCTATTTTGCAGCTGTCCAATGAAGAACTCTTATTAAAATACTCTCATGTTTCCGACTGGTAAGATGCAATAAATTTAAAGAGACTTCCTATTTTCTTATTTGAAAAAAAGCGATGAGCCTATATTTTTATTTTTGTGGTTTAATTACTACGCAAAATTATTCAATTACATTTTTAGATTACTACTTGATTATCACAAATAAATGAAATGTAATACTTAACTTCCAATTAAATCTTGCTTCTAATTTAACCAAATTCCCCTAAAAAATTAATCTTATTTGAAATTATCAGTGTTTATCTGTTTCAGTGACATTTGAGTAAATCTTTTAATTAACTGCTTTTTAACTATTTTCAATAACTTTATTATGGTGAATCTTAGATAAGAGCATTAATAAAAATATACAATTAATGATCAGACATATTTTGAACTCTAAGAGAAATATAATTGCTAACAAAAATTCATCATTTTTTGCTACTAACTAGTAAAATGTTTGTATTCCTAACAGGCACAAAAGTCCTGTTCAAGCCATCACATGGCATCCACATGTGATAAAAGTTGCCATAGCTCTGCGGGATGATTCTGTGCACATATACTATTCAGGCACCAGCTTGCAGCCAATACTGAAACATAAATTACAAAAGCAAGTAACAGATCTGGCCTGGCAGTAAGTACTAAATAATATCTGTCATATGTATCTTTGGGAAAACTAATAATCTAATGCTTATATTCCCAACCACTCATCCTTTCCAATTTTAAAGCACTTCAAAGACTGTTAGTTTCACCTCTGGGTTTAATGGGATTTTGACTCATCCAGACATCAACAGCATGAATCGTTTTATGCCCCAAAAATAATCTATACATATAATTCGCCAGCAAAGGCCAAACACCACCACGCAGGCTATATATAGATACGCCAGAGTGTGATTAAATAATGAGTTCACTAGCGTGCAAAATATGATTCCCGATAACTACACTAAATGATATATATATTTTTTTAATAACGCAATTGCGTTTGTTGCGTAATATTTTCTTTTCGGAAATGAAATCGTCTAAATTTAAGGGTTGTGTAAAAAATATTCAGTTTAAAAGTGGTTGGGACATGAGAATATTAATATAGTTCATGGGCGTGAAATAAAAAGTGTGCACTGACTTATCATGGGGGAAGGGGTGTAGCAAATATTGGGATTCTTAAATGTGTATTACTTGAGTTCGTGATTTGTCAAGTAACTTTACTAGATGGGAAGTTCACGCAATGTTTGGCAGGCTCTATCTAGTAATAATTATTATTATTATTTACTTGTCTGTTCCCGTAATTTGTTTCGTATGTGTTTCTTTTTTAAAAAAACTTCATAATAAAAAAAATTGCTGCTTTTATGAAAAAATTGGTGATAGGATGTTTACCCCAACTTCTTATTAGTTATTTTTAACATTTTGTCTCCCTCATCCTACCCTGCCTTTTAGCCTCTCCCTGCACTTCTCCTCCTAATGCCCTATTTTACCCATCCACCTTCTTAGCCCCTATATTCTCCCACCTATACTCCTATTATCCCCCATTCTCAACAGTCCTATCTTTCCAACTCTAGAGCAATGTACTCTTATCACACCCCTTGTCCATGCACATACCCACAGCCACCACAAGCTGCATTCCCTTGGACCCACCTCTTCCCAAACCCCAACATCTTCTCCTACTTTTACATTCCCTTACCTATACCCCTTTTTCACCCCAGCCCTCTACCAGCTACCATCATGCCCTTTTTCCAAATCAAAGATAAGTGAATAATTTATAATGCTTGCATTAAACACTGTTGTTCCTATTTATAATCAAATCTATTCATAAACAAAGTTTATAGCCTTTGTTTTATTTTAATGTTTAGGCCTCTGTCTTCATCAGTACTTGCTGTTGCTTGTCAAACATGTATTCTAATATGGAATGTAGAGCCCACATCTCTAGCTGTCAGGTAATTTAGACCAAGCTTTTGAAAAAAAAGATTTTTAAAATAAGAATGTTATAATTATTAAAAAAAAATTATAAAAAAAAAATCTTCACATGTTTTTAGAGATAATATTTATTACTTAACTATCTATCCTATTGCTAAAAGTACCATTTTTTAAAGATTTATGTTAAGATTCTTACATTTTTAAAGAACTGTTATTATTTGATAATTATTATAAGGAGCTCCTTCTGAAATGTGTCACACTTTCGTGGCTGAGAAATTGTTAAAAATTCATGTAACCTTATAAATATGTCTTTTGGAACAGGCCATCTGCTAGTACTGTCCAGATTCTTCAATACAGTTCACACTCTCCTGTCACAAGTCTTTCTTGGAGTCCATTTGGGGATCATCTGATCTCAGCCTGTCCCAAACAAGCTTCAATACTTGTAAGTCAACAAGATTAACAACATTTTTTAAATTAAATTCCATATTTTAAAAAAAGATTAAATCAGAGAAACAAAACTGGAATGCTAAGAGCATGTGCATTCTGCTTCCAGGTCTGGGATGTGCCCAAAGAAACCTATGTCTCATTAAAAAGAAGTGGAGGTGGTGGAATCTCTTACTTATCATATTCTCCTGATGGATCAAAGTTATTCACTGCTTCCACATCACCAATTTTCAGGTAAGTTTCAAGGAGGGTCAAATTATCATTCAGTTTTTAAATTAATGGATTAAATTAAATGACATTTGTAAAAATAAGCAAAATCATTCTTTTTAAATATTTATATCATCAGATTTTTTTTTCCTCAAGAGAAATACTTATAACACAAATTTAGTGATCCACTATGCTGATAACCTTGTTTAAATTTCTTTGAAATCAGTCCAAGTCATGTGTAGAATGTAACTATACTTTTAATATTTAATGTGATAAAATATTTTACATTATAAAAAGATGAAAGTAAATGTATTTATCAAACTAATGGAAAAAATAGCACTTGAGGAAGCTGTTCCTAGGCAACTGTTTTGTCCAAGCTGCTTTGTGAATTAGTCGCAAGGTAGAAATCCACTGTAGAAATCCCTGTTGGAGGGCGTCTGATGCTTCCCTGGGATGGGAGGGGGAAGATTTAGGATGTAAATACACCATCCCGACTCCTGAGAAAGTCGACTGCTGACTCTGTGAGAGTAGAGTTCTTGGGCTAGTATGGTCTCCATTGGTTTCCTGATTGAGTGGGTGCTGTTGGGGGCTGTCCTGGCAAAGGCAAATCTCCAACCTGCCGCTCCGTGACCGATATACAGGCTTAGGGGGTGGGATTTGGGGTAGGGCATAAAGAGCTAGGTATAAAAACTTGACGGCTTGCTGACGCCATTTCCTAAGGTACCATTTCAATGGAAAAACCCAACTCATTTATTGTTTTGTTAATTTCAGAGTTTGGGAATCAAAAAACTGGAACTGGGAGAACTGGGCTAATTTATCAGGACATTGTACTGTAAGTTTTAAATCCTAAATAAACATACATTTTAAAAGACTTTATTAGTCTTTATAGATGAACTTTCTCTTCATTTATTCATTTAATGAAAATATCAATATCTTTGTGACTTTTCTTAACCTTTCCAAAATAACATTTCCCCAAAGAAAAAGTTTAATTCAAAATATTGTTATTTAAAAAAAAGATGCTAAAATGTATATTAAAAAACGACTTTAATTTGTTGCTTCCTTTTTTTCAGGAAATACATCTGAGCAATACATTTAATTTTCATGGCATGTTTCATGAAATTGTTAAGAAATCTTGTTATGTTTTCTCAGACTGCATGTTGGAGCCCTGATAGTACAGTTTTAATATTTGCGATGGAAAAAGAACCTTCTTTGTTTGGTGTGAGGTTTGTTGAAAGTGGAAGGGGAAATGCTTTAAGCGCAGTGAATACTTCAGTACTGCTTGCAGATGTTTCCCAAGTCAGCCTTTCTAGTGGATTGAGTGAAGATGTCAGGTAGTGTTTTTATTCTTGAATGTTCTTGATAATATGGTATTACAGAATTTTTAGAGGTAACCATGTCATAATTTCCCCATTTCTATGAAATCTTTAATGACCAGCTGGTAAAATAAGGAATAAAAGCACACTGCATGCACAGAGACTTGCAATATCTGTCCTTGTACAAATTTGGGGAAAGTATTTAAAATGTCCAAGACTTTCATTTAAAACATCTAGATTTACATCTAACATTACATAATGATGTAACCAAAAAAAAGATATTAAACATCCACCCTGGCAACTATCATGTATATGTGTACTATTTACAAATAAATATAGATATATATATATAAGTTATCTTTAAAAGTGAAAAAAGATACAGCCAATCTTAAATAATGACCCCTAAAAATGCCAGTTAGTGCCCAGGAATCAATAATAATCATTGATAGAGAACCTGAGGTAAATTAAGAGGTTAATGGTCTATAAGTTTATTTAAGAAGGAAATAAGGAAATAGCAGCAAACAAAAAGTTCAAATTATGTAATTAAAACATAAGAGGAGCCCGCAAAAAAAAATTTTTTTTTTAAATACCATTTTCATTTTGTTATTTTTATTACTGAATTTTGTTTTGATAATGCCCATAATTTAGTGTCCATGAATAAATTGTTTAAAGTTTTACATGCATATCATTTCAAATAATATAATTTACAAAGTTATTAGCTGTCTGATATAGCATTTTAAAATGCTAGTGTGGCCCTCTAAAACAGTGGTCCCCAAATGGCGGTCCATGGACCTTCACCGGTCCGCATGCCTAACGTTGCTTGTCCCCATAACATAAATATTTATTCTCAATTAGAAATAAAAGTATAAAAATAAATCATGCACCGGTCCCTGGTAAAATTTCGAAACTTGTTCACCGGTCCACCAAACTTAAATGTTTGGGAACCACTGCTCTAAAATACAATTTGTTGTTAATATCAAATTTAAAAAAAAATGCAATTTATTTGCAAATATATTGTATGCATTACATGAACCAAACATGCATTATATGTTACACATAAATAGACATATTATGTAACTCTACAGTTCTTGTTTAATTATTGTTATTTTAGAGTTGGTGGTCAAGTGAAATCGATAGTCTGGGATGAGACAGGAGAAAGAGTCGCTGTTATGTTTCAACGTAAGTATAGCAAGTGTTTTTTTTATGTGTATGTGTTTATAAGGCACTTTACTTTTATCTGATTCCTATATTACTGTTCGTTCACGAGAACATGTGCAATTTGGACATTACTGGTTTAGTTTAATATATAAGATGTATAATTATAATACGCTTTGCGTACTTTAAATAATATTAAAGTTAAGGACTTCTGAGTTATTAACTAAAAATATTTCTTTAAAATATGTTACAGCCAAGAATAATCTTCTAAATTTTCTAATATTGCATAGTAGAAATGTGTTTAAAATTAATTACACTTATTATATATATATATATATATATATATATATATATATATATATATATAATATGTGTAAATCTTCTGTAAGAGCCATGAAATGCTGTCATTGTTTCTGTTATAAAGAACATTTCAAAGGGGATGTATAGCAGTGGCACCTAAAAAAATATTTTTATATTTTATATTATAATATATAATATATATGTGTATAAAATTAAATATATTTTATATATATATATATATATATATATATATATATATATATATATATAATAAGTGTAAATCTTCAGTAAGGGCCATGAAATGCTGGCATTGTTCCTGTTATAAGGAACATTTCAAAGGGGATGTATAGCAGTGGCACCTAACTGCTTGCTTCTTTAAATTGTAAGACAGAATGTAAGGTGAATTTTCATTATCTGTTCAGCTAATGACTTGGGAAACAACCATCTAGTTGCTGTATTCAAGTCAACAATTCACCCAGTCTTGGAACTTGTACCAGGGTGAGTTTTAATTTTTTTGTATGCTTTGATCTAGATTGGGAGGCATAGGTTACTTTGAATTTATTTATACATTTTTAAATATACCTATCTGAAATGTTTAGTTTAATTTTTTTATTTTAAATAATAATGTCATCTAAAACTAATAACTTCTAAATAATATTTAACCTCCTGGTAGGAATTTTTATCCAAAAAAAATATGTATTTTAAAAATATCACACTATCCAGTTTCCATGACACAGAATGATTTAATCAAATATTTGATAATTAATTATTACTGATATTATTTTCAGTGGCTTTGTGAAAGGCAGATCAGGAGAATCTGCACACCATATTGCTTTTCTTCCTGGGTTTCAGAATGGAGCCTTGCTTAGTATAGTATGTTAATCTTTTTTCTTTCCTCACCAAAGAATGAAAAGGACCTATTTGGGCTTCCTACAAGCATAGCTCTTTATATAACTAGCTTATGTATTCATATCATCCATTACTCCATTCCAAACATTCTGAGGACAAAGTAACGATGTGATAATTTTGTGAAAGGTTAATTTTTTTATTACTCTTATTATAATGCTTTCTCTTTAATTTATTATAAACTAAACTCTGTACTCTCCAGGTCTGGTCATCAGGGCGTGTAGGCTATGTGCCCATGTTCTTTTTGCCTGCCCAGCAAATCCAGCACTATAACACAATTGGTTTTGGACCTTTCTCATCAGTTCTTTCACCAAAAGACAGCATGTTCAGGAAATAGACCATGACTAACAATTGATGAACAATTAAAAAGCTAAATTCAATAGGATTTGTCATGGAAAAATCTGCATGTCCATTGGTCAACATGATCTTATTTATTTATTAATATAATACTAATGTAATAGTATATAACTCATAATGTTTTGAGTACATTTTAACAGGCTGTATGTAAAGAAAAAAAAACTGCAGATTGATTTTTTAATGAGATTTTTAGAATTTTACTTTAAAAAATTAGCAATTAGGTTGTTCAACAATATTTGTTGTTCCATTACAGCTTGACCTTGAACCCAGTAAAGTAAAAATTAAATGAATACAAAATGTCTGGTACCATACTTTAAAATTAATGTTTTGTTTACATTGAGGATTTTTATCCTGAGTATGCCTTCTTGCCATTGCCTCTTGTAACATTATTAGTTAAACTTGTTTAAGAAAAAATCTTGAATTTATAAATTTAATGACAATGCTTTATTACAGTAGACAGGTATTTTAAGGTATGAGATATATGCCATACAGCACTTCAAACATTTTGATGTTATACTTTACTTCTTGCATCACCAAAGTAGCACTAATGCTCATACACTTATAAAATTTATACAGTGGAACATTTATATGGAAGATTTTCTGCTTTCAACTATTTAGGCTGATAATGTCAATAAATAATTGAGGTCAGGTAAACATTTTTGTGTGTAATCATTTTTGAAATGACTTTGTGTGATTTATTTTATTCAGATTACAGGTCAGATGAAAGAATTATTTGTCTCAGCACCAGACTTGATTAACTATAGTAAAGTAAGGGAGAGTACTGAAAGAAATACTGAAAAAGAATAATTGCATGAACATTCTTGCAGATTTTGAAAATTAATGGGGTAAAGAGAGGCTCTGAAAACAGGTAGATCTGCACCTAAAAAGAGGGAATCATGGTTGTGCTAGCTACTAAATAAAAGGGCTTCATTACTGTCACATTAGGACTAGCAAGCTGGGACTCTTCATTGTTCAATGTTGGAACTATGCTGCACGCAACACTTCCACTTCGGATCACTTCCAGTATCTTTAATTATGATATACATTGAGGACACAAAAGCCAGCATTGTGTTTGTACTTTATTTGAAAATTTTTTATGGTCATCATAATTAGTACTTTTTTTCTTAATTTAAGTTAATAAAAAGGTTTGTTTAAGCTTGAAAAGAAAAGACAGAATTAGTGTAACAAGATAAATTGTGTTTTAAAAAAAACTGCAATAATGTCAATGTATCTACATTAAAATATTGAGATTTTTTAAAACAAATTTATATTTTTAATTTAAAGTATTAATTTGTATTGTGTGCTGAAGAAGGCTTCTAGTCAAAATGTCTTTCTGTCTTTTCTTTTCAAGCCTTAACATATCATGTTCCACTTTTTATTTACCCCGAGGAATTGATTTATGTTAACTTTGAGGTATTAATTTTAAATATTTTACAATATGTTTTATAAACTCTCCATAAATTGCTTTGGCATGAACAAAGCTGAAATATGATGGGGGTTTTTTTCCAAAAGAAAAACCTTTTTGCTGTGAAATGTCTAAGAATACAGCATACAACTATAACTTGGATTAATTTTAAATTTACAATAATTTAAATTAACATCTTATAATTTTAAAAAAAATGGTCATACATGATCAGGAATTTGTACTGGAGATATAATTTCTTAGCTTGGTGTGAATACCAAAATGCCATATATTTTGCACATGGCATTTAATGAAATCAGCAGTAATTCTGTGTAAAGATTTACTAAAAAATAAAATTTGAAAAGATAAAATAGAAAGATACAAATAATATAAATTCTGACATTTTAACAAAGATAAAACCTTAACCTGTTAAAGTAGTTTTAAAGTTGTTTCTTTTGAAAAAAAAATCACATGATTTACTTAATCAAATTTGTTCTTTTGAATTGTAAAATTTCAAAACATTGGATCATTTTGGCAATTATTAATTATAAAATATGAATTCCTAAATTAAAAAATTCACACGATGTACTTAATCAAATTTGTTCTTTTGAATTGTAAAATTTCAAAACATTGGATCATTTTGGCAATTATTAATTATAAAATATGAATTCCTAAATTAAAAGACAATTTCTAATTAATATGTAAGTTTAAAATTTTTTAAATTGCATTATAATAGTAAAGAAATGAACAATAAAAATGGTGAGTTAAGATAAGTTTGAGCAAAATCAAGAGGCCATAACTGGACTGTAGTTAAGAAAATAACAAGTTGAGCACCAAAATTATTGTGTAAACAGTAATTATTTTACATATATTCACAGAATCAGAATTGTTTGATTACACATTAAGTGTGCAGAGTAAAACTTCAATTAAAAACAATGACTGCCCTCATCAAAGTCAATAGATTTCTAATTAACACTGTCTTTTTAGAAGTAGCTCAGACTTAATGTCTGACTTATTTCAAACCATCATGTGCTTACAAAAAACACCTCTTTATTCAAATAGCATACACAGCCTTAAAAGTATATAAAAATAATGCATTACAATTACACATTCTATGGAATAAAAAAATCTTAGTGCATATACCAGGGCAATGTAAAGTTTATATTATGTAAAAATGCAATAATTTGTAAAAATATCACAGTTAAAGTATCACAAACTGGAATTATAAAGTAAAGAAGAAAAAAAAGTTTTGAAATACTGGCATTTTATGAACATGGTACAGGTAGTCAAAAGAAACTTAAAATTTTAAAGCTTTATCAATAAATCAAATAAAAATTAATTTTTAAAAAGTTAAAAGTAAAAATCTTTCTCATATCTAGTATTATATTACAATTAAAATGTATTTCTTTATGGTTATTTTATTAGCAAAATGTCAATAGGCTGGGGTACCACACTATAATAATATAAGACTGCTATATATATATAAATTATATATATATGTATATATAATTTATTCATTATTTATATACAGTGAAAACATAATAAAAAACTGCCACGAAGAGGCACTTAATATAATAAGTCCTTAGAAACCCTTGATTACTTAAGAGAGCTATTAGCTACAGCATAAATTAACAAAATTATTAAATTATTAGCAAATATTACACAAAAGACTAATGAAATTGATGTAACATTTTAACTCTCATGAGGCTATTTTGGAAAGATGTGCGTGTGGGTGGGGTTTTCATTTTTGTTAAAGTTGCACATTTTTGTTAAAGGTTTTCTTGCAGAAATTCCTTCAAAAGTAGCTAATGCTTGATAAGTTTTGGCTGAACTAGTTTTAAATTGTATCTTTTATTAATCTAGTTTTTTTTGTTCAATAATTTTTAAATAAAAATAGTTATAAAACATATTAAGTACGTCTACTGGTTTATTACAAATTAAAAAGCTTCAGATATGAGTAATCATAAAATAACAACACTACATTAGCAAGGTTCCCTTGTGAAGAATTTGATGATTTCTTAACATGATTTCCAATTGAATAATACAGGACTACGATTAGTAAAGTATAAAACATGCATAATATTAATGCTACCACTAAATTACTTTTGATATCAGAGATTTTAAAATAACACTACATTAACAGAGTTCTCTTGTAAATAATTCAAAGAACTTTAAACATAATTTCAAACTGAACAATATAGGACAGGACATATGAAACAAATTTACTACCACTGAAGTACTTTTGAGATCAGAGACATGATGATTTTGTTAATGCTATGAAGCAAATGAAAAGTAAAAATGCATAATATAAAAATAAACTTGTATTTATCTACTTTAAGCTCATTTAAAGAATTTTGAAACATTAAATTCACAGTTTTAATTTAGATTTTCAGGACAGCCTGTTGATCACGGTGCATTTAAATTGACATGATATTGAATGCTAATAAATTAGATTATTTCTAAAAAAGGTTAACCAAATGATTAAAACAGACATTCTTTTTATTTCAGTTGCCTTTTTTCAAAAAAATTTATTTCTTAAAAATTGCCTGTAATAAATGTACCGGCATTGAACATTAAGCTTTTTAAAGTAATAGATGTTTTAAAAAAAAAAAACAACACTAATGCTCTGTGATGCTGTCTAAGAGTTTCTGATGACATAAAAAAGTGCTCTGAATATTTCTTCTTACAATTCTCACAACTCAAAGACGGTCATGATTGCATAAGATCTTTTATCCTGTTTGGAAACCTCTGAGAAATAGAGAATAAAACAAAGTCACGTTTAAAAAGAAAAAAAAAGGTTATTGTATTGCTGTAAATTTTTATGTTAAAGAATTTTTTCTGAAAATGTGTTTTTAAGCATCCTGAGATTAATTTAATATACTTTCCTTTTAAAGTAACCTTTCAAGACTAGAAACTATAGCTATTTCAGTAATAGAATCACATAAAAATTATGATTACTTGATATTAATGTGCCTGTCAGACTTGAATAAAATGGAAAATCCCTTTTCAGTGTTAGGTTCATCAAGATGGACAAGAGCAATGTATCTTCCGGATGGAAGCATGTAACGCACATCAACATCCCATGAGATAACAAATTTAGATTGGGAACCTTCAATATGCTCAGGGCTATTGCTGTAGTTCTCATAGAGATATTGGGCATCCAATGGTGGGTTCTTGCCATTCTGCAGCTGTGGTTAGCAAGGTTAATAATTATATATCATTAAAGTAATTGATCTTTGAACCTTTTCATAATACTTCAAAAGGTATTTATATTTCATATAATTAATGTTTGCTACAATGGCATGGTAGTGTGTATCTCAATACCCATCAAATCTCTAAAAACAGGTTATTTAAAAAATTTTATGTTAATTGTTCAGGATCTGAATATTCTGACTTTTTTAAAGTCTGTTTCTATATGATTTACTATTAAAAATACAAAATATTATTCCAGTCCTATAGGGACTAAGTAATTTCTAGATGTAACTAAAGGGATGTAACCTTGAAAAGTCTGAGACCAACAGGATACTGAGGATCCTCATTAGTCTGCATTATGTGAACTACAACTGGAACTAGACTGCCTGTAGAATAATGGTAAAAAAAAAAGGTGTAATAAATGAAGGACTGTGTTCAAGCTGTGTGAATGAAATAGAAGAACAAGGTATGTGGAAGCTTGAATCAAAAGACAGGTCGTTAAGATGTGAACGTTTTGGCTAAGAGGCTTCCTCAGCAAACAGGACAAATGAAAATACAACAAGAAACAGAGCATCATTAAAAACTTAAGTGATCACCATTGTTATTGCCGTAAGTAGTTTTTATAAAACTAAATTGTATTTTTTACATCAGTTCTGTTTATTTCATGTGGATGATATATATATATATATATATATATATATATATATATATATATAAAATTAAAATACATGCTATATATCTCTATTTATATTATATGTTATCTATTTAATATTAAATATATTATATATTTTATATAAGTTTTGTTTATTTTATGTGTATGATATATATATATATATATATATATATATATATATATATATATATATAAAATTAAATTACATGCTATATACCGGTATTTAAATTATATGCTATCTATTTAATATTTAAATGAAATTTATACATAGAAAGTGATGCAAGTTTATGCTAACCAATTGCAATTGCTAATAAGAATAGAATAAAAACTCTCACCTGAATCTGGAATAGTCAGAAGGTACTGTGGATTTGTATGGTAACTGGCTCGATTAGACACCTGACCACCAGCGTTTTGTCCACTAATAAATTCTCCAAATAGGGTTTTTTCAAAAGCTGATTTTCAAAATATGTATGAAAAGAAATGGATGATTTGTATTAATATAAAAATATTTTTTTTGTATCATGAATGCTAAAGTTTATTTAATTTTCTTATTGAGAAAAATTAAAAAGATATAAGAACTTACACTTACATTATAAAACACCACTAAATGTAAAAAGAAACAATGATAAATATTGTGAAGGGGAAGTCATGAAATAACAAAAGTATCTCTAACTTACTGAGTTGGTATGTTTTTCCTTTAACACTAAAACTTTCTTCATTTTCACTGGATGCAAGATACACATCATGGGGTATCTCCCTACAAAATATAAAGTTTAAGTATACATTATTTTAAAAAATAGTGCTTTAGTAGCTATAATGGACAGTTTCAGATAATATTAATAATAACCAAGAAAAATATATCCACTTGAGATGGAGGCAAAATATACCTACAGGTTGTCTTTATAAAATATTATTACAACCATGCCAAAGCCAGGAGTGAAAAAATAAAAATCTATAATTTGCAATATGATTAAAACCATTAGTATAAACATACTTCACAGATTCCAAGGCTGCCGGACTGAAGAGACGAAGCAAGAACGCTTTTTCCTGACCCTCATCAACAGATGATGGAATGATCATGTAGCGCCCTGGCTTAAGCTTGAACCTGAATGAAGTCTGGATTTCTGGGCTGTAGACATTGTTCTTCTGTCCCTGGATTTCAAGTGCTATACAACGACCAGTATTGTGAATTTTATCACCCAAAACCTGCATAAGGAAAAAGTCGTGATTTGAAATTAGATTGGCCTGATTTGCTGGGAACATAATTATAGTCTGGCAAAATTTAAATGATAAAAGTAAAATTTACAAAATGTTTTTTTTTTAAAATATGAAATTGAATTAGGTTTAAAGTTGAGTATACCAATGACTTACACAATTATTTACTTCAGTTTTTATCATTCAAATTAAGTGTGGAAATTAGGATTTATGAAATATGACTTTAATTTTTACTAGAGTAGAAAATTGGCAAAGGCTTTTTTTGGTAGTTGTGGATCAAAGAAAAAAACTTAATTTTTTTAAAAATGATCTTTTTTATATTGCTTTCCTTATTTTCACAACCTTGTCAGATGAATAGCTCCACTACATGGCTGATTCTTACAATAGAACTTTACTGGGCTATCAATAGAATACTGTTATTTTCAAGGATTAAAAGTGGACAGTACGTGAACACTTTTATGCAAATTTTCAGTGTGTATGTTCTAAAATGCGGGAGTCTTAAATTAAATAAATGGTGTACAATTTGGTCTAGTAAAAAAAAAATTATGTTAAGAAAAAAAAAAAAAATTGCCCTACTAACTTTAAATACATCACATCGGATAGAAATGTTATCAGTTTGTCTCTTCTTTGACTGTTGAATCATTTGAACAACAAAAGGAACCATGCCATCTTCCAGAGCACCTAAAAACATACATAAAACATAATTTACATATTTTTATACTAAAATAAAATTTAAAAAAAATAAAGCAAATTTTTATGAATATATGATGTAACAAAAATTATCTAAATTAAGAAATATTTTCACTTTGAATTTTTGCTTTCAAAATAAATTATATTAAGATTATACCTATAGATGGAAGAGTGAAATAAAAACGTGGATTTTGTAAAATCTTGTGAAACCCTGCAGCTGTCTTGCCTTTCCATTCTCCATAAATACTTAAAATATGGTCTGTGAAAGAAAAAAGAGTAATTTATTTGCATCTAATTTTATGCTGTACAAGATCAGCATAGGGAAAGTTTAAATTCACAATTCATGTAAGGTAATACAAATAGCAATGTGCAGGCCATATCTAATTTTATTGCTAAATGGTTATCATTACAAGACATTTAATTTTGAAGAAGTTAATGGGCAATATTGAAATAATTTTGCAGGGATTAAGCCAAGCCACTTTATTATATTGAACCAAAAGGAACTGAATAAAAAGTAAGTAAAACTCAGCCTTGCTATAAATAATGCTTAGCACTGATTTGTCTTGTTATGTTATTTAAAAAATTCATTAAAAAAACAACTCTGCACCACTGTTTCTCTTAAAAAGAAAGATCATGTGCTTTTATTATTATTGAAATGTTAAATATTTATATTCTTAAATTTAAAAAAAAAAAAAAAAAAAAATCAAGAGAACCTGAAATGTATTGCAAAAATATCTATATTATAACAAAAAGATATTTGTTTCCACAAACAACATACTGAGAGAATCTGAACATCCATCCATATCAAAATCGGGGGTCAGTGAGCAAATAGTTGTCTGTGAGAAATACTTCATGAAGTCGGACAGACAAACATAAAACTCTCCATCATCTTTGTTAGGGTTTTCTACTGCATTTGCTGGAATGGTTTTCCATTCTTTACTCCTGTTTCAGAAAAATAACTATTACAACAACAATTTTTTTTTTTTTAAATGTGAAGAAAAAAAACCCCAACTTACATTTATATCTCATTATAAAAAACTTGCTAACTTGCAAAAAACAACTGTTTTTAGATGCCATAGTGCTAATATTAACTTAATGATTTACCCATCACACCAAGCCCCTGTCCATTCACCATGTCCCCAAGGATTACGGACCCTAAGCAATTTTGTTTCTCCAACCTTTAAAAGAATCAATAAAATGTGGTTTAAACATTTCAAAATATTTCTAAACTAGTTACTTCTGTGTGTTAATCACTTAGTTATATATAGCAGTTTATATAAATAAATTTATTGAATTCGACAAACAACAAAATTAATTACTTTAAATTTGCTTTTGCTGTGGATATAAATATTTGTGTAAATCCATTTTTTGTGTAATATTGCATTTAATAAGTTTGACTTCATTTGTTATTTTTTTACTCTGAACACTAGAATGTAAATAAAATGAAAGAAAACAACTTACCTGCCTAGCTGCAACCAAAGAGTAAGCATGTCCACCAACCAATCCTTTATAATTGTCATACTCATCCTGAAATGTAAGGAGGGAACATTCTATTTAAACAGCAAGCACTTTTAAAACTTTCTTTACCTAAGATTTGGTTGATGTTTGAAAAAAAGTGAAATCTTGTATAAAATAAAATTATGCCTTAAATATATTTTTAGTATAGGTTCTACCAATCCTCTAGAACTTGGTGTGAGAAAAATATAAAGTTAACCATTTCATTATATTCTAGGTAAAAATTGTACATTTAAGTTAAGATGAAATCAAATTTAACATCCACTGAATTATGAAATAAGCTATTTATTTTACATATTAACATTGAAACATAGCATTAGAATGAGCCATAGAATTTTATTAATTATCAAACATGAGGGGGATTACATATTTAGAATCTTACCGGCACAACACAAGTAACTTGACAGTCACTACTTAAAGCATTCCTGATGCGATTGAAGACAGATGTGGCTTTATCTTGTAAACCTTCAAGTTCTATTCTTTCCCCAATGCCACCAGTTAGCTGCAGGTAGGCATCACCTGGCTGCCCTCCATATATAGCATCATATGAGCCATGTAATCTAAGCAGTCAGACAATCAATGGCTATTATTTAGTTAATCAAAGAGACACAAGAAATTAAATCATTTTTCATAATTCGTAACCCATAATGCCAAACTGCAGGAGATGGTAAAATGTTTTTGATAAGAGTTATCAAAATATTCTTTCTTACTTATTCTGAAGCCATGAGAGTTAGTAAAGGTAGCAAATGTGATATTTCAAGAAAATTTCAAAATATTTTACCACAACAATTATACTTCCCTTTCAATTAAAATTCTAAATGATGCCAAACTATAATGTAAGATCCTTTCAAAAATTAAAGATGCAAGCTTTTAGTAATGCATCTAAAAAGAGTACCTTGCAAAAGCTTTTTCTAACAGGGCAACCCACATCTCATTGTCATCAGTACTTGATTTGGCACCCCAAAGCACATTTCCGTATATAACAGGAAGATAATCATCAATGTAAACATCCTCCCATTTACCAAATCTAAAAAAGCAGGCATGAAATACACCATCATATTTCTGGGGGTTATCAATATTATAGGCTGAATCTGGTATTACCTGTCAAATAAATAAATAATCAGGCACAAGGGTTATATGTATAAAAAATACATTGAAGATTATATAAAGCATTTAAAATTTATTTTAGAAATATAAATAATACTATTATAATATTAATTCCTGTTTCAATATTTGTTGTAACAGCAGTAATTTGTACCTCTATTGTTGTAACTTTTGTAAATGATTATAACATATTCAGTGATTGACACTATTCTTCAACAATTATTTAATTTTTTTTTTTTTTAACATCATCCAAGCCTCAAGATGCTCAATTAAGCCAATGAAAAATAATCAGTAATTAAACAGACAACAGAGATAAAAGTTCTAGTGCAAAGCAACTTCATTTGCTTCCCTTCCAGCTTATGAATTTACAGACATATTTATATTTTTTTAGTTATTTCACTTTAAAGTTTAAAAGTTTCAGATAAAAATCGAATCATAAAGCCCTACCTGTCTTAACATGTTCTTTTTGTCAGCAATGTCAGCCACAATTGATAAAAACCAGCAAGTGCCAGCTGAACCTTGTCCAATGTCAAATCGGGTAGCTCCATCTGTAAATAAACTTGGATTTTCTGCAAATTCCTATAGAAATATATAAATATTTAATATATCTTTTGATTAGTTGAATGAAAGAAAAAAGTTATTACATTAATATTTAGACAAAATATACAAATAAATTTGTCAATATTTAATTTCGTGACATTAAAAAAATTTAGTTAGTACATATAAAATGTATAAAGTTTAATGTATAAATAAATTCTATAATAAAAAGAAACAGCTATATCGTTATTAAGATGATAATAATAATGGTTAATAGTGACAGCACATTAACTTTATGATAAAATTCTATTTAATATCATAATATTTGATACATCCATAGCTAAAACTTTTACCTTTGGTCGTTTCCACTCAATTTTATTGTTATCTTTGACAATAGCAATTTCTAAGGGAAAGCCCTCATCTACATATAAATTATATGGGTCTCCATAGGGTCTTTCATCTGGTTCTTCATCCCGAAAATATTTCCGGAAATCAACAGATTTGATCATGAGTCCCACACTATTCTTTTGGTAGCCTTCATAATCTGCAATACCATCATCATCAAATGGTGTATCATCCTCTTCGTACACAGTTGGGGGTGGTTTTATAGTAGTGTGTTTTGGTGTGTGAGGTACTGGTTTGTTACGCTCATCCCTGTACTCAGAATAAGCATCATAGTTTTCTCCATTTAAGTTGTGTCTATCAGAACTGTCGAAGTAGTCATCATGACCCCTATGTTGTTCCTTTCCCATTTCTAAATTGTGCACCTCACTACCATAATAGGGATCTTCCCAATCATTATGCTTAGAATTTTCACTGAGGTTATGTCTTTGTCTGTTACTCTCCACGAGTTCAAGATCTCTTCTGTCGTCTATGTTATCTGTTGTTCTGTGGTTATTTCTAAATCTTTCGTCATAGTGTGAATGGTCACTCTCTCTGAAGTCAACCTTTTTTGAGTGATCTCTTTCTGAAGACTGGGATGCACCACACCCCATTTTACTTTCAGCAATAGGACCTCCAAATAATTTAAGATTATGTGAAACTTTAAATTGTTTCAAATGGCATTGTTTTTATTTATTCTAGTCTGGAATGGCTGCAGAGCAAACAACTCCAACATATGATGTCACATAGGGTTGTTTTCTATGGGATTATTTAAAAAAACACATTAAATAAGACACAATTTTTAATAATTTAATAGAAATTACGGGTAAACAATTTACTATGAGATTTTTTAAAAGACAATCAATTACTTTGGCTAATGCCTGTTCAGAGCGCGAATTTGAGTTTCTGTGTAGATTTCTCCCCTTTTTTTAAATTTATGGATTGTAACTAGAATTAACTTTTCTGTTTTTTAATGTTAATAAACCTATAAAATGTTTTAAATTCATATTTCATTGAGTGTCTAATTATAATATTTAAAATGAGGCAAAAGTTTTGCAGCATCTTGGAAAGGGTATTGATTTTTATGATAACTTTTAGATTTTATTTTTGGTGGAACCTACCCCAAAGTGTGTAAAAGTGAATTGGATGAAACTGTAAGCTGGGTTTATTAAAATTATTTTGAATATATTACAAATAATTTTAACCTTTTTAATCAAATTTACGATTTTCTCAATACAGTACAGTGTGTAACAGTAGCACACGAACACTTGGTTTTAGGTTTCATGTTCGGTATTAGGTAATAGATATTAGGTTTGAAGATTAATGCTTAAATTAGGAGAGGGGGCTAAATTTAGGGTGAAATTTACACTCAAGTTAAGGGGGGCTAAATTTAGGGGAATTTAACGCTTGAGTTAGGGATACTGACTTAGCATTAGGATAGGCAGAGTAGTAGAATTCAGGACTGAAGGTGCACCTCAAAAAAATTAAAAAATTATTTTATTTAATTTTTGAAGGCACTAGTCATGGCAACCAAGCTGGCAGCCGGGTAAAAAAAAAAAAAAAAGTAGTGCAAACACATGTCTGCTAAAATGGGGAGGGATGTGCACCTAAAAAAAATTAAAAAATTATTTTATTTAATTTTTGAAGGCACTAGTCATGGCAACCAAGCTGGCAGCCGGGTAAAAAAAAAAAAAAGTAGTGCAAACACATGTCTGCTAAAATGGGGAGGGAAAAGAGAGAGAATGTGCTGTTTTAGCTACTTAGTGAGAGAAACAAATTTAGGAACAAAACTTTAAAAAAATTTAATGAAACAATTTCAGCCAGTGAATAAATTTCGTGGCAAGCGTAGCAACTTTATTGTATCCCTCTAGACTCTAGATATGGCAAGAAGTGTCAATGACCTGCGGTCACTCCCTTCCCTCATCTAAAACATGTCTGCTACAGTTACCCTCTGTGGTAAGAAATGAGTAAAAATGAAGATTAACAAGACAAAGTATTTTAATAATAAAACAATAATGTAAGTGCAATGTACAGTTTCATAGTAAACACTTTTACAAATTTATATGCAGGTTCGCCCCCCCAAAAAAATCCAAATGTTGACAGAAAAATAAATAGAATACAATACTAGGCCTAACCCGCCTACCCATTTTCTAAGACGATGGAAAATTTAAATATTATAATTAACCACCAAATGAAATTATAATTTAAAACATTCCATCAGTATATTAATATTCAAAATAAGGAAAAATTAACTCTGGTAACACGCCAAGAATAAACTAAAGGGAGAGAATCCTACACAGAAACTCAAAGTGGCACGACTGAAACAACATTAGTGTCATTAGCCAAAAAAATTATATGCCACACCTAATTTAAAAGTAAAAAATTGTAAAGAAAAAATGTCCTTTTACTTTATTATCTTTATTGTTACAATAATTATATTATATTATTTTATAGAATTATAACAAAATTATCAATATCAATGATCAATTTAATTTTAGGCAGGTCTAAAACTAATAAGACTAAATTTTAGACTAAAGCAGGCCTGCACAACTCAAAAATGTAAGGCAGGCCGTAATACATTGTGAAAAACTTGTGCGGGCCAAAAGAAAATAGGACAGGACTTATGCGGGCCAAAATAATATAGGTCAGGAGGGAAAGCTATTAAGAAAATTATAAAAATAAAGAGTTTTTCGTTACCTCATGGGCCTCAAAGTGGTTGCTGGCGGACCACATGCGACCCGCGTGCCATATGTTGTGCAGGCCTGGGCTAAAGTGTTAATCATAAATAATAAACTTACCTAAAAATATAATACTCACACACTTGGGCTTTTATTTATAAACTTATATAACTATACTAAATTGTATGATATGACAACTTAGTTTACTTAGTATTAAATTTATACCAATAAACAAAAAATGTAAAAAAAATAAAAAAGCAACACAAAAAATGTAGTATTAGCAGTGGTGTATCTAGGGTTGGTGTCACCCGGTGCGTTAAACTCATGGTGTCAACCCCTCCCCCCCACCCCCCAAATTTCATTCTTCTGGTTAAAATACGTCCACAGTAAAACAATAACAAGAACAAAAACACATAAATCGAAGGTCATGAGGTTAATATATTTAAAAATGTTAAGTTATTGTTGTATTTACAATAAATGTACTTTATTTAAAATTTTCCTTTCCCTGTCTTCAAAGCTGCAAACCAGTCAATCACTTGATCAAAATCAATGTTGTTTACTGTACCACTTGCAATTGATAGCAGAGCCACATCAGAAAACCTTGACTGTTACATGGTGGTTCATTAATTTTTCTTGATAAGCCTTAGTTTTGAAAAGCTCCACTCACATGAAGCCACATACACACATATCATAAGAAAAAATGAAAGGCTTAGCGAGAGTATTGGATGAGATTTTAGGAAGTCCCATTCAGCTATGAATTTCAAAACATAAAATGCTGACCAGTCCATGGCATTGAGAAATCAGCTGCTTTTAGATGTCATCTAAGCCTTGATATTTCTTCTTAAAAGTTCATCTTCCGATAGCTCATAGAAAGAATTTAAATTTGGAACGGACACCAATAAATCTTCTTCACTTGCTGATACTAGACTCTTGGGTTGAACAGCCCCAAACATACCTGGTACTTCCTTGATTGTTGATTATCTGATGTGGGGTTCAGAATGAAAGCGATCAATACACTCAAGCATCTCCCTATTGTTTTCTTCTCGCAGAAAGTGTCCATCATCTATTAATTAATTTTTCTCCTGTCATTCTCTTCTTAAACCTTAATCTTCACTCTACCAAAATTCCATATTCATCTGATTTTAAAAGTGCCTTTTCAAAAGCATGTTCCACCAAGTGACGGCGCTTCTTGTGCAGAGACAATCTTAAGGCCTCTAGTTTGTTACCGCTTTGTCAAGAGTAAAGCCTTAAGTCTGCAGATACTGCTGTGTAAGATTAACTTCCTCAAGTAGATCAGCCCAAAGGTAAAGGTAGCATATAAACGTGAAATCACAGACAGCGTGTAAAAGACCTTGTGCTGGACCTCTTGTATTCGAAATTTCAAGAGGATTACACATAGCTTCAATCGCCGCCATACATTCATCAAACTCACCTTTCACTATTTTAACAGCAGCATGATGAGCACTCCAACGCATTGTTGACAGTCTTTTCAACCACATTCCAGTGTGTTCAATTAGAACATGCCATCGATGAGTGCATGCAGCAAAGATGGAAAATATTCTTTCAAGAGTACCAAATAATGTAATACATGAAGCATTTTCTGCAAAAAAGTGTTGACCACACAAGTAAAATGAATGGCCCACACATACTTTAAAAATTGCTTTCTTATTATTTATTCTTTTCCAAATGGCTTGAACACCTCCATGGATTCCATACAGTATGGCAGCAATATCATAACCTTAAGCTCTGAAAATCATTATGTCTAGTCCATCACGTTTTAGTGTAAGAATGTAAGAACTGGGATCATCAGCTTTTTTCCATCTTAACGGGAAAAATGCAAGAAACACTCTTCTCTTTCCCATTGTGGATTATCACATATCAGATCACTTCAAACATCTGGTCACTATGTGATGTATCAGGAGTACTTTCGAAAATAATTCCAAAATACCTCGCACGCTTTATATCCATGATAAGTATCTCCTTCACATGATTTGCAAGGACACTTATAAATTCATTTTGGGTTTCAGGTGAAAGGTAAAATGCGGATTCTTTTTCTGTAGATGTACTCCTCTTAAGTCTCATTTGATGCTCTTTAACTAACTTTTAGCACTGGGTCATATTTAGATAGCATCTCAACCATTTCAAGAAAGTTTCAGTGAAGATTTATCTTCATTGTGGCCATGAAATGCAAGATTTTGCTTTGCAAGAAACAATGTGATATCCAGCAACCTGTGCAGGATATCCCTCCACTTGGTCTTCTCCCTGTCCATCACAGCAATACTTTCGGCATCCATTGTTTTGTGTATCTTAAGTCCTGCTGCCAATGCTTTCCACTTTTCAAGGCAACATAGGTGCTCTTCCGATGTCTCATGATTTTTGTATTTTTGGGCTCAGTTTCCACCACTTATCAAAGCCAGTAACATATGTGGATGTTATTTCTGTAACATTGACAGCAAATAATCTACAGCAAAAACAATACAATTTCTGACTGACGAGTGAATAAACCATCCACGACAGCAGTATTTTCTCTCCAATTTTCATCATCCCGTAGATCCATTGTTTTGTTAGTTGGCGAACACCTCCTTTAAATTTCGCATTTTGCCTTTTCATTATGCTGAATAATCCGCCCTTGTTCTGAAATGAGGAACTCCATATTTTAATAATTTCATGCAGAAAATAATCTGGAACTGGTACATTCCAGAGGGAAGCATCTGATCAAATGTACCAGTTTTTGTCATTCGACATTAGACTTACAGTAACATGGTTTGAATCAACATTATCAGCAAACATTTTGTTTCCAAACCATCCATATCTTTTGTTTGTGCTTTCACGTCAATCTATTCCATTTTCTCCACTATTTGCTGAAAAGAATGCATGTTGCTGGTAACCTGAGAATCAGTACCAATGGTAGGCTGAGGAACGTCTTTGATGAATCCTGACCCTGGTCATTATTTGTTTCTTGACCTTTCGAAGCAAGTATTCAGGTAGTGATTTTAGTGAGTAACGTAATTTCTTTTTTGCTTTTCACTGCTGACAGCCACTTGGCCATTTAGATTTGTGCACGCCCTGTGGCGTGATATAATAATCTTGAACAATAAAAATGTTTTAATTTTGTCATGTTCGAGACAACAAACAAATAATTACTGGCGATAGTTAAAAAAAACCCACCGGAGCACTGTCCAAAATACAACACATAAAGGTAGCAGGTAAAACCCAGCATTCGAAATGTGACAATTGTGCTCAAATGTTTAAGGGCAATACTAGCGACGAATGGGGGGAAAATATTAATTTTTGAGTATTTCTGGGTTTCGATATATAATATATATATGGCTTCAAAAAACTTTTCTTTATTTAAATAAAAAAGAATGAATCATTAAAAGATTGAAAATTGTGTAAAATTATATATTTTTTAACCAAATACATGGGTAAAATTCATTTTTAATGTTTTTAATTTTTACAGATTTTTATATGTATATTATAACCGCCCGACCACACTTATTTGGTATCAATGGAAAGCCCTATTTCTCAAAAATTAAATAAATATAGCCTCCTGTCACTTAAGCTAGTTACCAAACACTTCAATCAGCGTGGAATAATGACTGTGTTTTTCTGACCTAAACTAGGCTAAACATAGGGTCTTCTCATTTCTGAGTCATCATCTAATCATCCTTGAACTTTTAATAAAAAAGTATGCTTTTGGATTGGTTACATTATTTGTGAAAAATGGATGCGTTATCGGTTATCCTTTCATGAATCTCGGTTTGAATGAGTACTGTGTGCTACATAAATATGCAATTTTTCAATCGGTGTCACCTCTAAACTATTAGTATTAGTTTATTATTCATTAGTAATTTTTTAGTATAAGTTGTATAAAGAATAATATTCTCTGATTGAAAGTAACATTTTGATGAGGGGCCATTGACATTTATTGGATTCAAATTGCACTTTAATTTCAAGTCAGTTAAAAAGTTACATAATATTAATTCATATTTCACTACAAACGACTTACATTACATAATATCCAATTTTATTGTTAATAACACAAGCCTTCACGCCGCCACAAGCTGATTCAGATCATGTACATAAGCAACACTTGGCAACACTGTAAACAAGACGCCGCAAACACAAATGAAGTCGTAATATAATAGGTCGTAATATTGACCAGGATATCGTCTCTCGAAAATACCGGGACTAAATTGAAGGCTGCATCTATAGGTACCCGGGTACATATAGCTACAAAGACTATTCGGACCCGGAGTGGCTCCAAATAGATTAAATGGCTTCGGAGCCGGGTGTGATAACAATAATAGTATGAGAATCTTTTTTAAAAAGTGTTTTTGCTCCTTATTTAATAGATTCATAGTTTTATTATTTTTGGTTGTGTTTTTTTTCTTATTGCAGGTAGTTGCTTTTTCTTTCTAATTTTATTTTTTTGTTTAAGCCACTTTCGTAGATCAATTTTTTTTTTTTAAATAGAGTAATCAAGATGATTTAGATACATTTATTGTTTTCATTTGAATTTTAGAAAAGTAATAATATTAATTTAATTATTAATGGACCACGTTATAGAATTTCACCAACAACAGAGAGCGACCAATGTCCAAGTGTTGGTTGATGTGTTACGTGTCCTCATAATCAGCAGATCTGGGAAATGTTACGAGCGGACCAGGGATTATGTTGCGA